TCCCGGCTCGCGCCATCAACCCGGAGGAGCTGGAGGCCAGCTTGCCGCACGGCGGCTTCAACCGAGCGCTGCGGTGGCTGCGGACCCGCTACGCTGCGCACACCGCATGCCACAGGGGAAGCCGAGTTCACTACATCCTGACCGAAGTGTTCGCGGTGGAGTGTGTCCTGTGCGGGCTCGAAGCGTCACTCCGGATGACGTACCGGACAGTGCTGCCGAGTGACGAGGCATAGCAACCACCAAAGGACGTCGTTTTCCCAAGCAGGGCCGCAAGGCACAGGAGGCCCTGCGTCCGACCAGTTGGAAACCAGTCGAGCAGGAGGCAGCCACGCCTGCGCAGTGCTGCCCCATGCCGAGAGAGACAGCCGGCCGCGAGAAAAAAGGAGCCGAGACAAGATGTGATTCCTTTTTCGGTTTTAGAGATGACATTAAATGTCACGATAAGGTCTTCTGCAAGGTCGTCTGGCAGGTAGAGCCCCTAGAGAACAGCACAGTCCTGCGAATTCGGTTGAAAACATTTTTGTTGACACAAGCTTTGCAAGGAACGCAAGCTATCTTTGCGCTTGTTAACAGGCAGCCGTCCACAAGCCTCTTGCGCGTATAAAAAGCGTTGGGTTGCGCTGTTGTGCCTTGAGCTTGGGGGGCTTTGCCCTTGTAATTTTAACGCCATGAAGCAGGTCACTTGTGTCAAGTTGCGTTTTGCTGAACGAATTCTTGGCCCAGAACCGTTTGGCACCGGTTACGCAGACCGCCCCTGTATCGAGACAGTGCTCAGTGTGCCCTGTGGCAAAGCGGCCTTCGGCAGCACCATGGCAGCCAGAGCGTGGGCAGATGAGACCTCGTCCATGGGATCGCTCGGGGAACGCATCGAAGCAGACGTCTGCTCAAACGAGGCCGTGGGCTCCCCGACCTTTGGGTCAGAAGGGGAGAGCTTTCCCACGGTGCCACCGCCCTTGCCTCGTGTTGGCCCGGTGGTCAACCCGGCGGCTCGCAGGGTGCCGGGCTTCTGGCTACCCAGAGCAGTGCGTTTGCCACGCCTTGGACCGAATGGAGCCAGGCAACCTTTGCTTTTGCGCCCAGGCCAAGCTCCGAACGTCCGGGCCGCGTCGGAAGCTTTGCAGTGGGCGTGCTTCCGGGCATGGCTCTTGACCCACGGTGTGCACCAGATGCCAGCCATACTGGCCATCATGCTGGTGGCCTATGTGCGCGCCATGCTGTCGTTGCAGCCGCAAGATTTACAGTTGCTTGACGGCCTGCGCACCAGCCTGCTCCACCAGTGGCGCTACTTGCGCCGCATGCCCTTCTGGATTTGGCGCTTGCTGGCTGTAAGACGCATCTGAAGTAGTTGTGAACGAGAGGCACGGGCCATGGCAAGGACAGGCGGCCCGATGCCAACCGCAGCGGAGTGGTGCAATAGAGGCGGCGCCAGCAAAAGCACGTTTTGCAGCCTTTTGACTTTTTTTTTGGCCTTCATGGCAAATCTTCTAGCAGGTTTTGCAACTGTGTGCCGATAACTGACATGTCAAAGATCGAATCGCGTCATAGCCAAACTTTTGCTGAGAAGTAAACTCACACTTTTCGGTGTTGTCCTTTTTTGTGGGGGTGCTTTCGTTCAGTTGTGCTTCCAACCGCGTTTTGTTGACGTTCCTGGCCCAGGTCGGATGCCGAGCTGCGCAGAAGAGGCGTGGGAGCTCAGCAAGGAGGGGGGGGGCGGGCGATCCAAAAATAACACGGCAAACCACCAGAAAAAGGGGGATTGCCAGAAAAGCGGCGTTTTCGGGGCACTTTGGGGGGCATAATGAAGGGGGAAACTATCGCGAAATTTTTATTTTGACGTTTTGGCATATGTTTTCGCCATGTCGGCGCCCGGGGGCGCGCGGATCCAGAGACCAACATTTTTTTTGAAGATTTTGCTTGCTGAAGCGTTTTTGCCATGACAGAAAACAGAGGCAAAAAGCAGGGTTTTGCAACCCGAAGCGGCGCCAAAAACGAGACAACGGCCCAAAAAGACGATCTGGGAAGACGAGATTTTTAGAAAACAAGCGGTTTGAGCGCGCAACGCGCACGGAAAAAAATAACGGTATATATTAGACTAGGAAGGGGTTTTTTTGGCACTGATTTGGCCGGCCCGGCGCGGCAGGCAGATGTTTAAGAGACAGGGGTTCTGCAGATCTTCGGCTTCTCTGCGCCGCCCCCGCGGCCGGCAGACAGTCTTTAGGGAGCAGTTTTTGGTCCACCTGGGCTTTAACTTGGGCCCGGCGCGGCTGGCAGGCAGTCTTTAGGGAGCAGTTTTTGGCCCACCTGGGCTTCAACTCGGGCCCGGCGCGGCCGGCAGGCAGTCTTTAGGGAGCAGTTTTTGGCCCATCTGGGCTTTACCTCGGGCCCGGCGCGGCCGGCAGGCAGTCTTTAGGGAGCAGTTTTTAGCCCACCTGGGCTTGACCTCGGGCCCGGCGCGGCCGGCAGGCAGTCTTTAGGGAGCAGTTTTTGGCCCACCTGCGCTTCAACTCGGGCCCGGCGCGGCCGGCAGGCAGCCTTTAGGGAGCAGTTTTTGCCCCACCTGGGCTTTGACTCGGGCCCGGCGCGGCCGGCAGGCAGTCTTGAGGCAGTAGTTTTCGGTCCACCTGGGCTTTACCTCGGGGCCGGCCGGCGGCGGCGCAAAGTAGTGGCCAAAATAAGGAAAAGCGCAGGCGGCGCATCTAACTTTCATTTATCGTGATAACAACGGGTCCAGCGCCGCCGTCAGTAGACTTCTGCGCAAAGGCCTTGTAGAGAGGTTCTTGTCAGTGGATCTTGTGACCCTGGTGAAGTACCTGCAACGCCATGTCAATTTCTCGTCAATGGCAACCGGCTAAGCCCAGAACCGGCATGTCGGTTTTCAAACTGTTTCCAACTAAACGTCCAGGTTTGCATGTGACGTCACGCCACTCATTTGAAGAATGAGCGGCATCAGAACGATTGACTTCATCTAGCAAGGACGTAGAATGATTTCCGTCGCGCTGCTGTTCACTTTGGATCTTCCAATTTTTGTCGTCAGGTTTATAGGGTGTTGTTGCACGGACGATGCATTCCACATGAGTAATTCGCGACGATAGTTCTGAGCAAGTGTGTGTGAAACATCGGAAGAGATGTAAAACCTCCACTCCTTTTTCTGTCTTGTTCAGCAATTCTGATGCTAGTTAGCCAGCAGGGGGGCATGGTGTACACAACCTGTTTTGGGAGCTGCTTTTTTTCACGGCAAGCACTTGGGATTTGTGTTGTGAACTTGGCTGTGAGTCAGCAGCAGTTCGGAATGAATTGACCTTGTTGCCAGCCCACCTTTGGCCAAATCCTGGCCGGGGGCTATTTGGAAGCAGCACTGCACAGGCGTGCCCAAAACGAGCAACAGCGCAGGGGTCGAAAAAACCCTTGCCGTTCAGCAGAACGCCTCAGAACACCATGCTTAGAAGAGAGCTGGCAGATGAGACTCAAATCTTTTTGTCTTCTTCTGCCGCAGCCGCTTTCAACCGGGTTCAAACACTGCAGCCCTGAACGGCGCCAAAAAGGGAAATGGCAGGATATGAAGCTGAGTTCGTTCGTTGCTTTGCATGAAAGGTGTAGACATCCTTCTTATACATGGTGTCTCCTGTCATGTACAACATACAGCCAGCACCAGGACGGCAAGAGGCGGAAGGCGGGGAGCACTTTGCGTTCAGGACTAGAGTCGCTTCCACGTCTTGCTGGCGCTTCCGAATCCTCACAACCCTTCGATTACAGTGTTGGAACTATTTTTGGTTGGCCGTTCGCCGTAGTTAGTAGTTGATGTCAAGTTCGACTGTGCAAGGGAGTTCATTTCGACGTCCGAAGCTCAGATCTTGCTTTTCCGGGTTTTCTATCCGAGGTCGTTTCGCACCGGTAAACCAAACAGGACAAAAACGAATTTGCCCACTTACGCTAAGATTCACCTTCGCTTCCACGTCTTGCTGGCATGCCCATCCTCACAACCCTTCGATTACAGTGTTGGAACTATTTTTGGTTGGCCGTTCGCCGTAGTTAGTAGTTGATGTCAAGTTCGACTGTGCAAGGGAGTTCATTTCGACGTCCGAAGCTCAGATCTTGCTTTTCCGGGTTTTCTATCCGAGGTCGTTTCGCACCGGTAAACCAAACAGGACAAAAACGAATTTGCCCACTTACGCTAAGATTCACCTTACGTGCCAGCCGCCCGCATGCCCAGGTGCAGGCCGCTACTGGTGCGCAGGCACTGTGCTGTGCACTGTTCTTGCACTGACAGAAAACATGTGCTGCCCCGGCCGTTTTTCACTGTAGAAGGGGGGACTTTTAGGAACGGTGCGATGTGATGACCACCCTTGCTGACGGCATCAATGTCATCCAGTTGGTGAGCATGATCGGATGGCTCCCCCTGTTAAATGTCTCCCCGACAAAGGCCTCGACGCATTTTGATTGATCTCCGCAGAGTTCCATCCATGACGGCCAGAACGCAGACATGCAATGGCAGTCACTCCTGTGCCTGGGTGCCGCAGCCGATTCTCACAAGGAGAGACCTTGCAGAACGCAGGGGTGATGGTATATATCTATATATATAAATATTTTTTTAATTTATTCATTTGTACATAGATGCATGTGGCGAAGCATGAAGCAGGGAAAAACGGGCGAGGTATTATAAAAACTTGGATTTGCCACCCAAGTATTTTGTGCCTGCGCAATGAGGACTTTGGCCGGGGCAGCTTCGGAAACGGTGTGTATAGATTGCGGCTTACGCAAATGACAGGCACGTAGCCAATATTTTTCAACCAAGACATGTATAAAGACACAGATGTATTTCCCCACTTTTGCGACCAAGGGAAAACCGATTTCAAGAATGTTGTTTATATATATATATTTTTCAATATATATATATATTTTCTTTCTGTTGCTCTACCTTTGCTGTATTACTGAAGCGTGCTCAGGGCTTTGCTAGGCGGGCGGTACTTGCACAGACCGCCGTGCCAGCTAAGTGCAACGGAAAGACCGAAAAAGCACGGGCGGTATTTGCACAGACCGCCTTGCCAGCTAGGTGCAGCAGACCGGAGAAAAAAAAAAGCTTGACTGACTGCAGCACGTTTGTCTCGATTCAGCCGCACTGCTGGGGCGCCTCAGTCAGATTGAATTGGCTTCTCTCCAAGTGTTTGACTGCGCTGTCCGCAGCTGTTTGCTTCACAGCATTTGAACCGTCGCGGCCTCAGTTGTCCTTACCGTAGCCATTTGCTTTCACACCGTAGGGCCGTCAGTTGTGCTTGGCTGACTCGTCCGCCGGTTCACCCATACGATTGGGACAACTTTGGCTTGATTGTGGCAGGTTGTGCACCCCTCGTCAGGCACCAAGTGACTGCTGCATTGCATCCTGCGCCATCAACGCTTGCTATCGCTGTTCTTGTCAACAATACCCACAAGCATGTATACGGATGCGTTCCATTTTGTAACTTTTTTAACATCCATACAATATTCACAACTTTGCCTTGATGGCGGGCCCTGCTGGCCGTTGTTGGGGGGAACTGAGGTTTGTTGGCATGGCGTTTGCTCTACACAGTGAGTACATGCAGGGCAACGTTGATGTGGCCTTTACGCACAGTGACAAGCCATGGCCGGCGGAGGTAGAGGAGGCCATGGAAAGAGCAAGAACCATTCCTGGGAGCAAGTGGCGCAGTTACGCGCGCATCAGCGACCGAGCCGGCATTTTTCTACGAGAGTATGTCAAGGTCAGTGATTTCGCCTGTCACACTTCCTTTGGGCATCGATGGTTCCATGTCTGGGAACACTTGCAAAGGTCTCCTTATCCGCAGGATCCCTATCGGTTTGCCGTTGTTAAGGACTACAACTTCGTGACGCTGGCCGTGAGCTGCAAGGTGCAGAACCTGGGCCCGGGCTTCACTGCAGAATATGCTTTGTGCAGCGGCCGCATCTTTGCAACACATACCTTTCGGCATTTTGTTCCTGCCATCACCGTACGGGACATTCAGCGTGCGGCACAAAAGCTCGCGCTGCGAAAAAGGTTGTTGGAGAGCCCGACCCAGCCCATGGAGATGTTGTTTGATGGCTTCCACTTCCCGCTGCCAAGCGCCGTCAGCATTTGGACCACCAAAGCGTCCACTGCGCCTCCGGAGCCTTCTGCCATGGCGGTGCAACAGCAGCGCCTGCAGCAGTGGATGGGCTACCTGAAGGCCTTGACCTTCGACGAGCTTGATGAGCTGTCCAAAGGAGATTCGACCAACAGACTGAACCGTGTGCTCGGGCTGACCGCCCCCATGACGATGTCTGAGTACATGCAGAGGCACAGCAAACGGGATCGTCCCCAGAGACCACCCGAGTCGGAGACCACAACGGACAACGATGACATCGAGACAGACAGCAGTGACGTCGAAGACTGACGCGCCAGCGTCCGTCGCTTGCTTGTGCATTATTTGGACAGACGGCTGCATTAGCAAAGCCCGGCAACACGCCGTTTCATATTTTAGTTCGATCCCTGCGGGACACGCAGACGACAGGCCCGTAGACAAGATTCATACTGGTGCGTGCCCGGGCTCGCTGCGGGCGGTAGTTGCACAGACCGCGCGAGATGCAACAGACAGACCAAAAAAGACATTGCCTGACACCACCACGTTTGACGTGATTTGGCTATGTTGCTGGGGCGCTTCAGTCAGATTAGCTTCTTTACCACTATTAGGCGCGGCAACCCGCAGCCGTTTCCTTCACAGCCTTGGAACCGGTGTAGCCTCAGCCTTCCTGACCGCAGCCATTTGCTTGATGCCGTTGAGCTTCGGCGTCCGATGAAGTAACCGACATCGATTGAATGAGCGGCAGCCTATCGCTCGAAGCCCGGGCAGCTTAAAAGGCACAGAGGCAGCCCGAACGATGGTTCCAGGACCTCCCGACGAAAGGCACGTGGCGAATATTTTTTCTCCAGTCCAGTCATAAATACAAATACACATATATGTTATAGCGTTTTTCAACTTTGGAATCGGACAAAAAGGGTGATCAAAAGATCTTTCTTGTATTCTCCTGTTGGTCGGGTTTTGCTTCATCACTGGTGCGTTTGCCAGGGAGCAGTTTGTTTTGCTCAGGTGTGACGGCCTGCGCGGCATTCTTAGCACAGGAACTGCCCGCCGGCTTGGTTCTAGGCCCAGAAAAGGCGAGCGCATGCACAGGAAAGCCTTTCTGCAAAAGAACATTCGACCAGCATCACAGTGGACAGACATCTCAGATTTGCGTGAGAAAAGAAGCCTTTGCTGTCGTGATTCGATCCCATAATTGCTTGATGAACCCAGTTTTGCAGTAGGTACCCTGGAAGCAAACTTGATAGCTTTACGGTTACCCGTTGACAGCTTTCTGCCGGCTTGCTCACTTGAAGGTGTTGTGCATTTGACAATCAAGACGCAGGTCTGATCGCTTTGCATCTAGCCGCTGGCCCGTTTACAGCTGGGTATTTCTTTGCATTAAACAGCAGGATCAGCAAATCATCCCCATTGGAGCAATCACCGCCCGGATGCAACTACACACTGGTCTTGTTGTCTGCTCATCTTTCGATTACATGGCCGTTCAAGCTTGCATTGCATGCACTGGCTTCCGGACCTGTTTCGCTTTCACTGCCATGTTCCTTTTTCCTGTGATCCCGCCTTGCCGTCTCGCCAAGGCTGGCAAGCCGAAGACCGGGAGAGCCGTCTGTCGCCGAAAACCGACCGGGGGGGGACCCCAGGACGGCCCCAGAAAGCTCCCACGAAAGGCAAAAATGCGCTGTGCCGCCCTGTTTGTATTTGCCAAAAATTTTGCAGGGAGGCAGGAACCGTTCTCAAAGCACAATTTTCCCAGTCGGACGCGTCGAGCCCGAAGCCGTTTTTCGACATTTTAAGCTCAATTCTGCTTTTCTGAACTTTGAAACGCTGTTTTGGCAGCCCGGGACCTCTAAAGAGCTTGATTTGGAGCAGAAATTGAGCTGCCAAAAGCTTGGAAGAGCTCCGAAAATCGGATTTTGACGGCTGCGATCCTGCAACGAAACCGTTGACATAGGACCCTAGAGAACGAGCCATTTTCTGGCCGATCGTGGGGGGGACCCCAAAACGGCCCCAGAAGCTCCCACGAAAGGCAAAAACGCGCTGTGCCGCCCTGTTTGTATTTGCCGAAAATTTTGCAGGGAGGCAGGAGCCGTTCTCAAAGCACAATTTTCCCAGTCGGACGCGTCGAGCCCGAAGCCGCTTTTCGACATTTTAAGCTCAATTCTGCTTTTCTGAGCTTTGAAACGCTGTTTTGGCAGCCCGGGACCTCTAAAGAGCTTAATTTGGAGCAGAAATTGAGCTGCCAAAAGTTTGGAACAGCTCCGAAAATCGGATTTTGACGGCTGCGATCCTGCTATTAAACCGCTGACATAGGACCCTAGAGAACGAGCCATTTTCTGGCCGATCGTGGGGGGAAGCCCAGGACGGCCCCAGACAGCTTCCACGAAAGGCAAAAACGCGCTGTGCCGCCCTGTTTGTATTTGCCGAAAATTTTGCAGGGAGGCAGGAGCCGTTCTCAAAGCACAATTTTCCCAGTCGGACGCGTCGAGCCCGAAGCCGTTTTTCGACAGGTTAAGCTCAATTTTGCTTTTCTGAGCTTTGAAACGCTGTTTTGGCAGCCTAATACTTTTAAAGAGCTGGATTTGAGGCAGAAATTGACTTGGCAAAAGCTTGGAAAAGTTCCGAAAATCGGATTTTGACGGCTGCGATCCTGCTATTAAACCGCTGACATAGGACCCTAGAGAACGAGCCATTTTCTGGCCGATCGTGGGGGGAAGCCCAGGACGGCCCTAGAAACTCCCACGAAAGGCAAAAACGCGCTGTGCCGCCCTGTTTGTATTTGCCGAAAATTTTGCAGGGAGGCAGGAGCCGTTCTCAAAGCACAATTTTCCCAGTCGGACGCGTCGAGCTGGAAGCCGTTTTTCGACAGTTTAAGCTCAATTTTGCCTGTCTGAGCTTTGAAATGCTGTTTTGGCAGCCCGGGACCTCTAAAGAGCTTGATTTGGAGCAGAAATGGAGCTGCCAAAAGCTTGGAAAAGTTCCGAAAATCGGATTTTGACGGCTGCGATCCTGCTATTAAACCGCTGACATAGGACCCTAGAGAACGAGCCATTTTCTGGCCGATCGTGGGGGGGGACCCCAGGATGGCCGCAGGAGCTCCCACGAAAGGCAAAAACGCGCTGTGCCGCCCTGTTTGTGTTTGCCGAAAATTTTGCAGGGAGGCAGGAGCCGTTCTCAAAGCACAATTTTCCCAGTCGGACGCGTCGAGCCCGAAGCCGCTTTTCGACATTTTAAGCTCAATTCTGCTTTTCTGAGCTTTGAAACGCTGTTTTGGCAGCCCGGGACCTCTAAAGAGCTTAATTTGGAGCAGAAATTGAGCTGCCAAAAGTTTGGAAAAGCTCCGAAAATCGGAGTTTGACGGCTGAGATCCTGCTATTAAACCGCTGACATAGGACCCTAGAGAACGAGCCGTTTTCTGGCCGATCGTGGGGGGGGACCCCAGGACGGCCCCAGACAGCTTCCACGAAAGGCATATCTTCAACATCTGAAGACTTTATTTTGCCAAAGAGTGTCAAACACTGATCAGTTTTGTCTCAGCTTGCTGAGGTTCCGAACACACTGGCCAGCTCCAGCAGAAGAAGTCTCTTTTGGAAAGGGGTCGCCTCGCAATTTCTGGGTTGGAATTCTTACACGATTTCTTTTGCGTTGATCCGATTTGAGAAAGTTCTCTGCATCGTGCATCTATTTGATGAACACCAGGCTATATCCTGTTGCCATTCTGTAATCCAAGGGTTCCGTCAGAAGAGGTCCGTTTTGGACAGGCGTTGCCTCACAACTGGGCTGGAATCGTTGAACAATTTCCTTTGTGTTGGTCCGCTTCATGCAAACAGTTGTAAATGTTAATCTTTACGCCGGCTTCACAAAATTAATGGGTCAGATTTGACATGATTTCAATTCCAGCGACTCTGGCGTCACCGGGCTGAGTCTCTGACGCTTCTGATTGCGTCCTGACAGTCATCCCAAGTCAATATGTTTGACAGGATGTTTTTTTTCAGATGACTACACGCTTGAATTCAGGCCAATTCCTCGTTGTCTACATTTCAAAGTTATGCCAACGAGTTGAGGATCCCACCTTCCCCTTGGATCGAGATCACTAACGCGATCGGCCGTATGACATTCAGTGCAAAACTAGAGCCAACAAATTCCTGCAAAATTGAGCTCAAGAAGCTTGCAGATCTGGAGCATAAGTGATTCCAAGACCAATCGAGCATGTGTTCAGGAGCGCGCGCTCACACCGAAAAAAAAAATTGGTAAAGGCTTTGCCAGCTATATATATATACACACATATATATATATATATATATATATCACAAATTCCAGTATATGGTCTATCCTATCCTAGCCGGTCTGTCTTGATGTCTCAAGATACAAACAGACATCCCGGGGCACACAGCTGGAAATTCAACTCAAAACCCAGCTCTCATTCAAGACAGATGTGCTCTACAGTACATTTTTCTTCTGACGGCGACCGGGAATTGCATATCTCTGCGTTCACTTTGGCCCACCTGCAAAGAAGCAGGAAAAGTGTGCTGCTGCTCAAGTTGGGCTTTCCATCCGTAACTGCCATCACAGGCTAAAAAATCAAATTCTGGCCAGGATGCTATCCCCAACATAGCCCCAAGATGGTGGGCCAACATAGCCCCAAGATGGGCCAACGTAGCTCCAAGATAGGCCGCCGACCCTGAAAATGCCATGCGTTTTACATTGTTATTTTGCTGGTCCCCTTTTTCGGATCTTTTGGCTCAACATGGGTCAACATGGGTCAACATGGGCCAACATAGGCTTCAAGATAGGCCAACATAGCCCCAAGATGGGGCAACATAGCTCCAAGATTGAACAACATAGCTCCAAGATGTGCCAACATAGAGCCCCAAGATGGATCCACATTGCCTTCAAGATAGGCCAACATAGCCCCAAGATGGGCCAACATAGCTCCAAGATTGGACAACATAGTCCCAAGACGCTCCAACATAGCCCCAAGATGGGCCAACATAGCCCCAAGATAGGCCGCCGACCCTGAAAATGCAATGCGTTTTACAGTGTTATTTTGCTGGTCCCCCTTTTCGGATGTTTTGGCTCAACACGGGTCAACATGGGCCGTCTTGGACCTCAAGATCGGTCCATATAGGCCCCATGATGGACCCACATTGCCTTCAAGATAGGCCAGCATAGCTCCAAGATTGGCCCACATAGCCTCAAGATGGGTCAACATAGCTTCAAGATTGGTCAACATAGCCCCAAGATGTGCCAACATAGGATCAAGATGGACCCACATTGCCTTCAAGATAGGCCAGCATAGCCCCAAGATGGGCCAACATAGCCCCAAGACAGGCCGCCGACTCTGAAAATGTCATGTGTTTTACAGTGTTAGCTTGCTGACCCACTTTTTCGGAAATTCCGTCTTATGACGGAATATCAGCGGTATCGGCACGGAAAAAGGATGATTTTTCTCTCTTTTCTTTCTCTCTGTCTCTCTCACTCTCTCCGTCTGTCTGTCTGTCTGCCTGTCTGTATTGGGCCACTCTCATGACGAAATTTGGCTGGTCTCATGATGGACATTCGGTCTCATGACGGAATTTCGCTATTATCATAACGGAATTTGGCTGCTCTCATGACGGGATTTCGATCTCATGACGGAATTTGGGTGTTTTTCTCTCTTTCCTTCTCTCGCGCACTCTCTCTCTCCCTCTCTCCCTTTCTTTCTGTCTGTCAGTCTTCGGGCAGTCTGACGGGTGATTTTGGTCTCATGACGGAATTTGACTGCTCTCCTGACGGTTTTTCGGTATCATGACGAATTTAGATGTTTTTCTTTCTTTGTTTCTCCTTTTCTGGCTCTCTCTCTCTCTCTCTCTTTCTGTCTGTATGTCTCCGGGCAGTCTGACGGACTTTGGCCGGTCTCATAACAAAAACTTGGGTCTCATGACGAAATTTTGACGGTCCCATGACGTAATTTGGCTGCTCTCCTGACGGGATTTCGGTCTTGCATTTTCAGGCCAATGACGGCAAAATTGATTAAATATGTCATAGGCGTTCACGGAAGCAACCATGTCAATACCCCCGGCAGCGCTGCCAGGTTATGCCCCCATTTCTTCTCTACGCCATTTTGGCGCAACTCTGGCGCCGCAAAGCCCCGAGCTTAATACGCCAGGCAGCCACTGATGTTTCTGTGAGTATTTTGCCCGGCGCTTTGCGCTGCCAGGTTATGCCCCCATGTCTCCTCTACGCCATTTTGGTGCAACTCTGGCGCCGCAAAGCCCCGGGCTAAAATACTCCAGGCAGCCGCTGATGTTTCCGTGGGTATTTTGGCCTTTTCACGCGTCAATTTTCCCAAGGTGCGGGTAAATGCCCTGAAGGAAGCCCCTCAGGCAGGCCACCTTTGATCCCTTGAAGCCTTCAATTCTTTGATTCTCTTGCCTTGATTGCAGGCGGAACCAGAAGGAGAGCAAGCGGACGCAGGATGGATGTGGGACGGGCCCTGGGAAGAATGGAACCAGGATCTCCAGACCCTCCTGCCCTGTGAGGCGCGGGTGCAGTAGCGTGTCAACCTTTATGTGTATAAAAGGCGCCTTGTGTTGCTAGAGGCTTTGTGGTTCATCAAGTTCATGGCTCCGCACATTGATGAAAAGATCGCCTTGATGCCGCAGGCAAAGGGGCAACGGAGCCGACAATTCTTGCCCAAGAAACATGTGCGCTTGGCAGGCCCAAGCTATTGACTTCGACTGGGCAAGCGCCCTACCGCCAGAGCTGCCAGTCGAGGGGGCGAAGGCCGCCGAATACCATCATCACATATCATTCGTGTCAGTTGCATCGTTTCCTGTAAGTTTGTGCAGGTGATGTGCGGCCGGTGTGGGGAACACCTTCTTGTGATCTACCTCTCCGCGCCGGTGGAGGAGGTCTACACCAGGACGCTGGAAGCCCTCTGCCAGGCCAGGTGCACAGCACGTATCATATTGAATGTATCGCTGCCGCTGCGGAGGCCCTTGGCGCACTACCTTTCACTCCGTTGAATGCGGAGGCAGCCGTTGAAGCCCGAGTTTGGGTAGGAAACGCGTTCATCGGCAACGCGCCGATGAAGCCAGAGCTGCAGTGACGCGAGAAAAAAGGCAATGGCCCATTCGGTTTAGCCGTTTTTGAGTTTGTGTCTACAACCATCTCATGTACATACACACGCACACATACAAGCACCCCGTAAACTCATCTTGCTCGCACACATACAAGCACCCCGTAAACTCATCTTGCTAGTCCCCAATCATCAAGCACTGCTTTGGAATCAAGCCCGACGCGGCTGAGTGCTCTGCTGGGTTGGCCACGAAGCTTACGGGCTTGGAGCTGTCAAAGCAAAAGAAACTCCTGATGGCGAAGAAGGAATTTGACTTGGGAATGCTCCCATCATTTATGTCATCACCGCCATCAGAGTCATCACCCTCAGTCCAGCCTGGAGCCTAGTCTTTTTGAGTCATACTAAGTGTAAGATTTGCATCTAGTCACACAATGTATTTGTAGACATATGACAACGGAGTTGAATCAACAACATTCACTAGTTTCGGTGCTGCTACGGGTCTCTCTTTTGTGCATTTGAATGATTCAAAACTCAAGCCTCAAAAGTGTGGGAAAAGGAAACGGTGCGTTCAGAAATAGCAAACAGCCAAACAGTCAGTGCTATGATATTATATTATATTGCTATATGATATGATATGTTTTGATGTGATATGATACTGATATGATATTGTTTTTGATAATGTGTTTGGAAACTTCAAATCATCAAATCTCAATAGGAGGCAGCTTGACCAACTTTTGCTGTCAAGCTACTGCACCAAATTGGGGCTGATGGCTCCACGCGGCAAGGTCAGCATCTGTCGCCGCCTCCTCCTCTTCCACGGCACAGCCGATGGCAAAGCTCGGAGACCCATGATCTCAGAATATCGACTGACTGCATCGATTGCAAATTGGATTGCCATGCTTGCTCATTGTTTCTTAAGCTGGCTTTGACAATCTTGAATCTAGAATCAATAATCTTATCTTGACTTGTCTATGTCTAGGGAAGCCTTAGGAGCCTTAGGACCCTTGAATGGAGAGCCATTGGCAGCCATTGGATGAAACGCAAGACAACATAATTGAAAAACGACGCATGGGTCTTAATTATGATTTTTCCTTTGCCTTTGCGGTCCCTTGCGCGATCAGGTGCTCGGACAAGTTCTGCCATGTTTGCCAGCTGTGGATGAGTAGTAGAGTAGGCCATGGCCAGGGTCCTCAGCCGCAGCCCGGTCCGGGTCCAGACCCAAGAAACAACTTTGTCGGCTTTGTCTGGCTTTGTCTGACTTTGTCTTGTAGGCTCGTAGATTCTTTTCGTTCTTTGGATACACAGGTGCTCTATACACATGTTTGGCATGCCTTACTGGTCTGACTGTATGACTTTGCATTTGTAATCAAAAAATCGAAGAATGTTCGGAGTGGTCAGCTTGGGATCAGAATAAACGAATGATCTTGGGGGTCCGTCAAACTCCGTCACAGTCCACCAGTATGTTCCTGAAGACTGGTTGGTTTGTGATTTGTGCAAGTGCCCTGGGTGCCATCTTCTACATATCTTCAAATCCTCTGAATGTGGTTAAGAGATTTAAGAGATCATTTGTTAGACAGCTTTATGTGAAACTAATCTCTGACTCAATTCTTGTGGCGGTTGAGACATGAAACAATCAAATGGTTACCGCTTATGACATGCATTTGACAGTAACCTTCGCTTAGGCTGATGCGCTGATGAGTGGCTCTGGCTAGGTGACCGGCTTGGCTATGGGTGCCATACTCAGGATGACTCAGCACGTGCTGCTTCAAGGTATTTTCCGAAAATTTTGCAGGGAGGCAGGAGCCGTTCTCAAAGCACAATTTTCCCAGTCGGACTCGTCGAGCCCGAAGCCATTTTTCGACAGGTTAAGCTCAATTTTGCCTTTCTGAGCTTTGAAACGCTGTTTTGGCAGCCCGGGACCTCTAAAGAGCTTAATTTGGAGCAGAAATTGACTTGGCAAAAGCTTGGAAAGGCTCCGAAAATCGGATTTTGACGGCTGCGATCCTGCTATTAAACCGCTGACATAGGACCCTAGAGAACGAGCCATTTTCTGGCCGATCGTGGGGGGGACTCCAGGACGGCCCCAGAAAGCTCCCACGAAAGGCAAAAACGCGCTGTGCCGCCCTGTTTGTATTTGCCAAAATTTCTGCAGGGAGGCAGAAACCGTTCTCAAAGCACAATTTTCCCAGTCGGACGCGTCGAGCCCGAAGCCGTTTTTCGACATTTTAAGCTCAGTTTTGCCTTTCTGAGCTTTGAAATACCGTTTTGGCAGCCTGAGGCCTCTAAAGAGCTTAATTTGGGCTTCTGGGAGCTTTCTGGGAAAGGGGTCTAGACCCCAAACCCTCCAGAGCCCAAAGGGGGGACCCTTACCCAAAAACAGCCGTTTGAAAGGGAAATTGCTGCATAAACACCCTTTTTTGGACCAGGGGGGGCAATACATACGTATGAATTGCGACCTCCAGACCCCCAAAATGGACCAGAGTTTGGGGTTACTCTTTATATGCATAAAGTACAAGAAGAGGCGTGAATACGGTCACGCTTCAAGATGTGTATCTCGTGTGACGGTAAGGTTCATGCCTTATAGTAAAGCGCGTATGCGGTCCAGGCAGGAGGCTTTACCCTCCTGCTGCCGTTGCATTCAGTTGACATATAAAGAGTACACTCTCGGGCCCGTAGGACCCTCGGAGCCGCCTGTTCTCGGCGGCTGGGCGCTCGAAGGCTGCTGTATAGCGCCAACGCCTTCTCGCTTAGCTTACGGATTGTTTACGGATTTTTTCCGGATGTGGAGGACGAGGCTTACGGATTGTTTACGGATTTTTACCGGATGTGGAGGACGAGGCTTACGGATTGTTTACGGATTTGTACCGGATTTGGGGGAGGAGGCTTGCGGATTGTTTATGGATTTGGAATGATTTGGACCGGATTTGGGGGAGGAGGCTTGCGGATTGTTTATGGATTTGGACCGGATTTGGGGGAGAAGGCTTACGGATTGTCTACGGATTTTTACCGGATGTGGAGGACGAGGCTTACGGTTTGTTTACGGATTTTTACCGGATGTGGAAGACGAGGCTTGCGGATTGTTTACAGATTTGTACCGGATTTGGGGGAGGAGGCTTGCGGATTGTTTATGGATTTGTACCGGATTTGGGGAGGCGGCTCGCGGATTGTTTATGTATTTGGATCGGATTTGGGGGAGAAGGCTTACGGATTGTTTACGGATTTTTTCCGGATATGGAGGACGAGGCTTACGGATTGTTTACGGATTTTTACCGGATGTGGAGGACGAGGCTTACGGATTGTTTATGGATTTGTACCGGATTTGGGGGAGGAGGCTTGCGGATTGTTTGTGGATTTGGACCGGATTTGGGGGAGGAGGCTTGCGGATTGTTTATGGATTTGGACCGGATTTGGGGGAGAAGGCTTACGGATTGTTTACGGATTTTTTCCGGATGTGGAGGACGAGGCTTACGGATTGTTTACGGATTTTTACCGGATGTGGAGGACGAGGCTTACGGATTGTTTACGGATTTGTACCGGATTTGGGGGAGGAGGCTTGCGGATTGTTTATGGATTTGGACCGGATTTGGGGGAGGAGGCTTGCGGATTGTTTATGGATTTGGACCGGATTCGGGGGAGGAGGCTTGCGGATTGTTTATGGATTTGGACCGGATTTGGGGGAGAAGACTTACGGATTGTTTACGGTTTTTTTCCGCATGTGGAGGACGAGGCTTACGGATTGTTTACGGATTTTTACCGGATGTGGAGGACGAGGCTTACGGATTGTTTACGGATTTGTACCGGATTTGGGGGAGGAGGCTTGCGGATTGTTTATGGATTTGGACTGGATTTGGGGGAGAAGGCTTACGGATTCCTTACGGATTTGTGCTTTCTGGCTGACGGATTTTGTACGGATTTCTGCAGGTCAGCTTACGGACTCCTGGGGTTGAAAAGAGTTTTGGTCGGCGCAGGTGAAGAAAATCATCCACCGGAAGAAGATGTGAAAAAAATACGGTTCTAACAAGTAAGCATTCATTATGCTACCAAAGCTTGAGCAGTGCCATATAATACATTTAGGGTATGGTAAACCAAAACAACCAAACAACACAAACTACATCAAACTACTATGAGAATATATAATTACAAATATATATATATACACCAATTTATATAAAATCACCAAAACCACATCACGTGAAAACACTGCTGACTACCGGAGACGAGTCTGAAGCTGCGCATTGTTTTCCATTGCCAGCTGTGATGGATATGTTTGCCATCAGTGATTGAATCCTGCTTGATGGTTACGTTTCACCCATCAGTTAGCCAGCTGACCATCTTGGTCAAGTAATTAGAAACCAACCCTAGGGGTTGAGAAGAACGGAGCGAACGCTTGTCTGAGAATCCGAGTGGTCGCAAAAAATCGAAAAATACAAACAGAAGCAGAAGCAATGTACTCGTATGGATATAAATGTTCAATGCGAAAAGAAAAGGTTCATTGTCATTCTCAGGACATCAGCATGGAGTGAAAACAGCAAAAACATGCTGTAAACTCCCGGACTGAGTGTTCCAATGTAATGAAGCATTACATTGATTAAAACACAATGAAACCAGTTCATTAAGAGTGTGAATGCTGGCAATGCAGACAGTCGATGGTGTGTTTGCCGGTCGTGGTTAAATCTTTGGTCCTTGTCGTGGTTCACAGCCGGGTTTTGTCGTGGTTTGGAAATCTAGTTTTAGTCGTGGTGAAAACGTACTCTCTCTTGATGATCTTGATGATCTTGATGATCTTGATGATTTCGATTGTGCTTTGAGTATGTCTTGAACTCGGACAAATCAACACTCTTGAATATTTCTTCCGTGAGAAACTATTGAAGTGGATTGGGGTCCCCAATTCTCAGATCAAACAACGAGTTGAAGTGATACTTCCCGAATTCTTGTTGGTAATCACCTACCTGTTTGCTGGTGAAGAGCGGCCTCTCAAATACATACGAGTGATCTTCGAAAGTGGGTTTTACTCAAAATTTGGAACCCCATCCCACGGTTCAACACCACTTTCACCATGAACATGACACTTCTTTTGGCGTTTTTTTTCCCCTTTTGCATCATTTTTCTGGTCAGAAAATCAGGGATCATCCAGTGCCCACCATACTTATCCAAATATTTTTTGGGGGGATGAACATCCAGCACTTCTGGTGCGACAACCGGACTGCATGGTTGGATCCACGAGAGTTGGGAGTTTCAGGTTTCCTGGGCGGCATGGGCGGCAACGCCATGATCGGCTTGTCCACCATCAACGTTTTGAATGGCGGCCGCGGGCGCATGGCACCGACGCTTTGAAAAACGATGGGAGGTCTGGGAACACGGAAACCATCGAAACCTTGGGATTTCTACGCGTCCCATAGAAATCAACTGGGACTGTAGAAATCATCGAAAACGCCCAGTTGAACATAGTTGAACCATGAGAGCCATGGCGTTGAAAGGGGATAGATCAAATCGGAAAAAAACGCTTGGGAGAGGCGAACAAAAAATTGGACGTCGAAGACTACAAGCAAGAACAAACAGATTTCAGTGACATCCGGCGAGCTTCTGAGTTTCTTGATATGTTTGATCGTTAACTTACCTGTTTTGATGGTGAAAGCATACAGTTCTCACGGATTGTTTCAATCCACATTTTTCGATGAAATCCCCATTCAGAACATGGCTTTTGACCAAGCACCATAGCGTCCAAGGACCTGCACCGCACTGGTGGTCATGGCATCAGTCATGGGCGCCTATAGCTTGTTGAACTTCATCCCAGTGGCCGCGCTAGCAGGTGCGGGGACGAGCGTACCTTTTCCATCCTTTTCCGTTGCCCATCCATTTTTCCCTCCATTTTTCCAATGTAACCTGATGGCACTGGCATGGAGGCATCATGATTGTGGTGGTGCTCCACACCTTCAAATGGTTCTCCCTGGGCATGGTCTTGGCTGCCGTGTTGCCCAAGTGCGCCCGCGATCGTTTGAACTTGCACCGCAAGGTGCTTTCCGCGGGGAGTGGAGAGAGAGGTTGCATTGGAAAACGATGGGAAATGATGGGAATGCTCATATGTTTTCAGATTGTTTTCACATGCGAATCGAGGGCAGTAGTTAAAGTTTACTAAAGATAGGGCAAGAGGGTAGCATGTCACAGCTTCCAACGTGCTGTTTTTTTTCAGGTTCCACGTATTGAAGCTATGGTGGTGCTCGCAACTTGGCCCAAGAGATGGCGCTGAAGCTGAAGAGTGAAAGCAAATCAAGATCAGTGGGTTTCAAGGGAAAATTTGACTTAAATTCCATGCTTTCTGGCTTAAACTTTTCCCTAAACAGCCAATCCATTGAAAGCAGCCATAGCCCACTGATGCCCACTGCATCCAGGTGGTCACCATTTTGTCCAAGCAGACCAACATTGCAGTGGCCGTGTTAGTGGGCGTCTCCATCTGCGCCATTAGCTTCGCATGGGACGCGGGCAACGACTTCAAGCTCAGCGAGTCCATGAAGCTTGGCATTTTTTTTCGGAGGGGATGGGTCCAGAGAGAGAGAGAGCCACACCAGACTTGGGTAGATTAAAATAGCATCAAGCCCGTTCTGTGTATGATTGGTAGTGACAACAGGCAATGTTTCACTCGTAGCGATGCGGCCAATGTCTTTGACCTTTTTCTGTTTGGGATTGGTCTTTGACGGCGGCATTATGCACCTTCTGAAATGGATGCTTCGGTAGCGAAAAAATAGGACCAGCGATTTCCATGTTGTCCCAGAGGTAGATATACCAACTAGTTGGCCATATATCCTATGGATCCTATGGTCCCCCATAGATGACCAGTTCTACTTGGATTACTTGGCCATATTAGCAATAGTATACGAGCTGCCTTGAGGGCTGGCGACATCAAGGTTTACGATGTGCCTGGGCGATCAGTTCGTGGGTTCGTGCATCCAAGTGAGTGATTTAGAAGCCTCTAATATTAGCCAGATATAACTGAGGACATTAGAGGTTTCTAATAGAGGATATATAGCCAGATATATAGTGGTTTTAGATACCTGATATATACTGAGGATATTTTTAATTCGGGTATAATATACTACTGTATACTAGTGTAACTGGGATGCACCCCTAAGTTTGACAAGGGACATGATGATCAACCAGAATCAACCATCAAGCATCATCAAGCTCTTTTCAGACAAAGCCGCATATGTTCCGCCAACTTTGGTTTGGTGTAGGAGAGCAAGGCTCCGAGAAACACGCAAAGCACCTTTTGATAACCTAACCTGGGGCTGGAAAAAACATCCTCATTTGTTTCGATATTTCGATGACATTCTCCACGCATTCCCACAAAGCCATTTCGAATCATGTGGAGTGAGGATTTTACCATGAAACTCCCCCGATGTCAACTCCCCCATGTCAAAGGCGATTTTGTCATTTAGAGATGGATTTTCCCATGATTCTCGCACATTTTCCATGTTTTTCCCATGTTTTTCGTGGATCTCCACCGTGCCCCCAGTGGTTTCCTCGGTTTCGGTTTCACCAGGTGGATGGTCCCTTGTTCTTCACCTCGGCCAACCGCCTCGTGAAGCTCCTGGACAGCGAGAAGGACCCACAGGAGGTGGAGCTGCGCTTCGGGGAGGCCACGCTGATGGATTTCACCTCGGTAGAGACCTTGCACAAAATCGCGCTGAACTATCAGAATGCAGGTGAGATTCGGTGTGTTGGGATGGGACATATGTGGTGATGGGATGTTGGGATGTCTTTTTTTTCCAACTTCAACATGGGGCAAAGCAAGGTTGTGATGATGATTTGATAGAGATTTCATATGGGAAGATACTGAGATTTGGGATCTCTCTCGTCTCTCTCGTCTCTCTGTCTCTCTCTCGCTCTATAAATATATATATATACATATAGTAAAATATAGTAAGCCAACCTCTGCATATCTGTTGGGTGCACTACATATAATATAATATAACATAATATAATATAATATATTATAATATAGTATAATATAGTACAGTATGATATAATAATATAATATAATAATATAATATAATAATATAATAATATAATAATATAATAATATAATATAATAATATAATATAAAATTATAATATAATAATATAATATAATAATATAATATAATAATATAATATAATAATATAATATAATAATATAATATAATATAATACAATATAATATAATAATATAATATAATATAATATAATATAATATAATAATATATATATATAATAATATAATATAATATATAATATAATATAACAAAATATAAGATAATATAAGATAATATAACATAACATAATATAATATAATATAACATAAGATAATATAGTTTAGTATAGTATGATATGATATAATATAATATAATAAAATAAAATATAATATAATTTAGTATAGTATGATATAATATAATATAATATGATATGATGTAATATAATATAACATAACATAATATACTATAATATGATATGATATGATATGATGTAATATAATATAACATAATATAATATAATATAATATACCATCTGGTAAATTAACATAGAGCCTGAAAATAGCTTAGTTTTAATGGAAACTAATCTTCCAACCCCTATCTGCCAGGGTCTATGTTAATTTACCAGAGGGTAATATAACATAATATAATATAATATGATATAGTATAGTATGATATGATATAATATATAATATAATATAATATAATATAGTATAATATAATATAATATAATTTAATATAATATAATGTATAGTATGAGATAATTTAATATAATATAACATAATATAATACAATATAATATGATATAGTAAATTATGATATAATATAATATAATATAATATGATATAGTTTAATATAATATAGTATAGTATGATATAATATAATATAATATGATATAATATAGTAAAGTATGATATGATATGATATAATATAATATGATATGATATGATTTGATATGATATAATATAATAATATAATAATATCATAATGTAATAATATAATATAATATAATACAATATAATATAATATAATATAATATATAATATATAATATATAATATAATATAATATAATATATAATATATAATATATAAAATAATATATAATATAATATATAATATAACATAACATAATATAATATAATATAATATATAAAATAATATATAATATAATATAATATAATATAATATAATATAATAATATAATAATATAATAATATAATATATTATATATAATATAATATAATATACTATAATATAATATATAATACACTATAATATATAATATAATATAATATATAATATAATATATAATATAATATAACATAACATAATATAATATAATATAATATAATATATAAAATAATATATAATATATAATATAATATAATATACTATACTATAATATAATATAATATAATATAATATATAATATAGTATATAACATAATATAACATAACATAACATAACATAATATAATATAATATAATATAATATAGTATAATATAATATATAAAATAATATATAATATAATATAATATAATATAATATATAATATAATATGATATGATATGATATGATATGATATATATACACACATGCAATTTCAGAGAGATGGGTATTTTGAAGGGGGTATTAATCTGTATATTCTCCCAAAAGACGGTGAAACGGGAGAGATGGGTTGGAGATCACGAGTAGTCTCGAGGCATATCAAACGTGGCAACCCTTGAAGTTTTGATGGGAAATTCATGGGGAAATATGGGAAAATATGGGAACATGCCCTGTAAATGAAGGTTTAGTTCGCTGGGAAAATCATTGAACTGGGTGATTTTGCAAGCCACGTTCTGATTACCAGAGGGTATCAATCATTGTATCCCTTATCCTGAAACTATGAGAATAAAAGTTGGCTACATGGATGTGAAAATATGGTAGATGGGATGATCTTGGATCGAGATTGGATGGTGGTTTTGCTGGCCCAGAATACGATGGGTGTGTCTGAAAATGCACATTTTCAATTTACGGCCATTCTAAAGTGTGGAAAATGATGGAGGTAGCCATTTTTCAGGTCCAGACCATCCTATTTTCATGGAGGTAGCCATCCTATTAGGTACAGTAGCCATGGCTTTCAGAAAGCCCACATGACGTGGTAAGGGATGATGGGGGATGGATCTTCCATGATGAGGACAGCTATGGCTATGGTATGGTTAGGGATGGGATGATTGGTGTATGATGGGGAAAAAGAGGGGTTGTAATGTATATGTATACATATCGTATATCATATATCATAATATATATATATATATCATATTTATCATCTATCATGTCATGTAAGTATAGTGTATCATGTATCATATTACTATGACATATCAATATGAATATGACTATCAATGTCAATATCCATATCTATTGAGCGAGTTCGTAGGTGGTGTATCTTTCAAATCTGGCGCTGGGGGATGGGGAGAGGTAAGTCTTCCAGGTCCAGACCAGAATATTTTTGAGGACCTGGCACGTGCAGGGCTGCTGCTGCGTTTTGAAATTGATATATATATATATATACACAGTATCATATACCATATATCACATATCATCCATATATCCAAGTTTTAAACCTGCTGGTTTCGAAGCTCTCAGTTTTTGTTGTTTTCTGAGCAGTGAGCCACCCTAGCGGTTCCAATCCGCGAGGCAAAAGCATCACCTTCCACACGCTGAACCTGAGCAGCCAGAAAATCATCGAGAAGGATGGGACTGGTGAAGGTTGATGGCTGGTAAATTCCCCATTTACTCAAAAGACATCATGTTCGACTACCAGTTGAGGTATGTTGACGGGGGTATCCCCACTAAATGGGGCACTTTGAGCTCGCTATGCTTTACCAACCCGCTTTTAGCCATGTCACAGGCCAACCATTTGGTGCGCGCCATCGAGTACACCTCCTCGGATGATGCCGTGCGCTTGCCGAGCGTGCGGCCTGGCATCTGGTGCGACCGTTCGGAAAAGCTGTGGATTTTGACCAGGAGAAACGGGAAAACATAGGGGGAATTAAGGGACCATGAGAAATTGAGGGTATAGGGTGTATAACCAAGAATAGATGGGATATGATGGGACAGTTTCCGCAAGTCTGGGATTCAGCATCAAAAATTGATCAAAACACGTGTTTTTGCCGGATTCAACGGGATATGCTGGGATATAAATGGGGGACAAAGCAACAACTTTGTGGGGAAACGTGGCACCGGGGGGATTGTGCCATGAACAATGGGGGAGGTAGAACCAAGAATAAATGGGACAATTTAATACATGGAGATTTATAGGGATGTAAATTAGTAAACCAACAATCGCGGGGTTTCGCCCAATAAACAATGAATATGGATATTGATGGCATATTACTAATGATACGCTGATTGGGGATACTTGTGGATTTACCAAGACTTTTCACATGGGACCCAACAGTTGGGCATGGGATCCAAGATAACAATTCACAAACCACCCCCGTACTTGAGAGCAAAAACCTTGGTTTCCTGTAGATGTACCAATCCATTGAATTAAACACTCCCAAACGAAACTCTATTGGATCTATTCAGGACTTGGGGTCCCAGTCACAAAGATATTTGGCAGGGATGGGAGAACTTGGATGATCACAGTTCATAACTGGTTTTGGATTGAGGTGTTTTTTTTGGGCAATAATGCTGAAGATCAGAAGGTAGGTGACACCTTTCTTCCAGGATGGAAGATGGTAAGCTGCAGATGGATGATTTTTATCTTGCCATTTTTTGACGGAAGGGCACAACACATAGACATTCCTGCGAAAAAATGCTTGCAGCATGAATGATTCTGCCATGTTTTGTAGCAATGTAGCAGGTTCTCCAACCGAATTTGGGAAGTTCCCAGTACATATTGTGCTAAATCCCATTTCAAGAATTCGACAATGGCTTGCATCAGGTCTCTCAACTTCAGAAAACAGTAAACATGGAGATGGGATGATTATCTTCCCGCAAACGAACATAGCTATCGAAAAGCCACCATTTCAAGATGAGTTCCGAACTGGATTTCCATAGCTTTTTGTATGTTTACTGGAGGGTACTGTAGTACTAACTAACAAATATCCCAGCACTATTCCATTAATGTTCCATTGATGTTCCATGAATATGTCCATGAATCTTCCCATGTATATTCCATGAATATCCCATTCTCCATGGTTTTTCCTATACAACACCACCATTTTTGCTGAATTCACCATGGCCTTTTTTAAGGGGGCGGTGCCTAAGGCCAAGCTTCACGGAGGGCTTCCGGCACGATCCCATGACGCAGCAGGGCGTCTTCGATCGAATCGCCAGCTTCGACAGGGTCAGCAGTCCAGGCGAAGCGGCGAAGCGGCGAAGCGGCGAAGCGGCGAAGCGAACGGGGATCACTGAGGAAAAGCAATGGGAGTGGGGAAAGCAAAATGATCTAGACAGGATTTTCCCCACTATTTCCCATTGCTTTCCCCAGATCACCAGATCACCATTTCATTCTGGGCATTTTCCAGATGATGAACATGTTAGTGAAATCACCAGGATTTTGCCACCAAGAAAGCATGGGATGATTCACGGTATGACTGGGATAGAATGGCATATTCATGAAATATGAATGAGAAAGTAGGGATGCCCAGGCAGATATCAACTTTTAATGAACACATGATAAACCATGAACATTGGGGGATTTTAACAACAAGACGACGGATTCAGTGGAATATTAATGGAATATACAACCAACGAACCAACAATATGTACCAACGAGTGGGACATGATGGGATACAATGAAGGCATAACGGGATATAATCCCACCTCCCTGATTAAACATCCCTTTTTATGCTCCCCTATATGCGATCTCATCCCTACTTTTTACCATGGTTTCTGGGGGTGTTTAATATTAGGGTTTCTGCGATTCATATGGAACGTGGACCAATTTGTGGATGAGCTACCTATTGAAAATGCTCGAAAATGGTGGATTACCAGAGGCTGGGGAGTTTTGCGGATTGAACTTTAATGACAGTGGCACGTTTTTTTCAAAGTAGCTATCTAATCTACAATCATAATTATAATGATCAATTATCCACTAAGAGTGATTATACCACATTCCAAATCATGCCAAGAATCGGGGAGAATCGGGGTATACCCAACAATAAACCACAAATCGGGGCTGGCTCATTGTTGTGGATCCTCCTTGGGGTGCTTGTTGGCTGACAGAGGCGGCAAGAAGGACAGCGCACCAAAGGATCTGGAAGTGGACGTGTAGAGTCTAGTGCTTGGGCCCCGGGAGCCCAACAAATCTGGTTGGGCCCCAGGGGAGCTGATGACTTTTGGCTAAGATGTCCTTTTGGAAAGATTTAAAAAGATAATGACAGGTGTAAAACTTCATGCAATGCCAGTTGCTAGTGGAGCCACCAAAAGCAGGGAGCGCTAGTTCTGAATGCCAAAGACGCTGCGACTTTGCATCGTCGGAATTCGTGCTATTTGCAGTCGGTTGCGTGGAAATGTGTGACTGACGAGAAAGTTTGGGCTCTGGGGTTGCAAAGAGGCGATCTGCCAAAAAGGTGTAGGAATCGAAGCACCCCAGGCCGTTTTCCACTTAATTCGTCGACCTGCAGTAGCCAGAGTCTTCGCGCCAAATGTGTGCGGACGGACCAATTCTTAGACTGTGACAGCCGGCCACAGAACGGCCATTTGGGTGTCCTGTTGGCTCGCAATACGGTTGGGTCGGGGAACTGTCCCTTGGACCCTTATAGGCACTGACGTGCCCCCCAAACACAAGCAATGATTGTGTTGGGGCGAACGAATCCGCTTGAGAGTCATCTCTTCAAAAGTCTAGCTGCACTGCAGATTCGTTTGCAACTTGATGCTGGCAAGTGGGGTTATAGGCTAGGTGTACACCTGCATGCAATACCTCCCCAACAACCACTCCTATAAGTAGCCCGTTGGTAGTCTCCACAATGATGATTGCTTAATTCACTCATACCCTTGAGCATGTAGAGTAGAGACTGCCAACCCGCCAGTCGCGTATCGTATTCAGCATGTATTTCATCCTATGGCCCATGCTATTCTGCAACTGTTCATATCTATTCATGGTCAATATGACACTATGATAAACACAATGATAGTGATAATCATTACAATATTATCATATGTCATATGACATTTATCCTTAATTTTTGCAATGATAATTCTATGACAAACTTATAACTCCTATGGCTTTTCCGGCACAATTTTCCATGAAGAAGTGCCACCAGGCACAGCGGAACGGTGCGTGGGGTGCTCAGAGATTCTGCAGATGGAATCCCATGGAAAAACCTGTGAAAACCTGGAGTTTCAACTGCAACATTTCCCGGAAACCAATCATAACATAACCAATTGGCTATGAATCAATATCTATAGATACCATTTTTAGGGGAATGAACATCCATTTACCAGCTATTTTGATGTTCACCAGGGGTACAAGGTTTTGACCCATACCCAATTGACAGTACCATCTTTGGTAATTTTAGTCAGTCATAGTCAGTCGTTTTTTTTGTTTCAGGGTGAAACATCATTGAAAAACCCCTTGTTGGGATGGTACCAGCTGCCTGATTTGGGAATGGTGGCGGAAAGGTTTGGGCCCTCGAAAAGTCGTCCTAACTGACATGCTGCAAACATTGGGAACCATTTCACTAGACAGACCCAAGAGGCTACTTAATGCCATCTTGTTGCTACTTTCCTCCATCATGAAGGCAAATTTTGTGGCTGTAGATCAGCTGTAGATCAGCTGTAGGACCACAAAACTACCCTCTAGATCCCTCTAGTAATTTGACATCGCTATGGGCAATCTCTATTTTTAGTCTGTAAATCACCGAACTATAGATGGCCATTTTCAAGTTCGCAAAGTGTTGAATTCTCGGAGGGCAATGACCGGCCCCAAGGTCTTCTCGCTATGGCGATTCTGCGGCCGCGTCGCAGATCCAGGAGACACCAATGGGATGATCGAGCAGATATGGCAGATATGGCAGATATGGTGGAGATCCGTGATACCCAGATTTGGGTTGATGTGGGAAAATCACCATTTTCAATGGGTAAATCCACTATTTCTATGGCCATTTTCAATGGGTAATTCCACTATAAATGGCAGATATAGTGGATGTATCCACTGTATCTGCTGTGTATCCCTGAAGACAACTCAAATCTCCGCGTTTCAGGGCGAAAAATTGGATCATTTTTTTGGGCGCATTTTTTTTTTGAAGGTGGGAACTACACGACGTACAATAAACATTCCAACTAACTTACCACTTTAGCGCCCATTATAATCCGAAGAATCGGGATAAATACACGTATAGTATACACACAATATATACATATTACAAATATACATATATATGTATATATATTATTATTATTATTATTGTTATTATTATTATCGTTATTATTGTTATTATTATTATCGTTATTATTGTTATTATTATTACTATTATTATATATAATATACACAATAGTAAACCAGCAATGGGGGATTGTATATTCTGGTGGGTCCCAGATTAAATAATTGGACAATTCGTTATTCCTACTTACTACTATCATTGTTGTCATTATCATCATGATTATTATCAGTATCGTTTGGATTTTTTTTGGCTTTTGTGGGATATTCGGGACCATTTAAGCTGAAAGGAACATGACTATTTATTAGGGATCTTATTTATCATGATTATTGGCAGTAAATTACTAGTAGCGAGGTAGTATAAACACTCATAATTACTTTATCCCCAGTAATTGATAGTCATTATTATTATCCCCCACGTTTTCAGATTTCATTTTTGATCCGGGATGCGATCCCAGGACGCCATTGGGAGAGTGCAGAGCCAAGCCCTGAAGATTCAGGCGCGGAAGCACGGGGTAGCCTCCATAGCTGACATAGCTATTGAAAACTGCCATCTATAGATGGTTTACCTATGTTTACCTGCTAAAAATGGTGATTTTTCATAGTTATGTTAGCTTACTGGAGGGTAATCATTCTACATGTTCCCTCACAAATTGCTGTTTTTTTTTGGTGATGGAGAAATCGGGGTTGAGATGAGGTGCAGAGGTGGAGACCGGTGCAGACTGAGTCGTGGATTTTCCAAGATCGACCCTACTTGCAAGTTTGAACTTCAGGATCATATCATATTGCCTAGTACATATATATATAGATATAGATATGTATGTATATAATATGTATATATGTATATATATATATACATCTGTATATAATATGTGAATATATATATATACATACACATAGATACATGTATGCAGTATAAGAATACGAGTTGCTTAAATTGATATCGAGAGAATCCACAGCATCCGCCTGTGCGACCTGCTGTGCTGCAGGATTTGAAGCATCAACTTCGTTCACGGCCTGGTTGGGAGTCCACACGAACCAGTGATGGTTGATGTTTATTGGGGGGTTACCGATTTGAAGGCTCCAGTGCTCCTATAATATGTATGTATACATATACATATACATATACATATACATATACATATACATATACATATACACATATACATATACATATAAATATACATATACATATAAATATACATATACATATACATATAAATATAGATATAAATATACATATACATATACACAAATCACCATGAATCGTTGAAGAACGCGTGAAATGAACCAGTGGAGGTGTTGATTCTCCTTTCCATCCCCATTTTCATGGTTGGGGGCCACACTTCAGCCAAAATGAAGGTTCAAAATTGTCCATAATCCATCTGGATAAATACAAGGACCTCGCAATGTTACTGGACTGATTTTCTTCTTTTTTTTTAAATGAGGCAATGATCCCAAAATGACCCCACTTTCTATCACATGGATGGAACCACGAGGCCTGGCTTCGAGCGACCAGTCATCTCGCGTGCGGGGACTCAACTGGTCGCTAACGATGAAGTCGATATATCTATAGTTGGATAGGGCGATAAATCATCATAAGTTTATAAGTCAACTTTTTAGTGGGCCCCACATTGTGGATATTGTGGGAAGTTTTTGGGTCTTTTGGGGTGCAATGTAAAAGATCAGCTAGATCAACTAGGTATGGTTTAACAGTTACTACTGTAAGTTGGAACCCTGGTCTCACCACAATGTTTTTTCCTGTCGAAAAACAATCCCACCTTTGACCCACATCCCATGTATTTTGGGTGGTCATGTTATGTTAGCTCTGAGGTCTCCTCTGGGCTGGATCCTCAGTCGGGTGCAACGGCTATCACGTTTTTGGGGTTTCCCCCCCAAAATTGTTAAAAACATTAGTTCAAAGAAGTTTTATAAATTCAAATTATAGCAGTATAACAACTCAATAATTATTTGAAAAAAACATAACAACTAACCACAATTACCTCATTCATTCCACAAAATCATCACTACTAACCATATCATCATCTCATTCATTTTCGTAAATCAAAACAACCTACAATCTCTATACCTCATCCATTTTATAGAAATCATCACAGTCAATACATCATCACCTCATCCATTCCATACCCAAAACAAAACAACCAAACAACAAACAAAAAAAACCAAACCAAGCAAAGCGCAACATAAAAAACAAAACAGTAGACAACAATACAGATACTTCCTTAGTCTTTAATAATCCTATCTTACAAACCCATAACTCTAATAATATTATCATTAAAATTATGTAAGTAGTAAACGACTTCAATAATTACTAATTCAAAATGAAATGCTTGTATTCCTATTATACTGTCTTTATCATTGTCTTCATCTATATCTTCCTGTATTTCTTCAACTGCTTTATCTAATACATCATCTATATTATCTTTATCTACGTATTCATCAAAGCCATTCATAAAATAAATCTCTCTATAACTAAATTCATTTTCTCCATATTCCTTTTCTGGGAGTTTTGCCACTAATTGAACTTCAATATCAAGTTTAACTCTATAATTTACATCATCTTCTACTTCTTCATAAATTAAAGATAATAATTCTTCTTTTTCTTCTGTTATTATGTCTTCTATACTTTTTAAACTAAATGGCACTCCCTCTCTCATAATACAGTATTCAATGATATATATATATATCGTTTTTTCTTTATTTCAAATGTCTTGTTATTTTAGGACCAAGTCTTGATATTTTATATTGTGCTGTATTCTCTTCGATGCTTCACTCTACTTTACTTTCAAATATTTCGGGTCTCCAATTTTTTTCCGAATCAATTTTACTCAACACATCAACAGGTAAATCCTTCACACAATCCATCCCACTAATATACTTAAATAACTATTCTTTAAGTATATATTCTATGATTAAAATAAAGCATTCTTTTGAAAACTACTTAAAGATAAATTAACTAAATAAAATATATACTATTATATGATGAAAAAAGTTATAGACTATTTATTGAGTAATGATTTAGCAGAAATACCAAAGAGAGGAAGGAAAGAATTGAAGTCCATAATCATAGACAACAGGAAATTCAGATACAACAAAGACAAACCCATATCAAATGTCTTGACCAAGAAACTACTATCAGTAAAGAACACTAATGAATACAGAAGTTATGCTATGAAAAAGGCAACAGATGTTGTAAGTAGAGAAAGGGTTAGACAATTAATAACCAAACACGCAATAAGAAATAAATTTAGGGTCAGAGATATTCAATCAGCATCTAGAAGATATGCTAATTCAATAGTTTTAGAAAACAAGCACTTTCAAGGAGAAAGATGATTAGAAATGATTGCTCACCAAAAGCAAAAACTATCAGAATTTTTAAGCAATAATAGAAACATGAAACTTAACATAAGAACGGAAGGATTATTTGAAAAACCTGAATATGATGATGGAGGAAATGAATTAGGAAGTCAAGAACTTGTATATGCTTTACCATCAACATATCATCCAATTCACAATGAATATGAACTGACACAAGCATTAGAAGATAGTGTTATTCAAATCCGATTACAAATACACAATTTGGAAGGTTCAACATCTAATTTAAGATTTAGAAAGATTTTATCAATAACTATTCACTATGACAAATTTGACCCAACAAGAGCAGGCAGTTTTATAGAATTACCAGAATGGATTAAATCAAAGAAAGCTTGTATCAACATAAAAAATAAAGACCAAAAATGTTTCAAATACTGTATTCAATCCGTAGTCTATGACAAAATTAGCAAACATCACCCAGAGGAAATGTTCCACTATAATAAACTAAACGATGATATTTTGAACTGGGATGGTGTAAAATTTCCAACTTGCAATAGGGACATAGACAGATTTGAAGAGAACAACAACTTAATTTCAATAAATGTTTTTGAAACTGATGACTGCCTAAATGATAATAAAATAATCATACATAGAGGCACTAAAAATAGAAATGCTAAATATGAAATTGATTTATTAAAAGTCTATGATAAAGGTAATAACTATCACTATGTATTAGTGAAAAACAAAAGTAGATTACTTAACTGCCAAAGCAACAAAAATATCAACAAGAAACACTACTGCCATCATTGCTTAAACCCTTTCTCATCAGAAAAGGCATGTAAGAACCATCTTGAAAAGGGATGTATGGCATCAGAAGGACAACAAACAAAGATGCCTGATAAAGACACTTACATAGAATTTCAAAAACATAATACCAAATTGCCTTGTCCTTTTGTAATCTATGGTGATTTTGAATGTCTAACCACTAGCTCTAACAATGGTATAAAAGGCACATATCAGGAACATAAACCGTGCGGTTATATGTTGAATGTAGTAAGAAGGATTGATAATACATGCCAACCATACTTATACAGAGGTGAGGATTGTATGAAAAAGTTTGTAGAACAACTGACTGAAATTAAGAAAGATATATTTGAAAAGATGGATGTTAATAGACCAATGGATGAATTAACTTACGAACAAAAGACAGAATTTAGAAACGCGACCCACTGCTCTATATGTAATAAGAAATTTCAACCTGATGATACAAAAGTCCAAGACCACTGCCACTTCACAGGCAAATACAGAGGCGCGGCGCATGTAAAATGTAATTTGGATTATTCATTTAGGTATTTTAAGATCACTATTTTCTTTCATAATCTTAAAAATTATGACGCTCACTTAATCATAGCAAAAGCAAATGAACTAAACATAGAACTAAACCAAAACAAAAGAATAGATGTAATAGCACAAAACAGCGAAAAGTTCATAACCTTTTCATTTGGCGCTTGTCAGTTTAAAGACAGTTTTGCTTTCTTAACAGCATCATTAGATAAATTAGTTAGACTGAACAAATATGAAGGAAATGAACAGATTAAAAACTGGGAAACTCGTTTTAGATATACAAGCACTAACCCATACATTAAATCAAAAACTGATTTGAATTTACTAACTGAGAAAGGGGTATATCCCTATGACTACATGAACTCATGGGAGAAATTCGATGAAACAAAACTACCAAAAAAGGAAGATTTTTACAATAAATTATATGAAGAACACATAACTGACAAAGACTACGCCAGAGCAAATATCGTATGGAAACATTTTGACATTAAAAACCTTGGTGAATATCATGATTTATATTTGATGACTGATGTATATTTACTAACTGATGTATTTGAAAATTTTAGGGACATGTGCTTAAACTATTATGGATTAGACCCAGCATATTATATCACTTTACCTAACTATTCTTGGAATGCCTTTTTATCATTAACAGGAGTTAGACTTCAACAAATCCACATAAAAGAAATGTATGAGATGATTGAAAAAGGATTAAGAGGAGGAATGACACAATGCTCCTTCAAGAAAGTAGAAGCAAACAAAAAATACATGAATGAAGATTATGATAAATCTAAACCTTCATCGTACATAAGTTATTTAGACGCTAATAATCTTTACGGATTAGCAATGTGTAAGAAACTTCCCTATGATGATTTTAAATGGCATTACGGTAGAATGGATGAAAAGAGAGTAATGAAATATTGTGATGATGATGACATAGGATACATACTGGAAGTTGATTTAGATTACCCAAAAGAACTACATGATTTACATAAAGACTACCCACTAGCACCTGAAATCATGTGTATCAATGAGAGTATGCTTTCACAAGTCCAAAAGGATATACACAAATACTATTATGGAAAAGATGCCAGTGATGAAAAGACAAATAAGTTAGTATTAAATGTGATGGATAAAAAGAAGTATGTTTTTACACATATCAGCATTGAAATTCTATTCGCAACACGGATTACGTCTTAAAAAAGTCCATAGGGCAATAAGTTTTAAACAAGCAAACTTCCTAAAACCATTCATTGAATTCAACACTGAAAAGAGAAAGAATGCCAACAATGACTTTGAAAAAGATTTGTTTAAGTTAATGAATAATAGCGTATACGGCAAGACCATGGAGAATGTAAGAAAGCATGGTGATTTTGAAATTGTCAATACGCCTGAACGCTTCCAAAAACGGGTAAATAAACCGCTATTCAAGCACAGACATATCATAAATGAAGACCTTGTAATTGTTGAAAAAGATAAACACACAGTGGAACTAAACAAACCTATCTATATGGGTATGTCTATTTTAGACTATTCTAAAATTCACATGTATTCCTTCTCTTATGATGTTTTGAAACCAAAATATCAAGATAATATTAAATTGGTCTATACTGATACTGATAGTTATGTAATCAAAGTTGAGACTGATGACTTATATGAAGACTTTAAGGAGATGAATGATTACATGGACTTTAGTGATTATCCACCAGAGCATCCAAACTATGATAAAACAAACAAGAAGGTATTAGGAAAATTCAAGGATGAAATGAACGGTAAAATAATTACTCACTTTATAGGATTGAAACCAAAGGCATATTGCTATAAAGTATATGGTGACGATAAAGAACATACGAAGAGTAAAGGAGTAGTAAAGCATAAAGTGAGCAATCAGTTAAGTTACAAAACCTATGACGAGACATTGAATAGAAACTGTAAAGAAGAAGTCAGTTTCAACACTATCAGAAGTAAGAACCATCAAATCTATAGCATTAATCAGACTACAATAAATAGTCTATAACTTTTTTCATCATATAATAGTATATATTTTATTTAGTTAATTTATCTTTAAGTAGTTTTCAAAAGAATGCTTTATTTTAATCATAGAATATATACTTAAAGAATAGTTATTTAAGTATATTAGTGGGATGGATTGTGTGAAGGATTTACCTGTTGATGTGTTGAGTAAAATTGATTCGGAAAAAAATTGGAGACCCGAAATATTTGAAAGTAAAGTATAGTGAAGCATTGAAGAGAATACAGCACAATATAAAATATCAAGACTTGGTCCTAAAATAACAAGACATTTGAAATAAAGAAAAAACGATATATATATATATCATTGAATACTGTATTATGAGAGAGGGAGTGCCATTTAGTTTAAAAAGTATAGAAGACATAATAACAGAAGAAAAAGAAGAATTATTATCTTTAATTTATGAAGAAGTAGAAGATGATGTAAATTATAGAGTTAAACTTGATATTGAAGTTCAATTAGTGGCAAAACTCCCAGAAAAGGAATATGGAGAAAATGAATTTAGTTATAGAGAGATTTATTTTATGAATGGCTTTGATGAATACGTAGATAACGATAATATAGATGATGTATTAGATAAAGCAGTTGAAGAAATACAGGAAGATATAGATGAAGACAATGATAAAGACAGTATAATAGGAATACAAGCATTTCATTTTGAATTAGTAATTATTGAAGTCATTTACTACTTACATAATTTTAATGATAATATTATTAGAGTTATGGGTTTGTAAGATAGGATTATTAAAGACTAAGGAAGTATCTGTATTGTTGTCTATTGTTTTGTTTTTTATGTTGCGCTTTGCTTGGTTTGTTTTTTTTGTTTGTTGTTTGGTTGTTTTGTTTTGGGTATGGAATGGATGAGGTGATGATGTATTGACTGTGATGATTTCTATAAAATGGATGAGGTATAGAGATTGTAGGTTGTTTTGATTTATGAAAATGAATGAGATGATGATATGGTTAGTAGTGATGATTTTGTGGAATGAATGAGGTAATTGTGGTTAGTTGTTATGTTTTTTTTTGCAAATAATTATTGAGTTGTTATACTGCTATAATTTGAATTTATAAAACTTCTTTGAACTCATGTTTTTAACATTTTTTCCCCCAATGTCGTCACCAATAATCAAGCTTCACTTTTCTCTCGAATGGTTTTCCGTTTTTTCGTCCACCGTCCGAGCGTCTTCTTCCCTTGATTATGCGCTTAAACAAATATGGATAATTGTAATTTTTATAATCCACTTTTATCAATTAATCACCGTTGATAGGGTCATCCTGGACTAGATAGAAAACGGAAATTTCAGACAAATCCGCATCAAGCTGGAAATAGCTTTGTAATTTCCATATTGTATCTACTGTACTGCATATGGGTGTGTCTAGAAATGGGGTATGCCCCCCAAAATAGCTATTCTACAGGGGGGAAAATCATGATTGACTATCAAAGCGTGGGGTACTCCAATTTTCAGACACACCAATATTGATCTATGAATCCCATCCCCATAATATTAAACACCAGCCCCAAAAACCATGGGTTGGTAGGGGATTTACACATGGAAGCATCGGTTCTGGGGGACACCTCAGGCAGGATGCGTTGCAGCGCGCGCAGCTGGCTGAGGCGGGTGGTTGGCCAGTTGGCCTTTCTGGGTCCAGAAATGAGGGACTTACCCTCTGGTTATGTCAAAATAGCTATTGAAAATGGCCATAGAAATAGTGGATTTTCCCATTAAAAATGGTGATTTTCCATAGTTATGTTAGTTTACCAGAGGGTACCACCAAATCTGCTCCTTGTAGCTACTTTTCTATCCTTTTTGGGGATACTGGATTTGGATGGATTTGGGGGTATTCTCATTTTTCGGAAGCTGCTTTTTTAAACTATGGGCCGTGATCCTAGGAGTGATTGAAGTGGCGCGTTAAGTGTCAATAGACATTCTGAAATCTGCCAATCTATCTGTCTGTCTGTTGATTTATCTATTGTTTATCTGTCTACATATGAATGTGTTTACTTGTATTTACTTGTCTATTTGTCTATCCATGTTCCTAGGGTGTGCCGATCTTAGTCGATCGGAGGGGGGCACATAGAAACATTGGCAGATTCTTTGGGCCATTGGGATCTTAGCCAAAAGGTTATCTTCACCAAGAGTACAGTATCAATATGACAATATGAGCATGAAAATCAACCACCTCTACAAGCATATGTAAGCCAATATAGGCAATCAAGACGTAGAAAAATGATCAATGCTTGGGAGTACAGCACCATTGAAAAACGCCATGATCGGGATTAGTATCCCGGAAAAAAGCCTCCAGTAAATCAACATAGACCCTGCCAGATAGGGGTTGGAAGATGAGTTTCCACTATGAATGGGTTATTTTATTAAGGGTCGGTCTATGTTAATTTACCGAGGGGTAACTTCAAAAAACATCCGATTTTCACATCAAAAAGGTACAGCCATTTTCTGCGATCGCGCAGGCAGAGGCGCAGAAGTGCCGCGAGAGCAACGAAGCTCTCAAGGCAAGGTCCTGAAAATGGGGTTCTCCCTATAAATGATAATCTTAATGGGGGAAGTGATGATGAACCAGTAGATTTAGGTTTACAAAGGGGTAGTCTAGTCTCAGACAAACCCAGGTGATTTCTTCAGAAAAATGGGGATAGTTGTCACAATTTTGTGACGTTTTGCCAATATGTTAGGGTGCAGAATCAATGATGAGAAGGATTTGGCCACAAACATGGGGAACAAATATGAAAACTATAGTATCCTGTACCAAACATTACGTTATTCGTGCTGAACCTTCTGTGTTAGTAAATTTGTGTTTTTATGTTGAATCCAACCAAAAGCATGGTCTTGGGGAAAGGATTCCCCCCAACCAAGAGGTGATGTTGATCGTCCAACCTGGCTCCAAAAGCTATGGCTGGGATAGCGATCGTCTTCCATGGATCAATCATGTTTGATCCCAATGAGGGGTTTCCTGAAATGGCGGTACCCCTAAATTTCCTAAATCATCCATTTTTTTGGGCGGGATTTTCCATGGCATAAACCAACCATAAATTTGATTGGGGATCCCCCATGACTATGGAAATCCCAGTTGCAAATGGTTTGAATCCCAATTCTCGGTTCCTGAGGCTGAGGTGGCCCAAATGCGGGCGAGTCTTGACAAGGCAGCGCAAAGAAGTATGTGTACTAGCCAGATCCAAATACATCAGGCAGTATCATAATATCATATATATATGGATATGTATACATATGTAGATGTACAGTATGTATCATACACACACGCACATATGATGTATTTTGATGGGAAGATTCAAGAGCAGAACGTTTTCAGTTTTATTAAACACGTCCTTAGGCTCTCAATTGGACTTTTAAGTATTACTGCCTAACTCTGTGTGAAGCCAAATACGACGAAACGTAGAGCTCTACGTCATTGCTGTTTGTGCTTGGTCGAGAAAGGCAAAATGATGTGAACAAAGTATACATATTACATGTGTTAAGATACACGGTGAGGTTTAGAAAAATTGACAATTTGGACCTGGATCAAGTATTCAAGATAGTTCAAAATATACAGTGTAATCCTAAGTCGAATGTCTTCTGTTTAGTTCGTAAGCAGAAAGTAAAACCATTTTGTTTCTTTTTTGTTTATATAAAGATTTTAAAGGTACATTTGACAATAATTTGTCAACTTAGACAACTTTGTTTCAGTTCAAACTAATAAGTAATGGCATACATTCTATTTTGTTCACTGACCGGGTTTGTCCTAAGAACAATGCTAAGTCTACTCAACAGTCGGCAGGTGTAATGAAACACAACATTGATATGATGTTTGAAAGAAATACTCAGTATATATGTGTATTTTCCATTGTATTCGTACTATACTCTATATAGATTTGTAAACGCCACGAAATGGTTTAAGATTCAACACGTTTTTTTTTTTCAAGAATAGGACTTGATATTGTTTTGTTCATATCAATTTCATACCGGCTGACCTAATTTCAATATTCCATTGATGTATATGTATGGGTATAAATCATGTCTATATAAACACGTATATGTGTTATATATATATATATTGCATCACTGGAATATATATATATATAGATATAGTGTTTTGATATATTTCTACATGTTTATTTATATGGTGTATATATATATATATACACTGTGACGTCACTGGAATGATGGTTCGTAAGTGAACTTATCCCCAAATGGCTGCACGTTTTAGCTATTTTCAATTTGTGAATGATCATTATTCAGCCATCTATACTATATATATACACACACTATATATACGGCAAATGCCTGGGCTTGCCCGGAACCGCGACCACGACAGGCAACGCATCATCATCATCATCATCATCATCATCATCATCATCATCATCAAACCCTCATTGAAGATCTTCAATGAATGTACTAGTAGAAGTTTAACGGGGGTGGGAGAATTAAACCCTTATTGAAGATCTTCAATGAATGTACAAGTTTAACGGGGGTGGGAGAATTAAACCCTTATCGAAGATCTTCAATGAATGTAGAAGTTTAACGGGGGTGGGAGAATTAAACCCTTATTGGAGATCTTCAATGAATGTAGAAGTTTAACGGGGGTGGGAGAATGAACCCCTTCTTGAAGGCCTTTAATGAACGTAGAAGTTTAACAGGGTGGGAGAATTAAACGGAGGTGGGGTGGGGTTTTAATGTGCCTTAATAATTTTGTTGATCATCCCAATGGAATGCAGAGTTGCAGCAACATTTGATTGGGAATGGGGACCCTCTACGCTGCAACGCCTGGGCTTTGCCCAGGCGTTGCGCGTATATATAAACTATATATGTACTATATAGATATATACTAGATAAATACTATATACATATACTATATTTATACTATGTATAATATATACTATATATATATACTATACATACATATATATATATATATACATAACATAGACCCGGGCAAGCCGGCGGCGGAAGTTTCCCAAACATAAATGACCTATAGTTCAAAGACAACCTGTCCCGACCGTGTCCTTCCCTCGACACTCTCACACCTCACACTGCACACTGCACACTGCACTCTTCGCACTCCAAACTTCAAACTTCACACTCCACACTTCACACTTCTCACTTCTCACTGCTTCCTTCACACTCCACTTCACACTTCACACTTCACACTTCACAGTCCACACTTCACACTTCACACTTCAGTCCACACTTCACACTTCACACTCCACACTTCACAGTCCACACTTCACACTTCTCACTTCACACTTCTCACTTCTCACTGCTTCCTTCACACTCCACTTCACACTTCTCACACTTCACACTTCACACTTCACACTGCGCTCTTCGCACTCCAAACTTAAACTTCACACTCCACACTTCACACTTCACACTCCACACTTCACACTTCTCACTGCTTCCTTCACACTCCAAACCTCACACTTCACACTGCGCTCTTCGCACTCCAAACTTAGACTTCACACTCCACACTTCACACTTCTCACTGCTTCCTTCACATTCCAAACCTCACACTTCACACTTCACACTTCACACTGCGCTCTTCGCACTCCAAACGACTTCACACTTCACATTCCACACTTCACACTCCACACTTCACACTGCTTCCTTCACACTTCACGCTTCACACTGCACTCTTCACGCCCCACACTTCGCACTGCTCTAAATCTACGTGCAACAAAAAACACTAGTGCCAAAATGGAGAAAATCTGCTAACAAATCCAGGTCGCAGCTTTCATGCAGCCACTCCAAGACGATTTACGAACTCCATCTGCAAAAGACAATAGTATTACGCATGCAGCCACAGCATGAAGCAACCTTCACGCAGCCATTACAATGCGATCTGCGGAGACTGAGTTGCAAAACACAAGAGAACTACGCGCAATGGCGTCGGAAATTGTAGCTCCAAAACCGGATCTCGACGCCAGAGCGAAAAAAAGACGATTTTGAAGCACTTTTAAAAATGATTTTTAGAAGGAAAATCACTAGCCCCAAAATGGAGAAAATCTGCTGACAAATCACTGTCGCAGCCTTCATGCAGCCACTCCAATACGATTTACGAAGTCCAGTTGCAAAAGACGATAGTATTGCGCATGTAGCCGCGGCACCAAGCAACCTTGACGCAGCCATTACAATGCGATCTGCAAAGACTGAGTTGCAAAGCATAATAGAACTACGCGCAACTGGGTCGCAAATTGCAGCTCCAAAACCGGATCTCGACGCCAAAGCGAAAAAAAGACGATTTTGAAGCACTTTTTAAAAAGATTTTTAAAAGGAAAATTGCTAGCGCCAAAATGGAGAAAATCTGCTGACAAATCACTGTCGCAGCCTTCATGCAGCCACTCCAATACGATTTACGAAGTCCAGCTGCAAAAGACAATAGTATTACGCATGCAGCCGTGGCAAGAAGCAACCTTGACGCAGCCATTACTATGCGATCTGCAGAGACTGAGTTGCAAAACACAATAGAACTACGCGCAACTGGGTCGGAAATTGCAGCTCCAAAACCGGATCTCGACGCCAGAGCGAAAAAAAAGACGATTTTGAAGCATTTTTAAAAGGATTTTTAAAAAGAAAATCACTGGCGCCAAAATGGAGAAAATCTGCTGACAAATCATTGTCGCAGCCTTCATGCAGCAACTCCAATACGATTTACGAAGTCCAGCTGCAAAAGACAATAGTATTACGCATGCAGCCAAAAGAGGAAGCAACACTTGCAATCCCATTTACACTGCGGGAACGATCCTACAGTTGCAAAGCACAATGGAATTCCATCGGCAACTCCTCCACCAGCACCACTTGCAATCCCATTTGCAGTGAGGGAACGATCCTAGAGTTGCAAATCACAATGGAATTCCATCGGCAACTCATCCACCAGCACCACTTGCAACCCCATTTACAATGCGGGAACGATCCTACAGTTGCAAATCACAATGGAATTCTGTCGACCACACATGCACGAAAAACAGTTGAAACCCCATTTACAATGCGGAACCGATCCGACCATGATCCGAGCATGATCCGACCATATCCGACCATGACCCGACCACACACGAGACCGTCTCGCACCCGTCGCACCGCAGAGGTAGATCATCGAGGTTCGGGGACGAACTTTGTATGGAAAAACATAGGCTTTCGTGCATCTGCTATCTCTCAAAAACGCATTTCGTGCGAGACTTCCTTCAAAATTCCATCGGCAACTCCTCCACCAGCACCACTTGCAATCCCATTTACAGTGAGGGAACGATCCTAGAGTTGCAAATCACAATGGAATTCCATCGGCAACTCATCCACCAGCACCACTTGCAACCCCATTTACAATGCGGGAACGACAGTCCAGCTGCAAATCACAATGGAATTCTGTCGACCGCACATGCACGAAACACAGGTGAAACCCCATTTACAATGCGGAACCGATCCGAACATGATCCGAGAATATCCGACCATGATCCGACCACACACAAGACCGTCTCGCACCCGTCGCACCGCAGAGGTAGATCATCGAGGTTCGGGGACGGACTTTGTATGGAAAAACATAGGCTTTCGTGCATCTGCTATCTCTCAAAAATGCATTTCGTGCGAGACTTCCTCCAAAACTCCATCGGCAACTCCTCCACCAGCACCACTTGCAATCCCATTTACAGTGAGGGAACGATCCTAGAGTTGCAAATCACAATGGAATTCCATCTGCAACTCATCCACCAGCACCACTTGCAATCCCATTTACATTGCGGGAACGATCCTACAGTTGCAAATCACAATGGAATTCTGTCGACCGCACATGCACGAAACACAGGTGAAACCCCATTTACAATGCGGAACCGATCCGAACATGATCCGAGAATATCCGACCATGATCCGACCACACACGAGACCGTCTCGCACCCGTCGCACCGCAGAGGTAGATCATCGACGTTCGGGGACGGACTTTGTATGGAAAAACATAGGCTTTCGTGCATTTGCTATCTCTCAAAAACGCATTTCGTGCGAGATTTCCTCCAAAACTCCATCGGCAACTCCTCCACCAGCACCACTTGCAATCCCATTTACAGTGAGGGAACGATCCTAGAGTTGCAAATCACAATGGAATTCCATCGGCAACTCATCCACCAGCACCACTTGCAACCCCATTTACCATGCGGGAACGATCCTATAGTTGCAAATCACAATGGAATTCTGTCGACCACACATGCACGAAACACAGGTGAAACCCCATTTACAATGCGGAACCGATCCGAACATGATCCGAGAATATCCGACCATGATCCGACCACACACGAGACCGTCTCGCACCCGTCGCACCGCAGAGGTAGATCATCGAGGTTCGGGGACGGACTTTGTATGGAAAAACATAGGGTTTCGTGCATCTGCTATCTCTCAAAAACGCATTTCGTGCGAGACTTCCTCCAAAAATCCATCGGCAACTCCTCCACCAGCACCACTTGCAATCCCATTTACAGTGAGGGAACAGTTTCTTTGCTAACTCTTTCTGTGACTAACTCTTTCCCTCACTAACTCTTTTTTTTGACTAACTTGTTTCTTTGCTAACTCTTTCTTTGACTACCTCATATATCCTGACTAACTCTTTCTTTGACTAACTCTTTCCCTCACTAACTCTTTCTTTGACTGACTCTTTCCCTCACTAACTCTTTCTTTGACTAACTCTTTCCCTCACTAACTCTTTCTTTGACTAACTCTTTCCCTGACTAACTGTTTCTTTGACTAACTCTTTCTTTGACTAACTCTTTCTTTGACTAACTCTTTCCCTCCCTGACGAACTCTTTCTTTGACTAACTCTTTCTGTGACTAACTGTTTCTTTGCTAACTCTTTCTTTGACTGACTCTTTCCTCTTTCACTAACTCTTTCTTTGACTAACTCTTTCCCTCACTAACTCTTTCTTTGACTAACTCTTTCCCTGACTAACTGTTTCTTTGCTAACTCTTTCTTTGACTAACTGTTTCTTGGACTAACTCTTTCTTTGACTAACTCTTTCCCTGACGAACTCTTTCTTTGCTAACTGTTTCTTTGACTAACTCTTTCTTTGACTAACTCTTTCCCTGACATTCTAAAAGTCCGTAACACGGAAGTTTCTCCCCCTAAACTTCCTTTGACCATATAAGGCCATATTTTCTGGGGATATTCCCTGAAACTAAGGCCTTATATAGGCCTTATATATGGTAGGTACCACCACCGGCGCCATCTTCTAACAGCGAACCCCCCAAAGAAACCATGAGGATGACCATGGCACCACCGCACATCACGGCACCACATATGTGGGACCCCCCAGTTTTGTGTTTGTTGGTTCATATCATAGCTATGTCAGCTATGTATATCCTCAATAAACATCAATAATCCCAAGTTAGAACACAGAACAAACACGGTTTTTTGATGGTTGTACAACTCAATATCCTCAATAAACCCAAGTTAACCAAGTTATCTGCATCAAGTATCAAGTTAGATATCGTTGGGGGGTCCAACCTTGTAGAATAACCACAGCAGTGCTCTCCATTGACTGTGGACCATGTCCATCCCACAACCTTCGCCCACAACACGAACCACTTCCTGGTACTTGACCTAACCCCTAAAATCATTTTCCCAAATACTTCGAAGGTACAGCTAGATAGGGATTTGGAGGTTCAACAGGTTTAAATCGTGGAAATGTAAGTTACATGTATGTTATATATATAATGTACTATATATATATATATATACATTGTTTATACACATATAAATATATATAAATAAGTATATATATATATATCCATTGTACAGCTATTACATATGTTTTTTTTGCATATCAAGAGAACAGGTTTCTCACAGCCAAGCCCCAACCCTAAAAAGGCCTCCGCCCCACCAACCTGGCAACGCCAGAAGCTCATTGCGCAACAAGCCTACTTTTTAGATGGGATTAATGCAATGGTCAAATTATGAGTACCCTCTGGTAAAAGTTTACATAGCTATTGAAAATGGCCATAGAAATAGTGAGTTTTCCCATTAATAGCATGGTGATTTTCCATAGCTATGTTAGTTTACCAGAGGGTATGTGCCAAAATTGGGTACTGTACCTCAATCATTGTTCATACTACAAATAAACTGAGACCTCTGGTCCCCCAGGTCTTTAATTTTGACCCATACTCATATTGTTGATAGAAGTATAAGGCAGCTATATAAAGGACGGAGAAATTCGTTGAACACATGCAAAATGCGAGTAAACCAGACATTATCCTCCTGCAAATTTCGATTACAAACCACTTTCTAAGTGGGATGCACATCGAAGTAGTAAATTCATATAGACCCTGAAAATAACATGTCTTAAGTGGATAAGCCCCTATTTTGCAAATTTACTGGATAATGGGAATATCATGAATATAGCCAAACATATCCAAAACCTAGTTGTGCTGTTGTCTTGATGACTACATCCATGTTTGTCCATTTTTTGATACCTGGTTTTGGCCATTTCGGCCATTTCTAGTTTGGGTTGCAACAGCTCTCACATGTGCTCGGCCCTCGGCCATATAATGCTCCAGTTGGATTATCATAACCAGCCTAGTAACCAAAGCTGGTTGGTGGTTTTTCGCCACCCCTCTGAAAAATATGACTTCGTCAGTTGGGATTATGACATTCCCAATATATGGAAAAATATGGAAAAATAATCCATGTTCCAAAGCACCAACCAGAAATACTTCTGAATGTCGTGTAAATTGTGACCAATGGATGTCCTACAGTCCAAAAGCTTGGTGGATTCATCATATTCATCTGCCCTTTTTTTGGGGCGATGGGAACTGATCGATTGCTCACATTCCCATAGAATCTCATCGTCATCTACCCGGCCTGGTAAACGTTTACGTAGTCATGGAAAATCCCCAATTTTGATAGGTAAATCAACTATTTCGACTGGGCCATGGCTTCAATAGGAAACTGCAACAAATTACCAGAGGGTATCAACTGTCGAATTCTTTGGTCCTCGCAATGGAAGTGGGGCCGTCACTTGTTGCTACGAGAGCTATGAGGAAGCAGATGCCGTTCACTCTCAAATCTCCCAAGTACATATGGGGCTGCAGTTCTACTTAACTTGCTTGGAAACTCCCCATGTCTCCGAGTTATCGTTGGCTATATCTTCATTCAAGTCCCCTTCATATTCCGAATATCCCATATACCCCAACATCTCATATACCATCCAAGTATAGACTTGGTGTCTACAAGTATAGACTTGATTTCTAACCCCATTCGACTATACAGTTTGATGGGGTTTCCATAAATGGGCGGTACCCCAATTTTTAGATGGTTCATAATGAAAATAACATTAAAAAAAAAACACATCTAAAAATCAGAAATGGGATGCTGATTAGCCAATTTTTAGATGGTTAGCCAATTTTTAGATGGTTAGCCATGTTCATTTAGATGAAATGGTTGGTATCATGGGGGTATCATCGGATGTATCTCCCATTTTAAGGGACACCTTCACAAAACATGTCCATGGCTTTAGCGCCTCCACTGGCTTTGCCCAAGTCGCCTTTGCCCCAATCGCCTTTGCCTTTCTTCCCTGCCAGGCCAAAGGTGCCATCGTCAAAACATGGGATCAATGGGCTATGGTACATTAAACCCTACAGTTATGGCCATTTACCAGTTATAACTGGTTATAAATGAGATTATACATTCTATAAATGGGGTTATAAGTACTTATTATGGATCAGTAGATCCACAGGCACCTTAGTCACCTCCACCTCAAATCCTTGTTACACTTCTCAATTGTGCGTGTCTCCCAACCCAAGAATCAGCGGGCGTTTTCACGTTTCAGCTAGGCCTGTCTGGCCTCGTGCAAAAAGGACTACACATGTAAATGTGATTGACATCTTCGTAGTGCAGATATTACACTTGATCATAGCCAAAAAGGAGTGAATAATTCGCACTCCCCCTGGCTTGGGTTTCATGGAAAATTCAAGCCACACAGCTGATTCTACTGTTCACCAACCTTGAGTACTCACGGCTTCCAGCATAAGGTGGTGCAGCGTCAGCTATGTCTGACTCAAGCCCTTTGAACTTCCTTTGATAAATGGTTCTGCTGGCAGTGGAACACAAATATGACATGGATAGTATTCTCTGAAGCTATCCACGCTTTCCAAAGCAGTACACTCTTCGGTGATGCTCCTATGCAACTTGTGACCAATGCCTTTCGAAAACAGCTTTTGAACTCTTTGACCAACATGTAAACACTGACGACACCATTCGCTTTCAGTGATATGCACGGCCTTTCGCAGTCCATGGCAGTTTCGATCAACGTGATACTTCCCACCAGTTCCAGTCAGAAACAAATGAGTCGCTCTTTCTTGAATGGCTATATACCTTTCCTCACGACCTTTCCCTTTTGAAGATGAACTTTGAGATGATGACATAGGCATGGACAAAGGAGTTGGAGATGGCACCTCAGCCTCCTGTCTTTCTTCATTCTTACCTTTTCCTTTCACCTGATTCCTCCTTCTCGCCTGATCACTTGACTCACCACCTTGACCTTTTCCTTTTCCTTTCTGGTCGCGGAGCTCAGCTTCTAAATGTCTCTCTTCGTTTCTGAATACATAATCAGCCTGAAGTGGCTGTGGTTGCGGAGCAAGTCTTCTCCACAAACATGGAAGAAGCAAAGTGACCAAAATGACAAAAAGGGTGTAAAAGATGAGTGGAAGCCAATACCACGTTCTCTCTCTCCATTCTTGAATTTCCTCAGAACTGTGATAGTGCACCATGCTGTGAGAATTCGCAGTAGAGATAGTGGCTGCGACAATCAACAGCTGCAATGCTTTCTTTACTCCTTCCTTTGAAGGAGTTTCTGTTTGTGCTTTCTCCTCCTCTTCCTTTCTTTTCTCCTGTGTGCCTCCCTTTTCTCCTTGATCTTTCATGCCCAGCATCTCTCTCAGTTTGAGAAATCTTTCTGCGCCCAAAATTTTGGTTCCCAAATCAGCTGGCATTTCTGAGCCTGCTAGATGGCGAACTGCCCAATCGCCGCGAGAAACTCTCCATCTCAAATTGAGTGCTCGACGACGCAAATGCCTGGTTCTCCAAGCTCCTGTCTCTCCTGTCGCTATGGCCAAAGCCGACGAACTGTCGGTAAAAGCTACGCTGATGATCTTTCCATCCACCAATTCTTCTATCACTACTCGAACCGCGTCACCAGCTGATGCTGCATCAACTAGTTCCATGAGCTCTGCTTCTGCAGTGGAGTGAGAAAAGGTGGAATGTCTGGACGACTTCCACAGGATGGGGCTCTGACCCCACTTGATGAGAGTACATCCATGGCACGTGGTGCCGAATGCCGCGTCAGCGTAAACTTTCAAAATTTGATCTTCAGGATCAGGTGGAAAATGAAGACCCCCCAAAGGTGTGCCAGCTAAATATGCCCAAACCTGCTCACTGGCTTGGACAACAGCCTCCGGGTTCTTGGTGATGGCAGCGGCCAATTTTGAGGTGGCCAGCATCAAGTCTGGACGACATCGCGTCACCAACCACACCAATTCTCCTACTGCCTTTTGCGCCAACTTCACTAGTTGGGGCGTTCTTTTCTCTGGTTCTGCCTCCTCAATCTCTTGGGACATCGGCACTTTCTTGATCTTCCACTTTTCAGCTTCTCCCCCCAGATTTCGTTGTAGAAGATCTCGGGTGTAGTTTTCTTGTGTGGCACTCCATGAACCATCTTTGTTTTTCCAAATCTCTGAACCCAAAAACCTCACACCTTCTGTGTCTCCCACTTCTTCTGGAGGAGATGTTTCCCACTTTTCTTTCACCTTGTTGACCATGGCGTTGATGTGTGACTTTTCTCCAAGAAACAACATGTCGTCCACATAGACAACCACAACGCCTTTCAACTCTTCTTCTCCTTCTTCATCCTCTTCTAAAATTCTCCAAAGGCCAGGCTCTGTGAGGAGTTGGACCATATGAACTCTCTTTCCCTCTACTTCTGCTTCCATTCTTTCCATTTCTTGATCTCTAAAGTCGCTCCAGAGTCGAGGGCTTTGACGGTAGCCGTAGAGGGCCATGATTGCCTCATAGAAAGCGCCTTTCTTCACCAGCTGAAGCTCCTCAAGAAGTGCTGGCGGTTTTATCAACGCTCTTCTAGGTGGCTTTCCCTCCTCCTCTGGCAGCTTCATGGGAGCATTCAAGAATGCAGTCCGCACATCAAGCGCGATGGCAGACCAAGACCGTTGAGCGGCCAGAGCAATAGCCAGGCGCAAAGCTACGGCTCCTGCTCCCCCCGCATAGAGTTCTTGATTTGGTTGATCTTCTATGTAGTTTCCGCAAGCAACCAATCTGGCCTTGAGCTTGCCTGAGCTCTGACCAGGCTGTGGCTTGATCGTGAAGACAAACTTTGATGGGATGAATTCTGCAAGATCCTCTCTTAACAGCCTCTTCCCTTCTTCTGCCTCCACTACTTTTAGCGCCCCTTTGAGCACCATCAACGATTCCAGCTCCGCTTTGATGGCGGGAATCCAAGCAGCTGCATTTCTTCGTACTTCTCCATGTGAAACCACCTTGGTTTGAAGGATTTCTTGATTTCCTTCCTCCACAATGGCTTCCTTCAACCATGCTACTCCTTCAAGAACCTCCTCTAAAACACCTTGATGATCAAACACTGCCGTTGTCATCTCCTCTTCTATGACTTTCTGAATCCTTCTCTGATTCAACTGTTCTTTCTGCTGTCTCTGTTCTTCTTCTTCCTCAATGACCTCAAAAGCTTTCACTGCCGTCTTCTCACGAAGTCTTTTCCGCTGCTCTAATGGGCTGATGTGATCTTCTAAAGCGATCCAGTGATGATCTTGTGGTGGTTCAGCCAAATTGGTGATGACGATGCGAGTGAGAGCTTTGCTTCCATCTTCTCTTTCTATCCAGTGACCGTGATCAATCCACGATGGACCCAGATAGAGCACCTTCTCCTGTGTTGGTTCCAGCTCTTTGCTTCGCCAAAATCTTTTCCTGACATAGACTTCGCTCAAAAACGGCGGGCTCGGCTTCAAGCCAAGTGCTTCTGCTCTGAGTTTTTCGTGGAGGCATCTTGCTGCTAGGGGCCACCTGCTGAAGTTGGCACCTGCAGCTTTCAACATCCTTCTGATCCTCGCTTTGATCTCACCGACTGATTGCTCAGCCCGCCCATTTGACTGGGGCTGATCTCCAGCCGTCCACGTGTGCAGCAAGGCTCTTGCCTCGCACCAGGCCTGTAGGGCCTCTGATTCAAATTCACCACCATGGTCACTATGAAGTTGTTTGACCTCATACCCGTCTGCCTTCAGCTGCAAGTAAAACTTGGAGACAGCCTTGAGCACTTCTTTCTGATTTCTCGAAGACATCGGGGTGACCAGGCGGATGAGATCCATCCCAAATGGCTTCTTACACTGTCCAATTTCTTCTGCAATCTCCATTTCCTCTCTTTCTTCCGGGGGAAGTTCCTCATCTAAACCCCCGTCTGCTCTGATGTTCTCTCTGTGTTCTTCTCTTGGCTCCTCTTCTCTCTGCTTTTCTTCTGATCTTTCATCATCCGCATATTCTTCTCCATCTTCTATCTCTGGTGCCTCTTCCAAGTCTGCCTTGACCTGCCAGAGATCCTCCTTCTCTTTCTTCCTTTGTTCTGCTGTCTTTTGCGAGGGCCATGTGAAGGCTCCTACAAGCATGTACTTCGCCTTGGTCCCTCGAAAGAGATCAGGGGCTTCATGAAAAGGACCAGAGACATCGATTGAAAGCACTCCTGCTTTGGGTGGTAGCCTTGACCTCCGATGGTAAGGCTCTTTGGCACATGCCTCCTGGCATATGTTGCATTCCTTGTTGTATGGGACGTGGTGGGCGAGAACATGTTCCCGCCACTTCTCATAGGTCATTCTTTTGAGAACTGGAGCATGCCAGACTTGAGCTTGAAGAGCACATGCAATCTCACGCATCAGCCCCGGAGCCCACCTTGACAACTTCTTTGAAGATTCGAAGATCTCTCCTCTGTTCATGCCTTCTACGTTTCGTGGCTCCCCTCGCTTCTGACACAGGGGCAGCTGGATCTTCAGATTTCCTGCCCGTGTTGTAGGTTTTGTGGCAGTACCTCCAAACGACGACTGATTGAAGGTCTGCTCTTTCAAATCGTAAAGATTCTTCAAAGCTGCCCACTGCTCCGTCCTCCACCAGCTAACCACCTCCTCCATGTTTTCTGGTGGAGCCGGCTGCTCCATGCCAAAAGAGACTTTCTGCGTCCTCCTCAAAGCTTTTCTTACTTCCTCTGAGACGACGAAGATGAGAAGAAAACGAAAAAGGAGAGTGTCATCTTCCAAAACTGCGTTCTTTTCTTGTGAAGTGAGGCCAAATTTTCCAAATTCCTCACCATGCCATGCTCTAAGAGGTCGGGGCATATTCTTCATGCCCTCCACCTCCATGTGCCTCAAAACTGATCTCGTTCTGCATGGAGGCCCTCCAATCAATCCTTTGATCTGTCCATCAAAGGCAAGCCTGAGAAGCGCACCATACGCCTTGCCTGAAGGTGACAAATCTGCTCCTTCATGACCATGTGCTATGTCCAACTCCAAAAGTCTGTGAGGTTGTCCTCCCACCTCCTTGAAAGCTCTCTTCAACGGATAGCCATCTTTGCCTCCTGAAAACAAATGTATGGCTACACCTTCATTCCTCCACCTCTTTCTTTGCCTTCTGTTGCCCAGTGCTGTGGCATCCATGGCCGGTTCTTCAATCAGCCTTCCTTTGAGCTCCTCTGGGAGACTGCGAAAGGCTGGGTGCTCCCGCACCAGCCTCGTGAGCCACTGCAGCTCTCTATTCTGGCTAATGCCCAGTTCCTTCATCTTGACGACTGTCAAATCTTCTAACTGCTTGATCAACAACAGCGCCTGATTCCTTTCCAGCATCGGACATCCATGGTCGATGATCACATCAAGTTGGCCTAGATCTGGATGCAGAACATTGAGGCCTTCTGACGTCCACTGGATGTCGCACGCAAGACATTTGGTCAAGAGGCCCATGGGGATGATCGGCTCGGTGTCCTTGTCCCCGATGAGAATCCCTTGTGGGGAAAGATGCATCCTCTTCATCTCTCCCCCAGCAAGCTGAACCTCGACAATGGGATACATCTCAACCTTTTCTCTAGGGCGCCTTCCTCTCAAGGCGTGTGTGGCCCCAGAGTCGATGAGACCTCGTTCGCCATGTCCGCCAAGCTTTGTCAGCCTCAAAACTTTGACGTTAGCCCTGGCCAACGCATCAAGCTGCTTCTGAAGCTGCTGCAACTTGTCTCCTTTCTCTTCTTCTTCTGACTTTCTATGCTCTTGCACTGGCATACCTTTAAGCATCTTGCCAGCCTCTTCAATCAGCGACTTCATCACTTCTTCGTTGCTTGCACTGGAACCCGCCTCTCCAACATCTGAAGGGACGGAAGCTGTTGCAGACCCTTCTGTAGCCCTCGCCTCCTTTTCTGCTTGTACTCCTGCTTTCTGAGCTTTCGGCTTCTCAGGACTCAAAGCCGGGCGAGGACATTCAGATGCTAAGTGCTGTGTCGATCCACAGCGCCAGCAACGTCTTTGACCATCCAACGCATGCTGCCATGTGCACTGTTTTTCCTTTCTTGCAACCCTCTTCTGTGAGGAAAAACTTGCATGGCATTCTTTCTCCTCCCTTCTCTTCTCTCTTACCCTTGCCTTTGCTTTCTCCCTTCGCCTCAGTCCTTTCTTCAAGCTTCTTTACCTTCACTTCCTGCTTATTGTTGTTGGCTGCAGCAGCACCTCGTCTTTCCACATGCGCTATCTGCTCCAGTTCTGCTTGAAGATGGTTGGCAAACTGGGACACCGAAGACCTTGTAGGGGCACAATCCACCATCAGAGTGCTCCTGGCAAGCGAGATCCTGAACAACAGTTCTCGGTTGTTGTCCACCACACGCTTTGTCAGGCGTGTCAATCCACGCATGAGGATGCTGGGATCTGGCTCAGCAACTCCCAGCTCTTGCGCTCTCGTGCGCCAGCGTCCCCATCTGCGGAGACTGAGTACCGCCTCTTGTACGGAGGTGGCTTCATTTGGTTGCTCAAGGTTTCTCAAAATGATTTCCTTTTCTGCTAAACCACCTGGTTGATATGCCACCTGGAGCGTCGCCAAGATGGCAAAGACTGTGGTCTTCTTGCCTGAGATCATCTCTTCTCGAGCACCTGTTGGAATGGCTTTGAGCAACATCGAAGCCACCCGGCGCTCCAATCTGGCCCACTTTCGATCCTGTAAAGCTGCTGGAGTCTCCATAGAGTGTGAGGAACGTGCCAATGGTGCAAGCTTCATATGATCTTCATACCAAATCTGCAGCTCCTCAAGTGTGCGCTTCCACCAAAGTTCTGAGTTCGCCGACAGGTCTGACATTACTGGTTCCAGCAAAACCAGCCAGTTCCCCATGTCTATGGGCCCATTGCCTGACCATTCTGGAAGTTGAGGGAGGTCAGGAATAACTGTCCTGACAGCTTCAGCACGTTCATCTCGATCCTCCATCAGCTTTTGCATCGATTGCAGCATCAGCGACATCACCTCCAAGCTTTTGTGATGTGTGCTGCTACCCTCCTCAATCTTTTCTTTTCCTCTTGAATCTTTTGAGTGCGACCTGGATCTTTCTCTTGACATAGATCGCCATCCACCTCCACTACCTCTTCCTTTGCCTGTTTCACTCTGTTCTTGCCGGACTCTGGTCCCTTCCTCCTGGTCTTGACGGGCTCTGGCCCCTTCCTCTTTCGCTTGTCGGACCCTAGTCCCGTCCTCCTGATCTTGACGGGCTCTGGCCCCTTCCTCCTTCGCTTGCTGGACTCTAGTCCCATCCTCCTTAGCTTGTCGGACCCTAGCCCCGTCCTCCTGATCTTGCCGGGCTCTGGCCCCATCCTCCTCATCTTCAAACAAGCTTCGGCGTGGATGAAGTTCTCCAAACCTTTCCTGTCTTCGAACCTGGATGTCGTCCTGGCTTGAGACTTCTGGCGGAGTATGGAATCTTCTAGAGTCCTGCTGCAGGTCCATCCTCAAAGCTACATTTTCATCTCTCAACATCTGTATCTCTTTCAGAAACTGTTGGCTACTTCTCTGCATTTCCATTCTTTCTTCACTCAACATTCTGAAAAAGACTCGCTTCTCTTCATCTTCCAAAAAGGTCGGTCTTTGAACTACTGGTACCATGGGCATGTCATGTGAAGCCATGGCATAACGTGAATCTGCATGTGGTTGAAGTGCAAAACGTGGATCAACTGGTGCAGACATCAAAGGTGGCATGTGACCATAGATTCCTGGTGCCTGTCGATGCAAATTGTCAAAGGCTCTAACCTGGTCAGGAGTGAACAACGGCTGCTCTGATGTCAAGGCGACCTGAGATTCAACCTGTCCAGCATTGGATTGCTTTCCAAGGGGACCCTTAGCAGGAGTAGGCTTGACAAGGCTCTCTTGCTCTGGTGTAACCATGTCAACCCCATTTGGTTGAGGACCAAATGCCTTAGGTGAAGTCTGTGGTCTGGATAACTGCGGAGATTCAGCTGTTGTGGTCGCAACATCCGTTTTCCCTCCAAGCTCTTCACGAGCCCCATGATCCCTTTCAGAACCGTTGGCAGCTTCCCTCGCCTCTTCACCTGGTCTCTCCTCCTGATCACCTTGGTCTTGCAAGGCCAATTGGCCATCTTCCAGCGCCATGAAGTCTCTGCGGCGACGTATCATGGCATCATCGTTCATGCCCTTTGGGCTCATAACCTATGGATCAGTAGATCCACAGGCACCTTAGTCACCTCCACCTCAAATCCTTGTTACACTTCTCAATTGTGCGTGTCTCCCAACCCAAGAATCAGCGGGCGTTTTCACGTTTCAGCTAGGCCTGTCTGGCCTCGTGCAAAAAGGACTACACATGTAAATGTGATTGACATCTTCGTAGTGCAGATATTACACTTGATCATAGCCAAAAAGGAGTGAATAATTCGCACTTATAACTGATAAATGGCCATAACTGTATATTGGGAATCATCACACTGGCTACATGAAAAACCCTATTGATGGGAGTTCTGGGAGACTTTTTTGTTGCGATTTCATCCAATTTCATGGTCAATGAGGTTTCATGGGGATAGAGATTTCATGGGATTTCATGGGGATCTAATGGGATCTAATGGGAGTTCATGGGGATTTAATCTTGACCTAATTACACATGGATTTAATGGTATCTAGTGGGATTTATATTTATATCATGAGTTTTCTCTTTCCCACTGAATTGTACTTATAGCAACCCAAACAAGAGGGATATAAAAAAAAAGTAAACATTCACACTAAAATCGTGATAAATCTCACGCTTCTGCATCTCTTGCGGGGTTGCTGTAATTCATCCCCATGGGTTCCACATCCGAAATAGTTGCTAAATAATGATACATGAATGTTCATCTATAGTATCACTAGGTGCATCACAAGTTTTCTCCATGGTGAATCATAAGCGATCAAGAGCCCATATTATCAACCCTTTTGGTCCCGAACTTGTCGCGGGCACCAAGGGATCCATGTGTTTGGTTGAATTATGTTGAATTCATCCATTCCCACCTTCATTGATATATCCTATAATATCCCAAAATATCCCATTATATCTATGTCTTATGTGTCCATGATGTCCCAAACTTACCCAACCAAGACCCATGGGAATAAAAGTTTGAACTTTTTCCTGTTCTGGGTCCGCGCGCGCGCGCGCGCCACTTGGCTAACGAAAGAAAGACCAAAGTGGGGCGCGCGCGCGCGGACCCACAACCAAAAACGTTCAAAAGTTGGCCCTTGGTGACTTAGCAAATATTTTTGGCACATCACAACCTTCACAACATGCACGCGTCAATCCTTCAGAATCGTCCAGAAATTCAAGTCTAGGGGTTAATCAACCACCACACAGGAAACATGTTTTGGCGATAATAAACACTGTTTGTCTCCGCTGATTAATCAAGGTGACATGATATAAATCATCAAGTATCTGTATAGATTTGTCAGTTTTTCACCCTTACCATTCAGTTTTTGGAGCCACCAAGTATCTTAGAAGGTGAGGCCAACTGAGGGCCGCGCACATGCCCCAGCCCCAGCCCTTGCCGTTCCTGAGCGGTGGAAGATTCTGCGAGGTGAAGCCCACGAAAGATGCGAAACCGTCGGAGAAAATTAGTGATGTAACCAAGAAAAAGTGAGGATTTAATGGGATTTATATGCACATATATAATTTTATATTCATATATTAGCCAAGTTGACACACGCACACATAACATATATCGAACTAGTTAATGGAATCATAATAAACCAACAGACGTCACTCGCACTCACTTTGTACAAGAGTAGAAAAGGGCAACGTTTGATTACGGCAGGGGTGAACATCTGGGTCCCAGGACTGCAGGAAGATGTAACATCCATGTCATGTGTACATTGACTCATGATGAGCCATGAAAAATACTTGCATCCTGTGAAACTGCCTCATAAAAATAGGTATTCCAGTAATTGCCACAAGGTGGTATAACGAAGCACAATGACCAACCGACAAGAGTTGTTTGATGGTTTGAACAGGTGCAGTAACAACAAGACTGAACATACTGGCAGGGAGTACAGGACTGGATTGCATGGTGAACTAAGTAGCTAGGGACTAGTGGCAAATGCTTCTCGGAACAATGACCTACTTGATCCTACTTGCACATCATCTTGTGAAGTGGCTATCAACCACAGTTGTTACCTGGGTATGTGCATGATTCAACATCACGTGTTCCCCAAAACGGGACGGTATCTTATACTTCAGAATGGACTTACTTCAGAATGGTGCCCTGTTCCCAGCTTTTGCCAACCTCCAGCTAGAAATCCAGATGCAAATCACGACCTGCTCACCAATACGGAAGCACACGAGAATCTCTCAAGACTCCTTGGAAGTGTCAATCCTTCCAGGCTCTGATTGTAAATGTGGCTGAATGACAAGTCCTGAAGATTGCTTGGCAGGGTCACTCCTGCCAGGCTCTGATTGAAAGAATTGCCAAATTTCAGGCTCTGAAGGTTGCTTGGTAGGGTCACTCTATTCAGGCTCCGGTTGAAACACCAGCCAAATGCCAAGTGCTGCAGACTGCTTGGCAGAAAGACTCCTTCCAGGTCCTGGTTGAACCAATAGCCAAACGTCAAGCTCTGAAGGCTGCTGGGCAGTGTCACTGAGTCCAGTCTCTGGTTGAAACAGTAGTCCAATTTCAAGCTCTTGAGGCCAAAAGGCAGAGTCACTCTTTGAAGGCTCTGGTTGAAATAGTGTCCAAAAGTCAAGCTTTCAAGACTGCCTGGCAGAGAGACTTCTTCCAGGCTCTGGTTGAAACTGTAACCAAAGTTTAAGCTCTTCAGGCTAGTTGGTAGGGTCACTTCTTGCAGCCTTTGATTGAACAAGTGGCCAAATGTCAAGACTTCAAGGTGGCCCGGTAAGATCACTCCTTCGAGGTTCTGGTTGAACATGTAGCCAAATGTCAATGCCTTAAGGCCAGCCGGCAAACGCGCACGCTTCAGGCCGCAAACGAACTCGGAGTCAAAGGTCAAGTTTTGAAGACCGCCAGGCAGGTCTAGTCCTTCCAAGCTGTTGATATTGTTGAAACAGTAGCCGAATGTCAAGCTCTGGAGACCCAGAGGCAGAATCACTCCTTCCAGGCTCTGATTAAAATGTCGACCAAACGTCAAGCTCTGAAGACTGCTTGGCAGGGTCATTCCTTCCAGGCTTTGGTTAAACTGGCTACCAAACGTCAAGCTCTGAAGACTGCTTGGAAGAGTCACTCCCTGCAGACTACGGTTGAACATGTGGCCAAACGTCAAGTGCTGCAGACTGCTTGGTAGAATGACTCCTTCCAGGCTCTGGTTCCAACGATATCCAAATGTCAAGCTCCGCAGACTGCTTGGCAGGGTCACTCCTTCTAGGCTCTGGTTGAAAGCGCTACCAAATGTCACACTCTCAAGACTGCTTGGTAGGGTCACTCCTTCCAGGCTGCAGTTGAAACCCTGGCCAAATGTCATGGTCTGAAGATTGCTTGGCAGGGTCACTCCGTCCAAGTTTTGGCCGAACTGACGACCAAATGTAAAGCTTTGAAGATTGCTGGGAAGAGCCACGCCCTGCAAACTGTAGTTGAAGTCGTAGCCAAATGTCAAACTCTTGAGGTCGTTTGGGAGGGTCACTCCTTCCAGGCTACGATTGAACATGTAGCCAAAGGTCAGATTTTGAAGACTGCCAGGGAGGATAACTCCTTCCAGGCTCCGGTTGAAACAGTAGCCAAATGTCAAGTTCTGAAGACTGTTAGGTAGGATTACTCCTTCAAGGCTCCGGTTGAACTGTCGACCAAATGTCAAGCTCTGCAGGCTGCTTGGCATGATTATTCCTTCCAGGCTCTCATTAAACTGACGACCAAACGTCAAACTCTCAAGACTGCTTGGAAGTTTCACTCCGTGTGTGCTCCCAACGTTGGAAGCATCGCCAATTGTCAAATGCCGAAGGCTCTGTGGTAAATTGCGCAAGAACCGTGTGGTTGTTGCAGCAGCTACTGAGATCCGTGTCACTCCCTCCAATGGAAGTATTCCATCCGGAACTGGTAAACCACGGAGAGAGGACCAGGCAGCATGTAGATCTGTTGGAACCTGGTTGTGGAGAAAAGCATAATCCCTTAATCCCTTCCCCCCTTTTTTGGATCTTTTCATTTTGGTGCCCAGAGATCGGATTGTGGTCATTGCGAATCATGTTCCCCATTTGATGGGAGACAAACAATATGAATGAAACCCACCAGCCAGGAACAAAAGTGCAGGAGAGTGTTGGAGCCTTGCCCCCAATGCCTTGTTCTCTCAATGTTTGGTGCAGTATCAGCTGTGAGTCACGGTAATGCAATGCAAATTGCCAACCTTTTCGCGGAAGTTGCTGGTGCTGCTGGGAGATCATATGGTACACTTCCCGACCAAGACAGGAAGCACTGATCCTCAACATGTATGTTTCACCATTCAAGTAAAGTACACAAAGGTCAATCAGATCTGAGCCATTCTTTGGCTCGTCACTACTGGCAGCACAGGACATCAGCACGAGGGATGGAGCGACATTGATATGATAAATGCTAGGGATGGAAACTTGAATGGTTAAAAGAGGTTAAAAGGTACCAGCTAGGAAATGTGTTTTACCTATTATTATTGAATCTAATATACACGTGATTACTCATGGATGAATTATATTGAATTATTGGATCCGGCGTCCAGCAGTTTCTCCAACATAGGTATCCTTTTTGTCATCTTATTCCCCCCACGTACCGTGTCTTGTTGAAAGGTTCCACTGCAACATCTCTTGCTGTCCTGGCAGTGTGGTCTGTCAAAGCAACAATCAATTGTGTTGTTCCTTGCTTCCCTTGCTGAAGTATACCACCAATTCATATCAATTCATATATTTATCAACGTGTTTATTTGGCAAGGGTCTTCGATACCCACCTTTATATATATATATATATATATACCAATCAGACTGGATGCTTGTGCCGACGGATGTTAGGCACATATTCCGTACATATCCTACCTACATGTCATGTTCAGTTCAACAACATGTATGCTACCTGAATGGTGGTAGATATTTTTGGAAGTTGTGTCAAAATCCATGCCTTGCAAGCATGCGGTAAATCCGAGATCAGAAATCCAAAGTGCTACAGGTTTATACATGCATGCATGTACGTGCTAAACCCAATGATGGTTGTCACAAGCCACGTAAGTGTAGTGTTACCAATTCAGGGATATTCAGGGTATTGAAAGCACTGACAAGCCATACCCTGAAAAGGGAGCTCATGGTCGGGTTTACCACACCATACCCTCCTGTAAACCACTGGAAGACCCACCATTTTATAGATTAGATCACTTTCCCAACAAAAACCATGGAGTTTCCACATCTTTTCGTATGTGTAACCCAGGGTACATCAGTGTCATTCGTGTCATTCCGAATGGCATTCTCTTGGCATTGCCTCAAGGCTGGACCGCACCCTGAGGGCCGAACTCGTCTCCTTTACCCTTCATGGACTTTTTCTTGTCAACCTCCAGAAGTTGAGCTTGGCACAGTTATGGCCATTTATTAGTTATAACTGGTTATAAATGGGATTATACATTCTATAAATGGGGTTATAAGTACTTAAAACTGGTAAATGGCCATAACTGCAGAGCTTCGATGGATGCTTTCCAGCCAATTTTTTCGACCGACAAACCGAGGATCATCCCACGGATCGTTTCAACTCACTGGTGACCTTGCTGACCTTAGCAACTTATAAATATAGGCTACCCTCTGGTTATGTCAAAATAGCTATTGAAAATGGCCATTTATAGTGAGTTTTCCCATTAAAAATGGTGATATTCCATAGTTATGTTAGTTTACCAGAGGATAAGCCACGTATATAAAGGGGCCTTACAAAGCAAGGTTGTCAACCAGTTACGATCCGTGGGAGGATCTTCCAAGTTTTATATCTTTCTTGTCATAGTTGGGATGTACCCTCTGGTTATTTAACATAGCCATGGAAGCCATGGCCCATTTATAGATGGTTTACCTATTAATAGGCTGCAGGCGCGTAGTTCCACACTCGCTTGTTTTCGGTCAAGCACACAAAGGGTTGTGTAGCTTACGGCTTGCGTAAGCTCCTTCCAAAAGCAGTCAGTTCCTTTGAACACTGCCAACCGGTCCTTTGACCTAAAACAAGGGCCCTATGGCCTCTACCGCATTGCCCTGTGACAACGCAAATGCCTGTATGCACGCAAGGCACGTGCTAGGCAACCAGCGGGCACAAGGCATGCCCAGAAACCTCTTCCACCCCAGAAACAACCCAGCGCAAGCGCACGGGTTGGGGGGGAGGGAGCCAAACACTGCACGTGTTTCAACCTCACCTCAGCCTAAGATTCGACCACACTCGAAAACATAGGCTGCAGGCGCGTAGTTCCACACTCGCTTGTTTTCGGTCAAGCACACAAAGGGTTGTGTAGCTTACGGCTTGCGTAAGCTCCTTCCAAAAGCAGTCAGTTCCTTTGAACACTGCCAACCGGTCCTTTGACCTAAAACAAGGGCCCTATGGCCTCTACCGCATTGCCCTGTGACAACGCAAATGCCTGTATGCACGCAAGGCACGTGCTAGGCAACCAGCGGGCACAAGGCATGCCCAGAAACCTCTTCCACGATACCAACCATGCCTCTTAGGAGGCGTTAGGGTAACATGTGGGGGGGAAGCCCACGGTTGAAACGGGCGAGGAGGGTCGAAGAAGCGTTGGAAAACCGGATTTGTGACATTTCGGCTTGACCGGCCTCGATATACAGGCGGGCGACGCCCAAGGCCCGCCATCTTCCTCTGAGAAGGATTGACTCCAGGGACTGCTGAGTCTGAAAGCTGTGTGTAGCACCACCCCTTCGGATGGAGTAGCATTGAAACTGGAGGTCGGACAGACCAAAGAAATTGATACCTGTATAAAAGTGGCTGCGGAAAGAAGCAGCACTTCGATCCCAGATGAAGTCATGGGGCCTCATGGTGTGAACCAACCGGCAGAGATCCCAAAGCTCGAGCAGCGATCGGTCATTGATGGCAACCGCTTCATCCATATTGAAGCGCAGCCCTGTTTTGCTTCGACGCACTGACACGACACCATGGTTTGGAGTCAGCAGCACATCTCGCACCTGCAGTTTCAGGATTTCTCCTGTCCGCAAGTAGGTGTGGAAGCCTAGGGCTAGAAGGAATGCCATGACCGGATCGTCACGCTCGGTGAAATAGCTTATGAGTGCCCTGCAGACCAACCTGGGTAAAGGAGGTGCCCGTTGAGGTACTTCGATGCGCCGCCAATTTCGATACAGCTTCCACGAGCCTCTGAGATGGCCTTTGACCTGGGGCCAGTAGAAATGGGCAGCGCACAGCGCATCGCCAATGACCCCGAGGGGTGTGCCATTGACCCATTGGCACTCTATCCACTCCTCGCAGAGCGGATCCAAGTCTTCCATTGACCCGGCTTGCTCCAAGCTGGGCATCAACATTGCCAGAGCCGACGTGTAGCGAGCTTCGGTTTTAGGGCTGATTCCCACACCACGCAAGGAAACTCCTCGTCGCGCGGCTCTTCGTTCAGCCAGCGACTTGCCCTTGGTGATGGGGCGCCTGTCGGCTCGCGGCATCCGTCGGATTCTCTGCCGAGTCTACATGACCCTGCAGCTGGGTGGCATTTAGAGCCAAAAGGTTAGGCTGCGATTTCCCTGGTGAGTGGTTGAAGGAGGCTACTACTGGTACGCCCCTTACTTAGAATGTAGTTGGAAACCATACTATCGGACAGGTGTAACCACCGCGAATTGCAGGAGGAACCAAACCGGGCACGCCATTTGATCGACTGCAAAATCATTTTCATTTCCAAATAGTTAATATGGTTATGGAACTTCCATTTGGTGGTGAAGAGAATACGCCACGTCCACCAGTCGGCCCGCAAGGTGACATGACTGGCTCCTTTGTTGGTGAAGGGGACGCCCAGGGCCAGCGACACATCCGATCCAGTGTGGTTCACGTGCCGGGACAAATGAGCTGTAAGCTGAGCCGCCGCCACGGCAGTATCGGGAGGAGGCCCATAGCATAACCTTTTCTGTATAGGCGCGGCCAAGTGGCCAGCGAGCCCACACCCTGGAGCGAGCCCCATGCGAGCAATGATCATTGCAGGCGCAAGAGGCGTGCGGTAGGGTTTGCAAAGCTGGCTAATCACCCATCCAAAAGACAGCATAGAGAAGGAGTCGCCACACAGAGACAACCTGATATCTTCAAAGTCCCGTTCGGCACCTTTGACTTTGTTGGCTGGCCAAGCAAACATAGTGTGACTGCAACCAAAGCCAAGCAGTCTTTCTCTTTCACCTGCATTGGGGTAGCGCAAGTCTCCTTCTTTGTTGACGAGCAGGTGCTCCAGCAGGTATTGGTAGGGAGGAAAGCGGAACCTATCGGACTGCCACCGCTCGCAACAGGCCGGGTTGCAGCGGGATAGTCCTGCCGGACGAGGTGGTGGTCTTGATCTCGGTATTGCCTTCATGAAGGTGGGTAACTTCCCGTCTGGGTTGTACCGCGACCACCCATCGTCAATCCATTGATGATCAGCAACCTCAGCCCCTGACATATGTACTCGCGTGAGATCGCCCTGTTTGGTGAAGCAGGTGCCTTCGGTGGCAGTAACTGGTGCACTTACCCACGCCAAACGAGGGCGGTTGTACGGTAGGATGTCGGATGGGCAGAGGGCGAGGGGCTCTACGCCCAACCATTGGGAAATTTCCACCCTGGCCGACACATCCATCGACAGGACGTTTTCCACCACGAAGTCAACTACGGCCAGGGGCTCGAAGACCTCTCGCAACCATCGTAGTAGTTGTAGGAGGGTCCAAAATAAGCGGGAGCCTTCTCCTTCCAAGTTTTGACGGCCTGCTCGGGCCGATGAAAGGTGAACGCAGGGGAAGCCTCCGATCAAGTGCACCCGCGTCACCCGCGGGAAGGTGTTGAACCATTCCTGGACTGTAGCCCTGGAGATGGTCTCTATATCTCCAATTTCCAAAACATGCGGCCAGGCCTTTCTTGTGACCCTCTGCGCCGCTCTGTCCCATTCTATGGAAATCAGCGCAGCGGGCCGCACTCCAGCTAAGTCGTAGCCACGGAATGCTCCCCCTATGCCGTTAAAGGCTGAGACCACCAAGAGGTTGGCCTGAATGGGCTCCAGCTCTCTAGATTGGAGCCGGTGGGTCAGCTGGGAGCCAGCGCCAGTGAGCGACACGGCAGACGCGACCGCCCCACCAAAGTGTGAAGCATCCGAGCACGTTGTAGTGTCCGAAAAGCTGACCCTCAGATCAGTGTGCAGTAGCGGCAGGAGGCATAGAAGGGTCGAGAGTTCCTGCTGCACCACAGGCCACCAGCGCCGTCGGTCCTGACCTTTCTTCACATAGTTCCAGCACTTACTCAGTGCTGCCATGGCCGGTCGGCGGAATTGAAGCACGAAAATCCAGCGGCCCAAGAGAATCTGAACCCATTTTACCCGGGGAAGGGTCTGGCCCAGCAGCATGAGGGTGGCTACCACCAACTTATGCAGCCTCTCAGGGCTGCCGCCCACGAGTCCAGCGTCCCCGTTGATGTTCACGCCTAATTCCACTGCGTCTCGCGCAGCGAGGACGTGTTTGTCCTCAGCGCAGAGAACGCCTTCGCCAGTCCAAGCAGCGACCGCCCCTTGGTGAAGAACGGCTGAGGTCGATGATTCCAAGCCCTTTAGGCTTACTTCACCTGACATGTAGTTGTCCAGGTACACCTGCCAGAACTGTTGCGGGCCAGCCCGTAGCACCAGGTCTACAAACCACCCGGGAGCCACAGCTTGCCGCCGAAGTTCTTCCGCCCCCAGCTGATCGCCTCGACGGATAAGTTCTCGACTGGCCATCTGCATTAGCCCCACGGAGCTCGACCAGCCCATCGGAAGAACTTTGCAGACTGGGACATAGACCTTTGAATGATCAAGCCCCAGCAGTTTGCCGTTGAACTTGGCATTGAACCCCAAGAAGCGATGCCAGGCACGGGGTAACCTGAACAGGTAAAAGGCGGAGCTCATGTCTGCCTGGCTGACGTGGATCGTCTCGTCTTCCTCTAGGGCTAATTGGCACCACGCCATGGCCGAAGGCAGCTCGGCTATATCTCCCTGGATGATAGCCAGCGCCCTGTTTATGGGCTTCAGATTCATGATGACCCTGAGCAGTGGGTCCCCACTTTCCGTAAAGCGCCCGGCTTTGGCGACACCAAACATCCCGGAGAGAAATGGCCCTCCAGCGTCCGAGTAGACCTGCTCCAGCTCCAGCCAATCCACTATTCCTCTTTCACGTAGAAGCTGCCACACTTCCAACTTTTCACCGGGTGCGATGTGCACTTGTGCCTTGTTCGGCCCGGGCTCCCTGGCTTCAGGTCCCAATAGTAGCTCCTCCGGGTTCTGCACCAGGTAGCGAGCCCGCCCCACCAGCAACGGCAGCAGGTCAACTGACCCGCCATGGCCAGCTGGGGGCAGGCTCTTTTCGATTTGCCTCCAAGTCAAGGGAAGCGGCTCCGCGAACTCCTCACCATCGTAGGATATCTTTTTGCTCAGCACGTCCTGCCAGATTTCCGAGGGTGCAACAACAAGGGGGGAAAACAGTGACAGGAACCTGTCGATTCTAGATTTAAGACAAGCTAGAACCCTGGTTACCTGGGCTCCCTGTCTCACCGGAGGCGCAGCCTTTTTTATCCCTGCCAGGCGATTCAGTCCGTGGCAAACTAGTTGGAGCCACGCGGAAGTCTCACAGGCATCTCCTGTTTGGAACTCCCTGCTGAAGCACACTGGTAGAGGGAACAGGCCTTTAAGGGGGGTAGAAACGCCTATCGGCGTGGTGTGCTCGACCATCTCTAGCAAGGAGTTCATGCCCTTAGGAACAATCCCATGGCCAATCCCCTCTGCCAGTGTGATGCCTAACGCACCGGGCGTCGCAAAAGCTGCGACGGTTTCATTGGGAAAAACGCGCACGGGGCTTTCAAATGCCCCAGCGCGGTCCGCTGGCATTTCGCCTGCCAACCCAGGCAGTCGGCCACCGTAAGGGTCTGTAGCGGCCACCCCATCCGGGTCAGCGGCCACTTCAAAAAGGGCCAGCTGCAGAAGAATCGGATCGAACCCATCCGACTCGCCGGAGGAGGCGTCGGGTTCAGGGTATTCCACCGGCCCAGCAGCAATGCTGCTCGGGCCGTCATACTCGCCGGGGCTCATTTGGCCTCGGCCGCTGCTGCGCCGCCTCCGTCTTTTCCGCCTTCCTTGGCGGCTCCTTTCCCGCCGGGGGCTCTCCATGCACCCTTGCCAAAGCCTCTTCCTTTTCCGCGTCCTCCGCCTTTGCCGCGACCTTTCTCGTCTTTCCCGCTTGGGGTACCTCCTTCGGCTGGGTGAGCGGTGCTCCGGGTATAGTCTCCCCCGGGCCTCCAGTTCCGCTTCCCTATGGCCTTCTCCACGGCTCGACCATGGCGTTGCGCTTGCAGTAGCACCGCAGGGGCTGCAAGGCCTGCCTGCCCATGGGTGGAATTACTTCCAGGTGCTGCGCATCCTGCCAATTGTTGGTCAGCCCGGCACTTTCCACCACCAGGAACCTGCCAGCCACCGCATCCCCCAGCTCGGGTAAGCGCCCGGCCTTCAGGTAGTCTATGCACCTGGCGAGGGTGTCCAGTTCCCTCACATCCCGCACTTTCCCTTGCAGGAGAGGGCGAGCCACTATTTAAAGTAGCTCGACATGCGGTTGCCGCCAGCAAGATGGGCCTGGCTGGTGGCCCCCTCTTGCACGGCCGCATCGGCGAGAGCCACCCCCACGCTCGTGAGGAGCATCTTCAACACTGACCCAGGGCTTTTGGCGGCTTTCTTTTGCAGGGGGGGCAGCATGCTGTCGCTGCTGCTTGAGCTCCTCGACCTGGACCGACTGTCGCGGGAGTCCCCCCTCCTTCGCCGCCGCCGTCGGGAGCGGCTCCTCCTTCGCCGGTCGCGGGAACCGCTGCGGCCCTTCCTTCGCCGTCGTGCGCGCGATGATCGGCCTGTTCGGGCGTCCTCGCGGTGCTGCGCAGCGGCTTTTGCCAGCGCCGCCCGCATGGACGACACCGAGCGATCCTTTCGCCGGCGCTCGGGCGTGGAGCTGCTGCTCACGTGAACAGCTGCTTCGGGCTCGTTCTTGATGGCCAGCGCTAACGCACGGCCGGCTTCTCCCGGGGACCTCGGGCGCGCAGCTTGCGGAGAACTCCTCGCTGACGCTGGCGCTGCTGTCCGAGCTTGCAGACGAGACCGCAAGGCGGACAGCCGGGTGGCCCCGTCTGCGGCGGCCTTAGCCTCTTCGGCAGGGGCCTTCTTCGGCCTTCCTCCGGCGTCTCCTCCTGCTTGAGGGAAATGCTCCTGGTATAGAGCTTCTTCCAGTCCTTCCTTTTGGCTTTTTCCACATAACTCGGGGGTGGAACGCCCGGCGGAAACACCGTGAAGCGCTCCACGTGCCAGGTCTTTTCGGCGTCTACCGGGCAGTCTGTGACGCCCATCAAACATACGTGGATGGCCCTCCGCTCTCTGGAGAAGATTTTGATCCCACGGTCGCGGGACCAGGGATGAGCGCCGCCGAGAAATTTGACTTGAAGCCAAAGGCCAGACTCGTCCTCGGTCAGACTGTGGACGAAGACGGCCATGTTGCTGTCTTCCACCTCTGGAGGCTCCCCACGATGAGTGGGAAGCTGCAGAACCGCCCCCACTTCGATCGGGCAGTTCTTCCAAAATTGGCGGTCCTCGGTAGTGAGAACCTGAATCACCGGGCCAACCCCCCCCAGATCCCTCGCCAGCTTCGGCATCGCGTCGCAACGGCGGGAATGGTGGGAAGGTCGGCCGCTCTTCCTCCTCGTCGCATCCTTCCTCTTCAGCGGGACTGTTCCCGCTCATTGCCTACGTCGCCTGTCTCGACGGGGGGCCTCCCCCAGATCAATGGCGTCGTGGCGCGGCGGATGGTGGAACTGCAGATCGGGGTTCTCCAAACCTCGAAACTGTTGCTTATGCTTCTTTCCACCGCGGCGCCTCCTCTTGCCGCTTCTGTTGTCTCGGCGCTCTCGCGGACTACGAGACCTTTGGCGGCTCCTGCGGTCCTCCCGAACCGGGGGTGGAGGCGGAGGCCCTGGCGGGGACTTCGGCGCCTCGTGCCCCCGAGGGGCTGCAAGGGGTACTTCCCTTTCTGCGGGCTTGTCCTCCTTTCTTTCTCCTTCTTCCTCGCTCTCCTCGTCCTCGTAGTCGCTGCCTGACCCGTAGTCAGCCTCCTTTTCCCCGTGCTTGTCTGCCTCTCGTTCGCTGCGCCTTTCCTTTTCTTCTTCTTTCACCCTTTCAACCGGCTCAGCGCCCTGGGGGCTGCGGCGAGCCGCGGAGCTTTTAGGGTGAGCGCTCCTATCCACAGTGTTGGTCACCTCGTCCAGTCGCCCCTTCGTATGCTCAAGGCGGTCGGACAGCGAAGTGACCTGAGAGTGCACCTGCCGGTCCAGCTTCACCAGCCCCTGTACTTGCCGGGACACCTGGACTACTAGTTCCTCAGCCAACGACCGGTGAGCCAACGAGTGAAACCGGTGCTTAGCACTCTCGTTCAGCGCCGAAGCGCCCGAACAGAGGCAGCACCAGGTATCACCCGAAGGAGCGAAGCCGCTTCTGCACTTACGGCAGAGCAGGCCGCTCCCGGGCATCACGGCCGTGGCTTTGAGCCAAACACTGCACGTGTTTCAACCTCACCTCAGCCTAAGATTCGACCACACTCGAAAACATAGCATGGTGATGTTCCATGGCAAACTGTTAGTCATAACCAGAGGGTATATCTTTCTTATCACAGTTGGGATGTAAATGGGACAAAGGCCGACAGAGGTGATAATTGCTTCTGGCCAGGTTCATGATATCAAACACAGGGGATATGGCCAGGTTCCCAGGTTCTGCGAAAATCTGTAGCACTAAGAAACCCCAACAAATTGTATCATGGTATATAATCGGAATATAACCGACATTATGGTAATTGGGTTTGTCCAGAAAGTGGGGGATACAACAAAGACACAATCACATGGCATCAACGAGCAAAGGTGAAAAGTGAACATGATGCTAACCTCTCAATTCTGAGGTCAAAGTACCATGTTTTCAGACAACACCATATTGGAAGCAATGAATCAATTCATCATCCTAAAAGAAAGACGTTGGACAACAACTCCATACAACCAACAACCCCAAGCGGTTGGATGGAAATTGTTTATTGAACACTTTATCTGAAAACAGGGTAACCCCAAATTTGATGGATCACTCTCTCTTCCAAAATCTTTGGGTGGTCAATTTTCAAAACCATTTAGCAACCCAGCAACGTCAAAGGAAACCAAAAGTGTTCATGGCCGATTGAACTTAGATGGAGGTTGGTCGTCAGTCGTCCATGCTTCCAACGTGATGCAAGAGTTTCAGAACGACCTAAAACGGTTTCACTGAGCATTAGTGACCCTGAATAGTTGAATTTCCACGGAACGTATGGAACTTGGATGTAATGCCCTTTCAACATCTTTCAACATGTCAGGAGGATAGACTGACACCTACAAATCAGGGTATATCAGGTATATAAGACAAATATTGGTTGGTTGATCAGGGTATCTCAGGCTTTCCGCTGTTGTTTTCACCCTCAGTCAGTAGTCATCAACTGACTCAGAACCTTGGTGATTGTAAGTTTAACTGTGGCTATCCCATAAGTGGCTTAAACCATTCACTACAGTCATGACCGTTTACCTCTTATAAGTGGTTATAACTTATAACTGGTTATTTCTATGCGATTATATATACATTCCATAAATGGTGTTATCAGTACTTATACCTGGTATTTCGGGCCGTAACTGTAAGTTAAATTCTTCCAAGTATCTCATTGATCTTTAAGGCTTCCCCACGAAGGGATATGTTTCGCACCATTCCCCCAAAAGCTCCTATTGTCTCTAGCCAATTGAATATTGCCGTGGAAACCAGCAATACTCTAGATACCAACAAAATGAGTCTTGAAACCAACACATGTCCCACAGTTGCAGCCCTATAGCCAATTATCACAGGCTGAGAAAACCTCATTTAAGGGCTATATATATATAACCAACCAGTTGTAGGAGTTATTTCATTTCATGTACAAGATAAACATAGTTATAACTCTGACGGGCCACAACCGCAGACGGCTGCGCCTTGATATTTCGTCCCAAGAACTCGGAACCGTCCAGGGCTTTCGCGATCTGCGCCGGCGGCCGGGATTTTTCGAAATGGCTACGGGTTCCGTGAGGTTTTTGCCCAAAGAATCACATACTCCCCCGATTGGTCTAAGACCTAACCAGAGTTTAACTCAATGGGTTGCCTTTCATATCCCATGACGGATCCATGGTGCTGGTATTTATATGCTAACATAAAGGGGGTATATTGATGGTAAATGTTACCATATTTAGCATACATGAATCCTATGGGTATTGCATAATATTAGCAGGATGGAACTTAAGTCTTATATAGTCACTTTGGAACCAACTTTGGAACCAATATATCTGGTGTCCATGCTACGTATGGTCGGTATGGTCATCCATCCCATCATGGCTTTGTAGATGGCCGTAATGGATTGATGACCATCACAGAACATTGGCTGGTTGGTGGTTCACTGGATTGGTTTGAGGGAAAATTTACAGGAAACCATGGTTTTTACCATCAAATATAGGGCTTTCCTGTAAATTTTCCCATCATCCAATTCTATGAGTGGTTGAGCCACCCCTCTGAAAAATGATGGAGTTCGTCAGTTGGGATGATGACATTTCCAACATATGGAAACATATTTTAAATGTTCCAAACCACCAACCAGTTAGTCAATTTACCCAAGTCTTGACCATGGCACAAAAAAAACAGCAACTGGCCGAATTGGAGGATCAACTTGATTCCTTTCTCCAACATTGACTGCGGAAATGCGTGGATAGATGTGATGCAACAAGATCCCAGAAGTGCTTTTAAAAAAAACAGCATGTCAATGGGAATTCCAGGATCCTAAAATGGAGGTACTGTACCATATAAGGCCATATTTTGTGGTGATATTCACTTACATAGGCCTAAAAAATAGGCCTTATATATGGTAGGTACCTCCATTTTAGGTTCCTGGAATGGCCATTGAGCATGTAACCGTTACCGTTCCTGTGCGGCAGGTATGACACGGTCCAGGAATCAACTCCCTTAAGATTGGACATGTCATCCTTTTTCTTGGGGCATAACGAGGTGTGTCCATTGTACCTACCCTCTGGTAATTTAACATAGCTACGGAAAATCACCATGATTAATCGGAAAATCCACTATAAATCACCATTTTCAATAGCTATGTTAAATTACCAGAGGGTACATAATAATCGAGCTGTATTAGCCACTTATCATGTTGGTTGTGTCATATTTTTGTCCAAAGCTCTGCCAATCTCAGGGTCTATCCCACCGAAAAAAACGGAGCCATGATGATATATGATACCCTCTGGTAATTTAACATAGCTATTGAAAATGACCATTTATAGTGGATTTTCCCATTAATCATGGTGATTTTCCATAGCTATGCTAAATTACCAGAGGGTAATATTTGATATGCTGTGTGGGTATGGGAAAGTTGCCATATTTCCCTTAAAACCATTTAAAACCTCTGGGACATTTTTTGGGGTTCATCCCTTGAAGAGCCGCAAAAAAATGGCCTGGTTGGTGTGTTGCACCTGCACCTGGTCATTGTAGGGTAGTTACCCTTTGGTAAACTAACATAACTATGGAAAATCACCATGTTCAATGGGTAAATCCACTATAAATAGCCATTTTCAATAGCTATGTAAACGTTTACCAGAGGGTACTATAACCACTTCCTCTCTGGTTATTTCACATAGCGAACTGAAATCATCTGAAATCCATGGCCAAGGTGATGTGCACAGCCCTTAAGGTGCACGCGTCGCATTGTTTTTTTGGCAGCTTTGAATGGTAGCTGTACTCGCATTTGTGGGTACAGGATGGTGCCCCCCAGTTATAAGTTGGTTTATAACCCCCATTAACTATAGTTATATCTGCCATAAACCATAGTTATGGGAGTTATAAACCAACTTAGCTAACTATGGGGCACCACCTTGTAGGCATATCAAGGAGTTCCACATTTTGAATGGTGATTTTCCGTAGCTTGAATAGTCAGAGGGTATCTGGGGAAATGGTTCTATATCCGAAACAAATTTCGCTTGGCCGGGTTTGAATTTCATCCATTTCCCATCATCTACGGAGGTTGGTCAAATGGGGTTGCCTTTAATCTACCCAAATAAACAATGTATATATATATTATAATATATTATATATATATATTATATTACATATTATAAATATTATATTATCTAGTATATATATATATTATATATATATATTACCCTCTGGTAAATTAACATAGACCCTGAAAATCACCAATTTTTAGAGGAAACTAATCTTCCAACCCCTATCTACCAGGGTCTATGTTAATTTACTGGAGGGTATATATTATATATTATATATTATAGATATTGTATATTATATATGCATGTATATACCAACAAGAATGATTCCAGACGGAAGTAATTCCACCATATTCTACCATAAATGGAGCATCTGCGCTTCTTTTGCCTCGGTTGATGGTCGGAGGTACATCCGAATCTTTGGTAAATCAATACCCAACTGGTCATCCGTGTATGGTATACTTCCCGACATGTCTAAAACTAAAATCATCCAAACATCTCTAGAATTCTCTAGATACTCTGTCAGAAATTGACTCTTTGAATCTGTTTGATCTGCTTTTCGTAGGATATCAAATAAAAAAGCCTCCATCTACGGCTAAATGAACCTACTGACATTCCAACCAAGGCTCCAAATGTAAATAAACCATACATGGATGGTATGGGATACATCGGATATTTGATGTGCCTGGTACCTTTGACCAGCTTACAGCGCCTAAAACAGGCCTTGAGAAGTTTTTGGAGCAACCAACTAGCTCCCAGAATCTTGCAGCTAACAACAAGAAGCAAAACATAACACATCTATATATAGAAGTTTCCTGGAAACACATTGCAAAACATTATACACAACTAGCCAAATCTAGAGAAAAAATGATAAAACAGGATACGATCAGAGATAATCCGTATGGTTTTGCCAGAAAAATCTCGTGCTGCAAGATCCATTTTAATCGATGCGCAACCATGTCTGAAGGATTTGCGTAACTTACCCAACCAAGACCCATGGGAATAACAGTTTGTTTTTTTCCTGTTCTGGGTCCGCGCGCTCGCGCGCGTCACTGGGCTAACGAAAGAAAGACCAAAGTGGGGCGCGCGCGTGCGCGGACCCACAACCAAAAAAGTTCAAAAGTTGGCCCTTGGTGACTTTAGGTAAAGGTGCCAGCCACCAAACACATATTCCAAGTAGATGTCCTGTATCTACAAGGTGGTGTTCCCCTGTTATGTTTGTTGGTTTATAACCCCATGAATACTTTAGCTATATCCCCCGTTATATCCCCCGTTATATCCCCCGAAAACCCAACGGTTAGGTGAACTCTGCTTAGCAACTTAGCGATTTCGTTATAACGGGGGGTGCCACCAGTTTGCAGTGGATGACTCAACAGCAAATCCGTAAGCGGTGTTTGTCAAGCACATGACAAACCATACCGTTCTATGCACAACATCTCCAAACATTGCGGTTGTTCTTTTTGTGGATTTCACTCGACCACTCAGAATTCCATGAAAATACCACTTTCAACATCACTTCAAGATGTTTTGTTTCACGCGTAAATCCCGTTGAAATCCCATTTCTAAATCATTTCTTGGTCCAAACTTTGTAGGACCTGCATCTCAACTTCCGATTTCCTCACGCGCACATTCTCTGGGGACCTTAAGGTCAAAGGTGGGATCTGAACGGAAAACACAACATTTTTTTTCTTCCGGTGGTGTGTGCATTTGTGCATGTTTATACGTCATTTGCAAACTATACATATGGCAAACATGTGGTAAACCCATCTAAGTCCTCAAAGAGAATCAACATATGTCTGGGTAAATGGACTAATATTTCACTAACCTGAATTAAGGCCATTTGGGGATGATTTCCCTTATTAACTATGGTTATACCACAGGATCGCCATTCAGTCTGGATCGCAGGTGCAGGGCCCTGAAGCTTCTAGATCTATTCACTCGATTCATGGACATACAATCTTTGGGGGCAAAACGTGTTGACTGAAAAATCCATGGCTTGAATGGACTTGTGAGTCTAAACCTACTTTAGAATCTTTAGACACTTAAGATTCAAGTATTACCCTCTGGTAAACTAACGTAGCTATTGAAAATGGCCATAGAAATAGTGGATTTACCGATGAAAATAGCGATTTTTTTCCCAGAGGGTAACCATGTCACTTGGATTCTGCATTTTTGTTTCAGGCCTTCAACGAAATTGACAGCTGTACTTGTTGGCCACAGCCAAAAACCATGAGGGTCTGACTAAGACCCAATCGTCCCCTAGGTGCTCCAACCTGGGAATTCCCACTATAGAAAGGGGAGGTCAGTTACTCCCATAGCTTACAATCATCCACCAACTGGAGCCACTGCTCACATCATTCTCCGAAGTTTTACAAATACCAAAATTATGGAAAGTTGGTTGGCTGTATCTCCATTCTAGTTCCTTTTTTTTCCGTTTTAAACATTAGGATCTCATACAGTTATAAGTTATAGCCATCCATAGTTATAACTGACTTATAACCTCATTCAAGTGATATTTTTCACCAATCATTTGCAGGAGTTATTTCGTCCCGTGGCCAGAGTTGTTAAGGACAACTACCTGTATTCCCTTTCTCCCGGATCCATTAGGATTTCCTACAATGTAAGGCCCCCCAGTGATGTTTGTTGGTGTATAAACCCCATCTAACTATACTTATAAGTACCATAATAAACCCTAGTTATTGGAGTTATAAACCAACTTAGCTATCGATTCCGGGGGCCCCACATTGTAGCCATCACACCGTCACACCAAATTGCCAACGATCCAAGGGACGTCACGTTACCACCCGCGGACAAATTGCCTAAAGAGACATTCGACCATTCCAGCACTGCCAGTGATACCCTCTGGTGATTTATCATAGCCATGGGAAAATGGCCCATGAAAAAAAAATGGTTTACCGAACTTAAAAAATGGTGGATCCTTCCATGGCAAACTGGCAATGTCATAACCAGATGCTATCTGGATATAGTAACTTCATAACCCCCTAAAAAACAATATGCAGAAAAGATTCATTTTTGTTTACCACGTTTTGAGGATTGGATGTAATGGATGTGATGGATTTTTTTGGAGACTTGCATTGGTTTATCAATGTTTACCACCCTATGAAACAGCGACTGGAGATACCTGCGACTGAAACATAGATACCAAACAAGATCATGGCCTTCTTAATAGTTGCGTATACTTCATCCCAGAATGGAGGCCAATACCATATGTATCCACATGTAAGCTCATGTGTCATTGAGCCATATAGATATATGTTATTACAAGGTCTATCTAAGGCCTATCTAAGGCCTATGTCAAGGAATATCATCCCAATAAAGTTGCCCTTTTGGCCCCGAGATTGATATGCTTGGTTTCAAATGTCTTCCATGAATCTCTAGGGTGAATCCTCAAAATCTTGAATGCCAAGGTATAGTTGTGGGGAATGAATTATTCTTTTCAACTATCTAATCATGTTTCCCTAGAACATACCACAAAGAGACCAGGCAATCTCTAGATAATTTGTAATTGGGGGATTCGACCAAGTGCATGGAACCGCAATTGATGTTTTAACTCAAACATGTTTTTTGGATGTGTTTGGACAGTTCATAATGGATCTTGATGGTTTCCCAAACAGTAAGAGTCCTGCACGAGGATTTTAAGGACATTGATACCCTCCGGCAATCAAACGTGGCAATGGCAAATCCACCACTGATGTTCATCATGTTCCCATTGAAATCTCTATTTATAGCGGATTTCCATGGATTTCCCATTGCCATGTTTGACTACCCCCGGGTAAATTTGGAGAAAGTATGATAGTCCACCTACCATTCGATCCATTCCATCCCCTGGGTTTACCTCTTATGTCTGATGCTTCAACCCAAATTCTTGTTGGTTAAACCACAATTTACTACAGGAAAATATCCCTAGCCATCCAATGTTTCCAAAAAAAAACATGGCATGACAATGGGATGCAAAGTATATGGTTTTTTCAGTTACATTGTCGGTTCACGACATGTTTCCTGCATAGAAATGGCCGTTAGATATACATGGGATTGTAACTCCCGCAACTAGTTGGTCATACATCTATATTTATATCTATGGTTGTAACTATCTATCTAATTATATAATGGTTATATATATATATATCTATTTATATATATATGGTTAGATCTATCTATCTAATTAATCTAATTGATCTAAACAATCTAATGAACTAATTGATCTAAATGATCTAATTGACCCAATTGATCTATCTGATCTATCTGATCTATCTGATCTATCTGATCTATCGATCTACCAAGCTTTCTATCCTATCTATCCTATCTATCGTATCTATCTTGTCTATCTTATGTATCTTCTCTATATGTCTATCTATCTATCTATCTAACTATCTATCTATCTATCTATCTATCTCACTTTAATGGGGTGAACCAAACCAGCTATAGCTGGCCACAAAGACCTTTAACCATCCCATTATCAATCCACTGCACTATAAGATCTATAAGACCGCGGCAACAAAAATGTTAAGACCACTTATAACTCTTCATATATCAATAAATTTCAATATATGTCAATATATATATATACAATATATATATATACAATATATATATATATATCGCTGAAATGACGTGAACCTTTTTCGAACGGTGCAATCGAAGCGGCTACTGTTATGCAACAACTGTCGTCGTGCCACCACCACGTTGTAGGCACCTGCCGCCAGGAGAATTCCGGGAGCCGGTGGGGTGCAATTTATACCGTGAATTTTAAGGGAAAATGATGGGAAAATCATGGGAAAATGAGAAAATCATGGGAAAATGATGGAAAATCATGGGAAAATGATGGGAATAACATTATAAATGGATATAAAACTGGATTAATGTAATCATGTAACCATGATAACCATTCAACAACAATCCATTTTTTGTTGAACAATGATTCACCATACAGGGGCCCTCAAATTTGATAGCTTTCTGTACAGTGGCGCCGGCGAGTTGGCCTCTGGCAGTTGGGGAACACCTAACATGAAGACAAACATTGGCGGTTTAGATCCAGTCGCTTAGGGTTTTTCACATGGATCCAAAGATTTAGGATTTTCCTTGTTCCATGAATACATATTATCATTGAGATTGATGTACATATATATTATATATATACGTATGTATACATATATAATGTTAGCACTATATTAGCCATATTCAACCATATTCGGTATTAGCTACATTATTATATTTATCTCAATTGACAATAGTTTTAAACATATCCAACATATTAAACTTATATATAAACCATCATTTTTGATACAATTTGAGGCCCCCAAACGTTATAAGTTGGTCTATAAACACCATGAGTTATTTGCGTACCATAAACCCAACAGGTATTGGAGTTATGTTCACCAACTTTGCTATCATAAATCAGCTATAAATCCCATTAAACCCACATGTTCCTATAGTTTCCATAGCCGGTTTTCTCTTGGGGGCCCTACAGCCACGACTCCCCAGATCAGAGCACGATCCGCGCCTGCACCCGTCCTGGGTGTCTCGGTGATTCTCGCTGTGCCATGGTCAAAACATATATGATGTGCGTATTTAATTATATAAGATGTAATGAAAAAAATGGAAATACAATAGATATGTCATGGGATATATATATATATATAATTATAAATATATGATATATGGTTATTTAACATAGCCATGGATGATCCCTTATAAATACCCAAAGGATCCCATAGATTTATTCATATACACATACTTTTGTTACTGGCTGGTGGTTTCATTCATATACCCATAGGATCCATGTATGGTATATATGCTAACATTTGGGGTATATTGATGGTAAATGTTGCCACATATAACATACATGGATCCTATGGGATAGGATATAATGAAAACAAATGGAATAATAATAATAGATATGTCATGGGATATATATATATGATATATGGTAATATCACAATGTGGGGCCCCCTAGTTATAAGTTAAGTTATAACATGGGGTAACTCAAGTTATAAGTGGGGGCAACATAAGTTATAACTATGTTAACTTATGTATAAAGTTGGCCAAGATATAACTTGAGATAGCAGGTTGAAGCAAAAACGAGTTAGACAAGTTAGACAAGTTAGCTTTTTGTTGTTGCAAAATGGATGCATCTACTTTGAAAAACAGAATATCCGTTGGTTTTCATGGCTCAAACCGGCTTCTTGTAGGAGGTGGCCATGGCGCAGTTTGAAAGCCAGCAATTGCGCAGGGCGAGCATGCAGGACTATAGGAGTTTTCCCTTATATCTGTCACAAGAAATTTGGGATGCTCTTGCTGATCGGAAGATGTCTCAAGTGAGTCGGGTTGATCGCTTGGTTCGGCACTTAGTGAACAACCTTGGAATGCGTCATCCGACGGAACCATCGATGGCTGTCATTGCCTCGCTGGTGGGACAGCAGGACAATTTGACAATTCCACAGCTGCTGACGTTGCTACAAACGGTCAAGAGTGTCTTGAAGACAACAGTGACACGGGCTGGACACTCTGGCATTCCATTGCCAGCAGGTCGCTATTTGGAGTTGTTGCCCAACCAGGTGGCAGAGTTGCCGAGCGATGTGGCAGAGGCGATGGCCCTTGGCGGATTCGCTGCTCCTCCCATGTCTGTGGATTTGAATGTGGTCTGGCAAACTGCCCGCACCATTCCTTTGCGGAACACACATCGCGAGGTGCAGTTGCAGAGGCAGTTGGAGAATCAGCAGAACACGCTGGCCCTGCAGGGCTTTCCGGATCGCCTGGCAGGTTTGCAAATGGCACAGGCGGTTGCAATTTTTGCCGTTGCCATGGGTGGGCAGACGGCAGTCAGGCAGCCTGATGCGCTATTGCCGAATCTGCAAATTTTTGGAGACGCGGAAGTGGAAGCTGTGGCCGCGCCTGAGGGCACGGGATCTGCTGGCGACAAGCCTGCATCAGCGCTGGTGAGAGCCGCTGCTCAGAAAGCTGTGCCACCGCAGAAGGCGGAAGGCAAAGCTCCTGGAAAGGCAGCTGCGGCTGCAGATGCCGCAGGGCACCACAAGGAACTGATGGTAGCGCTGCTCAAGACAGCCATGGAAACGGCTGGCAAGTCTTTCCAGTAGAAACTTGCATGGACCTTTCTGTACAGACCATAGAAACTGAACCCGCGACGGAAAAAAGGGACTTTCTGGGAAACGCAGGTGTGTTTCCAGGACAAATTCTAAAAAACATCGGAAACGCGATAGTGTTTCCCACTTTACTTGCCAGCAAGCTTGGGAGCGCGCTTGTGTTTCCTATTAGTAATAAAAAAGAAGGCTGGAAACGCGTATGTGTCAAAAATGTGTTTCCTTGAGATAACTCTGAGTCTAAGTTCGGGGATGTGTTTCCAGCATAGAAGGGAAACGCAAATGTGTTTTCAACTGAAACCATATGTTTGACCGGGGCACGCGTATGTGTTTCCGACCTATAAAAGGAGTGTCGTGGAAACGCGAATGAGTCAAAAATGAGTTTCTTTGTGTTTCCTACATGACCACTTTACCGCAGCTTTTTTCAGGAATCGCAAGGGAGCGTCGCAATTGTCCATTGCTGTTCTGTTGGCTTACAATGACAGAGGTGCCAACGGTAGAGATTCCGGATCCGACGCAGGATGCCGTGGAAGTGCCTGCATCGCAGCCGGATTGCGCAGAGGCAGCCGCTGAGGCGCCTCCGCCTGAGGGCGCTATGGCGACGGACGTGCCTACGGTCGAAGACAAGGTGATCTGTCGACGCTGTACCTCGTCTGTGCAGAGGGATGAAGCCATCTGCACCCCCAAGTTTCGAGAAGACCTGCGTTGGACGTGCAAGAGTTTTGTCACGCTGTGAAAGGACAGCTCGCTCGTCATGGCATTGAGCTTTCCTCGTGCCTCACTGAAGATGATGTGGTGGCCTTTTACCAAGATTCTCGGGCGGAGCGCATGAACAGTGTGGACAAGAGGCTGTCCTTCTCGCAGGCCAGAGGCGTGCTGAAGAAGAACATGATTCACTCGTCATCCCGGGTTGACCGGGAAGGTGAGTGTGGTGAGTACCATCCTCTCGCTTATTGGGAGCTGAGAGGATACAATGTTGCCAGGATAGAAGAATTGGCCGACAGGCGAACCCATCCCATTCTGGGAGACTAAACGGCAAAATGGTGGAGATTAAAGAAAACGATTGCCTTCTCTTCGGCAAAAACCTGCAAGAAGCGTGTTCACTTTTTCTTGCACAAAGGCAGCCGCTTGTATGTGTACATCACAAAGCTGGCGCCGATTCGCCATGGGGATTCGTACAGAATCTTCCGGCGAAGCAACGACAGGGAAATAGTGGACCACCGGTCGTTGGCGAACTTCCATGTGCCGGCCTGGACCAACACTAAAAGTGATACGGTCATGTGCCTTCCGTGATAAATCACCACCTGGCAGCGTCAAAAAAGCGCGGCGGACACAGGGTTCTCCAAAACAACCGTGAAACGACGAAAATCTCATAATCATGACCAATTACTTTACTTCGTGTGATCCCCACCATGACATTTCTACATTTTCTTACTGGCAAATCTTCTGGCATTCTATCTGACATATCTTCTGACAATCTATTTGGCATTCTATCTGGCATATCTTCTGGCATATGTTCTGGCATATCTTCTGGCAAATCTTCTGGCATTCTATCTGGCATATCTTCTGGCATATTACCTGGCATTCTATCTGGCATTCTATCTGACATATCTTCTAGCATTCTATCTGGCATTCTATCTGGCATATCTTCTGGCATATATTCTGACATATTTTCTGGCATTCTATCTGGCATCCTATCTGGCATTCTATTTGGCATTCTATCTGGCATATCTTCTGGCATATCTATCTGGCATATCTTCTGGCATATTTTCTGGCATTCTATCTGGCAAATCTTCTGGCATTCTATCTGGCATATCTTCTGGCATATTTCCTGGCATTCTATCTGGCATATCTTCTGACATATCTTCTGGCATTCTATCTGGCATTCTATCTGGCATTCTATTTGGCATTCTATCTGGCATATCTATCTGGCATATCTTCTGGCAGATTTTCTGGCATTCTATCTGGCAAATCTTCCTACATGAGGTCCGGCAGGGAACACTTGGCGTGGATACTCGCGGTTGAGGTCCGGCAGGGAACACTGGGCGCGGATGGTCGTGGTTGAGGTCCGGCAGGGAACACTGGGCGCGGATGGTCGTGGTTGAGGTCCGGCAGGGAACACTGGGCGCGGATGGTCGTGGTTGAGGTTCGGCAGGGAACACTGGGCGTGGATGGTCGTGGTTGAGGTCCGGCAGGGAACACTGGGCGTGGATGGTCGTGGTTGAGGTCCGGCAGCGAACACTGTGGATCGCGAGTCGCAGTTGAGCAGGAGGACGAGGAGGACAACGAGACGAGGAGGACAACGAGACGAGGAGGACAACGAGAGGAGGAGGACAACGAGAGGAGGAGGACGACGAGAGGAGGAGGAGAGGAGGAGGAGGAGGAGAAGGCAACTTAGATAAAATCTAACAACCCTCACCTGGCAGGTGGGGAAAAAAACCATCCAAAAAAGTTAGCAAAGATATAACTTAAGTTATAAATAGTGCTAAGATAAGTTAACATAACTTCAAGTTAACTTCTCTAACTCGATTTATGTGTATTTTAACTTCAAGTTAACTTGGGGGCCCCACATTGCATGGGAACATAATGGAAATATCATGAGAATATAATGGAAATACGAAGGTGCTACAGTCATAGCTTGTAGCAGTTATATCATGGTATAACTGGTTTATAACCTCACCTAAGAAACAAATAAACTTTTAGCAGGATTATAATCCCATGTGTAGCTGTTAAGGGCCATAACCGACAGATGGTATACGCTTTATGATCATCCATCGCATTCCACGGGAATCCTACTTGTCAATGTATAAATCCTTTTGAACATGGATTGATGACAATCCCCCAATATGGGTGTAGTATAGAACAAAAATAAATAAAGGAAGCGGAAATCCACTCTATGGCATCTTTAATGGAAACATGGTCAAACATCCTGATATATAGCGAACCAAGTAGAGATTGTTTAGGTGGGTACCTGAAAATGATGTGGAAAGTATTCCCATCAAATTGAATCATCATCCCGTTTCTTTGCAGGGAACCTACAAAATGAAACGACCAAACACAATGTTTAAAACATGTTCGCCCCAACATGGACGTTGCTCCACACTTTCAACCGTCATAATGATCATCATTATCATCATCACATCATGATCATCATCAGATTAAAATTCGCCACCCCCTCTGAACAATATGTTGACTGGGGCAATAACATAAACTTGATCTTCATGATGGGTCAAAATTTGCCACCCCCTCTGAACTATATGTTGACTGGGGGTAGTAATATCAACAATATCTCCATGAGGGATCAACATTCGCCGCCCCCTATCTTCATGAGGGATCAAAATTCGCCACGCCCTATGAACAATATGTTGATTGGGGTAACAACATCAACTTTATCTTCATATCCACCTGAAGTCAGATGTGGCGCAACGTCAGGGTTGCAGCGAACATGTTGAAATGGTAGTATAGCCACTATACGTGGTCAAATTGCGATGTTTGTCGGGAAAAGCACCATCAAATTGAGAGTTTTTGCATAGTTGTCAAATCCTCAAAGCTACCAAAATTTTCATCCAGGCCCCATCAGGTGGCTGGGGACTGACCCGTATCAAGCAAACAAAACATATTGTGGATATATATATATAAATATATATATATACATATATATATATATAAATATATATATACATATATATACATATATATATATATACATATATATATACATATATATATATGGATGTTGCACAAAACATGCAAAAATCTTTGGTGTCCTGAATATTTCCCATGACATCAGGCCTATTTCACAATACGTCGCGGCAGGCCGTGGCTACTCACAGCCGGGAATTTCTATGGATTTGTCCAAAGTGGAGATACTCTCAAATGCTGTTTTTAGGATAGGAATGATGAACATATATGAAAATTTATTGATTGTATATATATATATATATCCTGGAACCCAATATGACCCCTCCTTTGGATGGTTAACCTTCCATTTTATGGGTCAAGACCTTTAAAACAATGGTCATTTGGGTTCCAGGTACATACATACAAAAGCCTCTAAAACGATTCAACAAATCACTGCAAATCTCATAGGCACAGCCACAATCGCTACGACCCCCCTGAAAAGCTTCGCCCAATGGTATGGACTCAAAAGCAAAGAATCGCTACGACTTTGACCCTTGACTGTATATAGCCCATTGCTGGAGAACAAAACCCACATTTCTTGCATCTTTTGTCGCGCTTGCGCCAAGAAACAGATTGGTCAAGGCATCTTGGAAGGCCGCCATGGGCATGGCGTTTAAGCCCACACCCACAATGGCGTAGAGCATGCTCAAGCCTGCCACACGTCCCGCAAAAACGCGACGTTTACGAAAACGGAAAACGGAACAATCAGTTTGCGAAACAGCAGCAATTTGTGGACAAACAGTTTTTACCCTCTAGTTATGTCAACAGTTTGCTATTGAAAATGGCTCATTTATAGTTGTTTTACCTATTAAAGATGGTGATTTTCAATAGTTATGTTTGTTTACCATAGGGTAAAACATTTTCAAACATGTTCAAACATATAGATTTCAAAAAAAAACTAACTTCTGAGCCTTCTGAATCTGTACATCCGAAGAGCTTTGAAATGCTCAATGCATCGATACTGTGAACATGTCAGCCGTCTCTGTCACCCTCAATGGCTTGTGGTACAAGTGGTACAAGCTCAATGGATTCAGGCTGCAACAAATACTGTGAGAATATAATCATCTCAACATATTACTTGGCTATACCATGCTATACCCATAGGATCCATGTATGCTATATATGGTAACATATACCATGATTATACCCCCAATGTTAGCATATATACCATACATGGATCCTATGGGATATATAAGTGGTGGAAAACTGGTAAATGTTGGCAATATATGAGAAAATATGTCGAGATGATCATATTCTCACAGTAAATGATCATTTGATATGGTTGGTGGCTTTAACCCCTCTGAAAAATGATGGACTTCGTCAGTTGGGAAGGATTAATTATCCCATACCCTCTGGTAATTTAACGTAGCTATTGAAAATGGCCATTTATAGTGAGTTTTCCCATGAAAAATGGTGATTTTCAATAGCTATGTTAGTTTACCAGAGGGTATCCCATATATGATGGAAAATAAAAGCCATGTTCCAAACCACCAACCAGTTGGTCCCCTTGAATTTAAAAACATCGTGGCTTCGTGGTGCCCATAAATGATACGTTTTTCTCCATCAAGCCGATATCTCCCCAGCCGATTTTCTCGTTAAATATCCAGCCGAAACATCTTTAAGGTGATATTTGGTTGCATCTTTGGTGATATATATCTGGTTGACCAACCAACAAAAAATATAGGGGTGGTTATGAAAAAATCCATACAGCAATAGATATCACATGGATATCCTGTGCTTCAACGGCTTGCCGGGATTCAACGGTCACGACGTTTCCTTGAGACCCAAGCCGCCCGGCCTGCCCCAACGGGAGAGAAGTCGAAGGAGCACCACTCACCCAGCAGGAAGATACAAGTGTAGTACCTGGAGAAAAGCATGGATTTTTGGATGTTTTCTTAGGGAGATATGGGGAGTCCAACCAGCAAAAATGTGACTAATATTGCGAACATATGCAGGATTTTAACCGAACAACATTGGACAATAGTGGATAAATTATGGGGATATCAAAAAAAACTGTGATTTTTGGTAAAACGTAGAACATGGGAAACATTGGAATATTCAACTCACCAGAATGCTTGAACTGATCTTGGATTGAACTGGAAACACTGGACTTCACTCTGAATGTCACGACTTCATTGCAACGGCCATGCGTCATGCTTCTCGGGCTTCTCAATGCTTTGTATCATGGTGATTTACCTAACCCCAGTCGGCTTTCCCCGAGAATCGGATCTTGTCAAGGACTCGCTGGATTAATTTCAACAAAAACAACTACAGCCTATGAACCATCTATTTTAAGCCATCGGCTTGGAGGCTGAATCTGACCTGGGCCCCTGGCCTATCCACACCTGAATTCATGGTAGCACCGGACGTGAGCTCAAAGCAGTACTGGGTACCCTTTTGCTCTCTCTCTCTCTCTACATGTATACATTACATATAATATTATATATATATATATATATATTATTATACTTGTTCATATATATATATATATAGCACTAACTGGGTCCTAATATGTCCCAACCACTGTATCACTGTTGTATAATATGTGGCTAGTGTTTTCAACCCCATCCCCTGAAAACAAAAAACAATTTGGTTCATCATCCCAAATATGGTTGAAAATGCAAGACATTAAATCAAGCTAAAGGTAAACCAAATAACATCAAGTTCCTGGTGTTCAATCAAAGCATCCATGTGTTATGTTCAAACGGTTGCTGTGTTCAATGTATTTCAAAACGGATAAACATATCACACTATTACAACACAATGAAACCACAAACCAGTTATGCAATAGATTGTTCATCCAAGTAGAAAGCCCACGCACCCGCACCGCGCACAAGGTGGAGAACATGTCTGTCATCCCCACCGCGCTCGTCGCACCCCCCTGACGGGACACAGAACATGAGGGGTATCCTCCGAAAAGACCCTCCAATAATCAGACGTGGCACTGGGAAATTATCGGAATACATGGTGGCATTATACATAAAGTACCTACATAAATGACTGGAATAGTAATAAAGTACCTATTATTTTTTAATGGATTACTGGAATATGTGGTTATGGGAAAATTTGAAAGTCATCTAGAGATGGTGGATTTTCCAGCCATGTTTGAATTTTTTGTACCAGAGGGTAGTAGCCCAAAACATGTCATATTTACCCTTTGGTTATTTAACGTAGCTATGGAAGCCATGGCCCATAGAAATAGATGATCTATGATGATATACCTATCAAACATGGTGATTTTCCATACGTTAAATAACCAGAGGGTAGTGGTAAAAAGATCTAACTACACCATGCATGGAATTTTTTGGGGCACCCCATTTTCAGAGAGCGCTCCGAGGTGATCAACGGCAGGACCTGTGAAAAAAAATGGTGACCAAATATGGCAATTGTAAGCCCTGCATGATGATTTGCATCATGTCCATGTCATGGTAGACTTATATATCTGCTTCTGACCGGTTGTGTTGTTGGAAGAAACGCTGCAAGATGCTGCAAGTCTCCTTACATGGCCGACCCAGGCACTGAAGGACTTTATCCAGTGAGTCAAGCCGTGGATATTCACTGCTCGGAAATCGGAACAAATGCCGAGAGGAAAGACTCAAAGACACCGACGGCCGGTATATTGTGTTGACTGAATCTAAAACCAGAATTGTTCTTAGCTATCATCCCTATATTTTCCAGATATTTAATTTGTTGCCCATGCTCTCCATTATATCGCAAAACATCTCCCATTGTATTCCCATTTATGCCACAAATCACAATCTGATTTTACCCCATTACACTAACAAATAATGTTTGTGATGACCACCCCTATGAATAATCATGTGATATTAAAATCATCATTGCTTGCTAGAAAATCAATAAAACATAACAATTGTTGTGTTAGTTATACCTAAATAATTCTTGGACATTGGCAACAAATTTGATAGTTACTAAACTAATTTGGTATAACTATATAAGTCAATGGGACTTTCATGAGCCTAAAATAGAGCTACTGGTACCATAGCGCGCCTCTGAGAGATACCACAAGGTCGCACTGAGAGCCCAGAAGGTACTGGAGACCTTTGAGCCGCCCAGTGGTTCACGCCGTAAGCCACATTTACGTGTATTTTGGTGTACCTAGACCCACCAAGTATCTTTAAAAAATGCTGTTTTGCCCCATATTTTTGTGGTACGTTTCCCATTTTTGGGGGTTGGAGGCTGTATGTGGCTGCATAGAATGTGATAGAAGTGTCTGAAGTTCATTGAACCACTTCATTGCGACTTGAAATCTTAACTATAGCTATGACTGAGTATACTCATAGCAACTCATAGCTATACTTAAGATTTCAAGTCGCTTTTTGATATGACCCATGTGCCAGGCTTTTCACCATGTCACCAGCTGGGGTTTTGCCAGCTTAGTTCTCATCCCCCACTTGGATTTGCCAACCATGTCACCCCCTGGCCAAATCTTGGAGATTTCCCAGCAGTACCAACGAGATTTCCCCAATTTGATGCGTAGGAATTTCCCATGAAGTCATCTTGCGATCACCGCAAGAAAATCATGGCTGAGGATCATGGCTGAGGATCATGGATGATGGCAATACTAAACAATTTTTTCTGGCCGATCTAAACATCATTTCCGAACCTGCTGTTTTTGTGGTCCACAAAAACAGGGAGATATCACCTATTGCAAGTGCATGAATGGGAGAATTGTTATTTTCCTACATGGTTTCCTTTTCACTTGCCATGCACATCGAAGTGGTTGGAACATAAGATACCCTATACATCATCTTCCTGCTTAAATGCCTATATTTTGTAAAATTCCTACAGTACATTGTATTTGAACAAACCAGACTGTGAAAAACACGGAAACATGAAGATCTCTGCATCCTTTATCCAAAAAATAGTTTATAATATATCCCATAGGATCCATGTATGCTATATATGGTAACATTTACCATCATTATACCACCAATGTTAGCATATATACCATACATGGATCCTATGGGTATAGTTATATATATATACATATAATTATTTATATGATATATGCATTCAATTCCTCTTTGTCCCTCAGTTTCGAATAAAGTTGAAATTGCCAACTGAACAAATATGGGTCTCATGAAAACTTTCCACAATTGGAGGTTTATGATTGGAATTGTCATGGCCAATCTTAGATACCCTTCAACAAATTTGATGTTAGCTGGTGAGCAAGTCTCTCTCTCTCTCTCCCTGTATGTATATATATATATATTATATATATATATATGTATAAATGAATTATATATGCTATAGACCCGTGTATAGCAAAATATGAAGTTGTACCAAACTACCCAGCTGGTTGACCTACAATAAGGGTGTTTCCATATGTTTCCATGTTTTCTCTGGTCAAAATTTGATGCTGGTGAACCCCTCATTTTCGTTGGTTGAATCCCTCTCCGTTGTCCACGTTCTTTTTTGCCACACCAACGCCACAGCTTGCCGTCGCACATCCGCCAGCCAGCGCCGCGCAGTGCGGCCACCGGACGACGCGGCAGCACGCAGAGCTGAGCTGTACCTGTCACAGGTTGAGTGGTTGAGCCACCCCTCTGAAAAATATGAGTTCGTCAGTTGGGATGATTATTCCCAATATATGGAAAAATGATCCAAATGTTCCAAACCAACCAGATCTACAAATATGGGTGTTTTGACTAGATTGGTTGAAGGGAAAATCTACAGGAAACCATTATGTTTACTCCAAATTCAGAGATTTTGGCAGATTTTCCCTAAAAACTCAAGATTTTCTTTGGCATTCAACATGGTTTTCATTAGCTGATTTAGCTACAGAAAATTGAGATGTGGGTGCCAGCGTGAAAATTGCATAATCCTTCACTCATTGTGCTGGAGTTTTTGAGTTTTTTTTGCCGTATGCGATTGCAAGCATTATATTCCGGACACATATGTAGTCAAGTTGCCGATCTTTCCTGAGACTCGATATACCACATGTTCAGATACACAAACATTCAATACATAGGGAAATCCCCGCAAATTAAAAAACATTACATACAGCAACAAGGCAAATTTGGTTAAATTTTGGGTTTATGATGCGCATTGTTGGGACTACTGGATACTCCATTGATTAATACAACAGACATCAACATATCTCATATAAAACAAATAAACAACATGGACAAGCAGTGTTTTTTGGTGAAATGGGGTAGCGAACTCATCCAACATTGAATGTGACCGAATTCATGGTTATTTCCACATGAATATGCATAATATACATTACGGGGTATACAGGCATGCTGCATGCTATCAGCAATAAAAAAAAATGGGTTCAGTTAGAGACATGGTATTCCAATTTCAATGACATGTTAAAATATCTATTGACGATTTAGGGAGGTGTCCTAACTAGGGGAGGATTTAAATGATATAAACGGCTTAACCTGCACGCATAGCATTATCATAATTGTTTTCATGTGTAAGCTCCATAGAGAAAACACGATTTACCAACAGCCTGAGGGTCCAACTTATATAACCAGTAGATAATACCAACGTTACGACGTTAAAACTGAGTAGAACCGAACAATACAAGTAGGATCAAGTGCGGTATACCCATGAATTGGGGTTTGTGGGGTAAGCATAGCAACACACACATTTGTTTGAACTTTTTGGGGATGTGGTTCATGATTTACTGTTTCATGTTCCAATACCCAATCTTCCCAAAAAACAAATCCCCAAAATATGTCTGATTCCTCCGTTCCAATAAGATATGCCCAATTTTCCCCAAGAAAAATATGTCAGATTCCTCGCTGGATCCTGGGGCACGTGATCATGTTCCCCTGCTGCTGGCTTTGGTGCAGTTCCTCAAGAAGGTGCCTTGGAGCATCGCGGATGCATGCGGAAAACGAGTATATAGTATGGGAAGACGATGGGGATCACATAGGGAAAACAATGGTAATGTTATGGGGACAATGTAGGGATAATATAGGAATCAAATGTGATATGGTCACCGACAGAATTATGGAAAAAAATAAAACGTTCAACTTAGACAGGCGGCGCCTGCGTCCGATTTTTCCATAATTGGATTTTTCCCCATAAGGGTTCAAAATATCCCGGAAGTGATCCGAACCTTTTTTTTTCCATAATTCTTGGAGGTGGCCATTATTTCCATAATTGACTTTTCCTGTGAAATCAGGGGGCTAGGGCAGATTGACCGGTTTTCCATAATTATTTTTTCCATAATTAATGTTTGGGGCTCCACCTGTTGGACATGTCATGGATCCACAATTCAAACCCGTTTTTTTTGGAGTTATGGAAATATGTATGCAAATGCAAATATGTAGTATCAACCCAATTGGTGGCTTGGCAAAAGGAAACATCCAGATATTATGTATATCAATGGCAGGCTTTAAAGGCATATACCAGATCTTTAGACACATATTTTCTATAATTCAATATTCCCCCTTGGAATGCATTCAAATTGCGAACATCACATGATATTATGTATATCAATGGAAGACTTAGGGGCATATACCAGATCTTTAGACACATAGTTTCTATAATTCAATATTCCCCCTTAAAATGCATTCAAATTGCGAATCGATGGACAGTCACCGACAGAATTATGGAAAAAATATAATTATGGAAACAATAATTGTGGAAAAAACAAGGTTCGCAACTTTTCTATCATAGACAGGCGGCGCCTGTAAATTGAAACGTTTTTTTTTTCCATAATTCTGTCGGTGACTGTAATTCCATTTGCTTTTGGTATATTTATAGGTTTTGGTGATGACGGGGCAGTGTCAAAAGCGCAGTGGAATATCACCGTATCACCTGCTTGGTGTTCATGGGGACTGGCTCACGGATTACGCCCGATGTTTTGGGTCGTCGAACTTCCTACAACCTAAACCAACGGAGGTTTTTGATACGGCTCAAGTGGTGATCTGACTTTAAACAAATAGGAATTGAATCCAAACGCTGGTGATCTAGTCTACAACAGCTTGCAAGTGGTTGGTTCGGTTGGTTCGTGTTCATCAGACCCAAATTGACACTACGTACCTCAACCTCATGCGCGTCCCCGGGTCAGGGGGCTATATGACAGCATTTCAACTTGCCAGAATTTCCAAATAAACCTAAAATCACAAACAACATGTCCGGCTTCATTAAATAATGATTTCACATCTTGGTGGTTTGTTAATTGTTGGTCCCCTGCTAAAAAAATAGTCGGATATAAACCCGTTACATCTAGCTGTGTTTCGCATCCAAATGATGATGTGGTATATCAGTATATTATCATGTTCGTTGCTTACGGCTAACCAACCAGCAAAATCAGAGCTTATAGTCTTGTAAGAATATTATACTAATAGTATATACTATGATTATACATTTTTAAAAACATGCTATGTTCATGATACTATGATTACTGTATTATACCACCTGGTTATTTAACATAGCCATGGAACATCACCATCTTTAATAGGTAAACCGGTAAACCATCTATTTTTATGGGCCATGGCTTCCATGGCTATGTTAAATAACCAGAGGGTATTTGCTTATGTGGCAGTGTGTCAAAACCTTGTACCCCTGGTGAACATCAAAATAGCTGGTAAATGGATGTTCATTCCCCTAAAAATGGTATTAATAGGTAATGATCCATAGCCATGTAATACCATTGTATCAACTTAGCTTATTAAGAGGGTCAACCTCCATTTTCCTATGGTTTTCCTATGGTTATACCACTATATTGTACCCCCCAAGTTCCTCCAGCCCATATCCAGTCCATCCAGAACTGGCGCTATCCACCGGGTTCCGGGACATAGCCATGGGCCACTGCCAGGTGTATTCGCAGGCTTGGATGGACACCTGGAGACTTGACTGACGGCCAAAGCTGGTAATTTTGGCAGGTCAAACATGGTCAAAAATGGACATGGTAAATCACAAGGTGGTGCCCCCATAGTTAGCTAAGTTGGTTTATAACTCCCATAACTATGGTTTATGGCAGATATAACTATAGTTAATGGGGGCTATAAACCAACTTATAACTGGGGGGCACCATCCTGTAAAGAATATGGTAAATCACGGCAAATCATGGTAAGACAGGATCAAATTAATGCTAAATCATGCTAAGCATGGTATTAGACATGGTATACTGTATATATCTATGTTGAAGGCAAACAATAATATCTAAACCTTTGCCTGAATGATTTCCAGTGTTCAAACAAACTCATATTTGTATGTACGAATATCTGGAAATGGTCCAGTGACTTCCTAAATCAACCCATCCTTGCAATTCCGGTGAGGTCAGTCAGTGGACTCCCTTGAAATATGCTCAGAATATGTTGCATCGGGGCTTTAAGGCGTAGGTTTGTCTGAACATCTTGGGAAAAACCATTTCTCATGAGATGTTTATAACTATAATTATTAAGTTACTAACTGCAACTATATACTATCTGGTTAGTAGCTAGGGTAAGTTCAGTTCTTTTACATGCAAACAAAAACATCCGGTTTTCCGATCACTTTCCTATATCAATGGATTGTTTTTTTGGGTCAAATCGACAGGATACCATGGTCTTTACCAGTGTACGAGTTTCCTGTAGATGTTCCCTTCATCCAATTCGTGGATAACAAGAGATTGCCACAACTTGAACAAAACACTAAACATCTATGGGATAGTAGCTGTTTTTTTTTTGTGTTTTTTGTTGTTTTTTTTCTGGAGAGGGTGAAAAAAACTGAGCCATTTAAGGTCCTGATAAGGTTGGGTAATGATAAGCCCAGGAGAGGCCATATTAAGGTCCGCCGCGACACGCTGTAGGTGATGACGTTCCCATTCAGTTGGCCCTGCCAAATCAATGGAGCCGGACAGTTAGAAACGAGAAGGCCACATATATCTACCTTAGTGCATGCTATCAGTTATATCATATCATCCTACTTAGTAAATTCATATGATATTAAAATGATATGATACGTTGGTTGGTTATGATGGTTATATTGCCACGTTGTAAAGATGGAAAATAAATGCGAACTTATCTTGGCCATTTTGACGGTCATGATGATTGTGATTCTCCGCTATTGTTCATCCATATCATATTGAATGAGATAATAATGATATTTTAAGACGTCTAATGAACATTCTCAATCTTGATACCCAACGCCAAAAAAATAAGCCTATGCTATGAAAATACGACCCAACCTCACTACAAGTGAACCCAGACATCATTTGCCCATCGTCAGCATCAACAAAGGCAAGGCCTTTGAGTTATAGCCCTTAGCAGTTATAACTGCTTCGTAAGCTCATTTAAGTGATATACATATCTAGTTGGTTAATAATCGTTAATATATGCTTATTATATGGTTAATGATGGCGAAATAATATTCTGGTTGGTGGTATACCTACCCCTCTGAAACATATGAGTTCGTCAGTTTCTTCCCAACTGAATGGAAAAATAAATTATGATCCAAACCAGCAACCAGCATTTCTCACAGGTTTTCTGATCACTTTCCTATATCAATGGATTGTGTTTTTCGGTCAAATCGACCACATTAGTTGCAGGGCTACTGCATGCAGAGAGTGAAATCATCATCTCGTTGGGGGTGATAAAAATTCCTCAGCAGCTCGGCAGTTTTGGAAATTTTCTTACGGGATGGCAACACGTTTACAGATCGTCAGTGGCCAAACAACAGGAAATCTCCATGAAATTGTGGTAAATTATTGTTATTATACATGAGAAATACACTAAATAGCCATCACTAAGTTATACCAAATACGGAACAATCTGAGCATCAACATTGTAAACATGAATGCTGTTGCAGCAAAACCAACTATCATTGGTGAAATCCCTATGCCTATATAAATACTATAGATATAAATTACACTTGTAAATATATACCAAAATTCCAGCGGATTCCAATTCAGATCGTATACCACCATAATCCATTAAACAAAGTATCAATATGTGGGATGCCAACTACAAAATACCAACTACTACAGTATACTAACTGAACACATCACTACCATTGCTGACTAGTCACTGTTACGTTTAAAACAATATCTGTACACATTATTGGTGGCATACGTATCTATTATCTGTTATTCTACCAATATCATACTCATCTGAACAATGCCAAATTCCTCTGGAATTATATACTTCCAGATTGGAATAATGCCAACTCCCATTAATTGTATATCCATTATACCAATTCCTGTGCTTGAGATTGCCATCAATAGTATGATCAAAATATACACACATACCCACAATTCAAATAGTATAATTACCAATAGTTATAGCATAGTAAAGTATATAAACAATGTATAATAGATTAATTATATTATATCCACAAATATCCATTATTCCAAGTCATAATTTCAATGACGCAAGTTATACCAATATCTAAACATAGTGTAGCTTCTTGTTGGCATTATTCTGAGCATTGTACCCATCCGAGCAGTGTTCAATACCCCTACAGTATTTGCTTATAGTTATAGGGATTATACTCTATACTACATATTTATATATATATATAGAGATTTGGAATTTCAATATATATATATATATATAGTATATATATATTATAGGCTAGGGGAGTTGGAATTCTCACAAGGCATGCACTCGGAAAATATCACAAAGCGACCAGTTCTTGAACACTGCCGCCTATCCCAAGAACGCCAAAGTCTTCCGGCACATGCTTTAAAAAAGCAGTGAAATCCCCATCAAATTAATGTCAACCCTGGATTCATAATCTCCTAGGCATTAAGTATCATATTATCACTAGTTGGAGGCTACCACCTTGATAAACCATGGTTTATTCATCAGGGGTTAACATTATCCTTAAATATAATCATGCGGTCTTGCAGCCTATCATTATCCTTAAATCATAGTAAACCATAATTATACAATATTTTATTATATATAAAACAAAAAAAACACTACAAGAACCGCTTTAAAAATCACTATAAAAACGACTCCATATCTGACTAATTAATAATTACTAAAACCCTCCAAAAAACTGCTGCTGTTTCGGCCTCCTGCAGCTCTTCCAACAGCGCCAGACTCTGCCCCCACGCGCCCGCGGCCACGGCAGCGCTCACCGCGGCGTTGTACCTGTGGCGGTGCCGCCAAACGACGCACGACGCAGGCGGGGATTGCGCGGCAGAACGCTGGGAATTCACCAGCAAAAACTCAAAAAAATGATGGTTTTATGGCTGAAACATGGCAAACATGGTGGTTTTATGGGTAAAAGATTGTAAAATATGATGAACTCATCTATGTTATGAAGATTTACTGCAGTTCTTTTACCCACAAAAGTGGAAGATTGCCAACAAGGAGAGCTGGTACAAGCAAATATATGATGGGGTTTTAATGAGCAAGAAAATTGTCAGGACATGTCAGGACCAAGTTCAACGTAGAGTGAGACCAAGAACAATAGCCGCTTAAGAAACAAATGAGGTGGGTTTACCAACAAACATAGGAGGGCTATAAGAAGAAATGAGGTGGGTTTACCAACAAATGTGGGTGGTTGCACAACAAACATAGGAGGGCTTTCACCAACAAACCTCATTGGTTTACCAACAAACATAGGAGGGCTAGCAAAGAAGAAGAAATCCCATCACCCTAGTATTGTATAAATACCCCAATATAAGCCTCCAAAAAGAACGTATCGAATACTAAATCAGGCTTGCTATGGGAGTAGTTATATAATATTCGGGGAGGGAATTATGCTATCTGGCTATGGGTCAAAAACCCTGATACCCTATGTACCCTAAAATAGCTGGTATAGCTGGATGTTTATTTCCTCAAATATGGTAATTTCATGGGTTTTAACCCATCTCCATTCGCAAAATGTTTAACCGGAAGTTTAGACCCTCCAAATACACCCAAAAGAATGGCCGGTAAAAGTATTACAATCATGAGGTAAAACACCATGTTTATGCCTACGGCAGGAAAACCGTACGTGCGTTTTGCTTCTTTTTTGAGTATTGCTCTTTGTCTTGGGGTTGGGGTGGGGTGGGGGGGCATGTTAACGTTCCTTGTACTTCGTACATGATATATTGCCATGTTGCTAAGATCTCTGGGATCTTTTACTACGTTACGTGTTGCTACGCTGCTGAGATCTCTAGTGTGGGTTGGGGTTGGGGTGAGGTGGGGTGGGGGGGCATGTTAACGTTCCTTGTACTTCGTACATGATATATTGCCATGTTGCTAAGATCTCTGGGATCGTTTACTACGTGACATGTTGCTATGCTGCTGAGATCTCTGTGATCGTTTACTACGTTACAGGTTGCTACGCTGCTGAGATCTCTGGGATCGTTTACTACGTGACATGTTGCTACGCTGCTGAGATCTCTGTGATCGTTTACTACGTTACAGGTTGCTACGCGGTTGGTATCTCCGAGATCGTTTACTACGTTACATGTTGCTACGCTGCTGAGATCTCTGTGATCGTTTACTACGTTACATGTTGCTGCGCTGCGTATGGGTTTCGGTGCGGTAGTGATGCATAGGTTTTCGGTTTGCAGACAAAGGCAGGGCAGAACAAAGATGTCATGCTATACCTGCGTTGCTGGTAGTGGTGTTATGAGTGCCATAATGGCAACTTGCTGTCGAAGACAGCTTCCACACTGATGGATCGCTGAGCCGACGAAGAGTGTGAAAAAAAATCTGCGCATCCACGTCTGATGCACATGATGTTTACCTGGATTTGTTAAAAATCAATAGATTTTGCATCCACTTTTTTAAACCCAAATTCAGTTATCCAAACTGATCGGAAGAGCATTTTATATTGTAAATTACAGGTGATTGTGACTCTCCTGGAAGCAACCAATCAAAACGCTCGCGCGGTTTCCCTTCCGCCGGGATGTTTATGGCTACTTCTACGGTTGGAAGGTCTAGGTATAACGAAGAATCTTGGATGAAACACAAGCCCCGCAAGCGCAAAATGATCACGCACCTTACTTGCCTGGGACCTCCATGGCAAACATCAGCAACCAGCGACCATCAGAGGTGGTCCCAAACATGAAATCTGTGTTGGTATATAGATATATCATATCAAAATATATCTAATATATCTACTAATTATCTCCTACTAGTAAGTATCTACTATACGTACAAAAAATGGTCTGATTTTGGATGATTTGGGGGTACCACCCATTTTAGGACACCTCCTGCTTGCAAATCAGAAATCCAACAGTTAAGCCACTGATTTCAACCGAACGCGATTCCGAACTGGGGCAGTATCATTGGCTGTTGGTTTGAACCCCTCTGAAAAATATGAGTTCGTCAGTTGGGATGATGACATTCCCAACTGAATGGTAAACTAATCCAAATGTTCCAAACCACCAACCCAACCGAGCGGTGGCACGTGACGAGGTTGGTGACCATTCGCAGACTCAGCATGTCCGCGAGCAACAGCATGGCTCGCTGCCACTGGAAACCGTCCTGCGAAGTCAGATGCGGATCATGTGTGCCCACGAAAGTGGTTACAGTTATGGCCGTTTACCCGGCCTGGTAAACATACAAAAAGCTATTGAAAATGGCCATAGAAATAGTTGATCTCTCCATTAAACATGGTGATTTTCCATAGTTATGTTAGTTTACCAAAAATATACCAAGTATAAGTGGTTGTCACTGGTTATTTCTATGGGATTAAAGATTTCATAAATGGGGTGAAAAATACTTATACCTGGTATTTCGGGCCACAACTGTAGGTCATATTGTAATTGTTCCACCATCCAATTGTGGGTTCAATGTGGTTCAATAGGTTTGAGCCATACTTTTGTCCTCAAGGGTCAGGTGACTGTCAGGCGTGGTGTTATTCTCTTGCACATCTCCTTTAGGGCTGGTGATAGCATCACAAAAGCAGAGGGTATCCTGTTACAAAAGTAATCTAGCTATGCTGTTGTTGATGTCGGTTACAGTATAATATACATTGAAAAAAACATGGAACGCGTGAATGACCATTGTTACCATTGAAATTATACAGTATTTCAAGCCCATTTGGTCTCGGGATCCAAAGAAGAACTTCAGCAAGCATTGCTTTTCCGAATCTTTACTTGGGTCTTGGTGCACATTCAACCCCAACCCAAAAAGGCTTTGAATCTGTAGTTTCGATTTATTTCAGGTATTCACCACAGCTATCTCGAACATTCCCAGTTCTATGAAATCTTAGGTCTTGGATCAAGTATCACAGGATCTTGCAAAATATCAGTGTCAAAACAAAGGATATCACCATAAATGATATCACCGGTGTGATGTGCCTTCATGAGTTTTGTCTGTTTTTTTTTTTTTAAAGTAAAGACCTGAAGCCCATGTCTTGATGATTGAACCCCCATAAACCCTTCCATTTGGCCCAATAATTCAGGGGTAAATCCGCTGGAAACACATCCAACTATAGACATCTATAGATATATCTACAATGTGGAGCCCCCCTTCGAAATCGCGTTCAGTTGGTGCTTAAATAACTACAATTTCACCAGCTGGGTTTATGGATGTTTATGGTACTTATGACGAACTCGTTACATGAGCTTATAAAGTAGATATATCTACCATAAGCACTAATTAACCTCCAGTAAATTAACATAGACCCTGGCAATTCTCGGGGTTGGAAGACTAGTTTCCATTAACAATTGGCTATTTTCAGGGTCTATGTTTATTTACCAGAGGGTAACCTACTTTTAAAACCACAAAAACTAGGAGGTACCACGAATACCGTACACCGAAAAAGCACGTCGGGCAGCCAACTTGTGTTCTGGAATCCCATGAGGTGGTGCCAATGTTTTTCGCGAAATTTTTGTATTTCAATGATGTGGCGAAAACAAAAAAGTAAACCGCTACTTGGTGGCTCATCCCACGGCTCGTAAGTGAGTTATAACCCCAATTATAAGTGGATTAACCCTACTTATCCCATTTATAACTGGGGTTATAACCCACTTACTAAGTGGGATGAGCCACCAAGTATGAATTATCCTATTGTAATCCCATTGAATCCCACTATAATCCCATTAAAACAGAAATCAAATAACTATAACTGGTTGGTGGTTGAGCCATCCCTCTGAAACATATGAAAGTCAAATGGGATTATTGTTCCCAATATATGGGAAAATAAAATTCATGTTCCAAACCACCAACCAGATAATAAACCATCCCCAAAATCACCATTTTTATAGGTGGTCTAAACATGTATAAACCATCAAACATGTGGTGGTTTATTCTTGTTTTACCCACATTAGGGTTTATGAATGTTTATGGCAATTTCATACATCTTATAACTACAGAATTCATGGGGTGAAACAACAAAACAAAACCAACAAAAATAACTGGGCGGGCACCACCCTGCAGTCACCGTTAAAAAAACGTTGCTTGTTACTCCTCGCATGCACTGATAGCTGAGCTGTAGCTGATCACATCAGCCTGGCGATGTCGATGTTGGGCAAGGTGAAGCCCGCCCAGTGATATTGCTTGGTATAAACCCCATGAATACTAGTTATCAGTACCATAGACCCCCGTTTGAAATAGCCAAGTTGACTGATTAACGAACGGTGAACTGTTGGGTTGATTGGGAGATAATAATATAATGTCAACTCCGGATTAATAAACCATTGTTTATTAATTGTGGGGGTACCCTCCAAATAGTCACTTTATATGATACATAAATGGGACCCCCCAATTAAACAGCCGTTTGGGGTTTATTAATCCAGGGTTGACATTACCATAGACCCAACACTTAAGCAAGTTATGTGCGTTCACCTAGCTATCGTAAACAGGGACCTGACCCTGTATAAATCTGACTGAATTATAATTAACGGCTAACCGCTTGCGACCATTTGCGGATGATTCTCCGCAATCTAATCATCATAATCATCATAATCATCATAATCATCATAATCATCATTCCATTGACGTCACAATGAGGTAATTCTTAATTCCTCCAGATAAATGACTGTCAATAATATGGTTTAACTACCAAACATAGGGGATTAACTGGGTTTAGCAGTCTAAGCATTGTACTCATCTAGAATTTGGGTATTGTAAATTATAGAACCACACATCTGATGTTTGGCTTTGTCGAAAAAATCTGGGACACCGCAATTTCTTGCAAGTTTCATGAGGAAAATAACGATTTACCAATGGATTTTGGATAATTACTATGTCTTACTAACAAACACACACACACACACACGCACACAAATTGGATGGTGTGATTATAAACATAAACGATAGCAACATGTGTGGGTCATTTACGAGTCTTGCGTTCTTGCATAGTTGTATGCCTACGTGTTTGACATAAGCCTTTGAAAGTGTACTGTAAGTATTCACTATTTTTGACAGGAAAGGGCATCTGCAAATTTGAGACTTTTTCACTTCCTAGTCAATACGACTGTAGAATTTCTTCTTGTTGACACAGCAATCATTTTGTCACAAGCAGCTGGTTGATGGAAAGAGACCCGTTCAACCAACAAGGGGATTTGAGACACTGGGGGCACGAATCTTACCAAAGTGACATGGAAACAAACATATCTGTACCCCAAACCAGTCCATATTAGCCTTTATACTATAAATCATATATTTTATAGTAAATAGTAGTGGGCATGTTGATTCATGTTGCAAGTTCACATCCACAAATCAATGGAACAAAGAAATAAGTGCGCTGTGCGCCACTCAAATTGGGCTTCCCTTGACGCCTGTTTCAGTAAAAACACGGAAAAAAAAACAGATAAAAAGCAAAGTATGCCAAGTATGCAATGGTATCACTTGGAAACGTTCCACAAAGGAGATACAAATAGACTTTCAGTTTACCCTCTGGTAATTCAACACTTTGCTATTGAACATTGCCATAGAAATAGTCGATTACCCATGAAAAAAGGATGATTCTCCATAGCTATGTTAGTTTACCAGAGGGAAATTCTGCATCTTAGTTACAAAAATGAAAGGGCCCAAGCGGTGGACCAAAAGTCACCACAGAATATCTCTAGGCAGATTTTATAATGATTCTACTATTAGTAGCCTTCCAAAAGTTAGAGAACAGTGCTTCCAGGATGGTGTAGCCATGTATGTTTTCCCATGGTTTTTCCGCCATGTTTTCCCATGGTTTCCTTGGCCTTTTCAGCATCTTCTTGGGACCTGAAAAAACCACCTGACCTCAACTGCCGCGTTGCGGCTACCTCGAGGTGAAGATCCTCCAGGCTATACAGCAAAAACAAGGCCTAGGATCTGCCGGGGCGGGCCGGGCCAAGGACTCCGTTTTTTTTGAGTTTCGGAAATTTCATGTTGGAAAATTATAAGGTGAAGACGATGCTTTGAAAAACAGCAACAAATCTAGAAGCACCAACAATATGACCTATGGTTTGGTTGAAGATGGAACCCAACAGTTTGGCTGTACACAGTAGGATCATCTCGAGAACCCTATTTTCAGGTCTTTTTTGTGATTTTTGGAGGATGAACAGAAACAAAAATGGGTACCGAAAAAATCCAGGACTTTGGACCCGGAGCTTGGGCTACAGTATTTGGCAAAACTTAACCATACAATGTGGGGCCCCCCAGTTATAAGTTGGTTTATAAACCCCATTAACTATCATTAACTATAGTTATTGGAGTTATAAACCAACTTAGCTATCGAACGGGGGCCCCACATTGTAGGATATGTCAATGGATGGCATTGGACAGTGTTGTTTTTGACATTGGAAACTCATCGGCGGTCGAAAACACATTCCCCATGATCCCCATACACAATTTCTTCGGAATCTTGGTCGGGAATCAATGCAAATCCCATACCAATCACATCGGGTCACAAAATAGCTCGAAATCTGGGTTTGTATAGATAAATCCACTAGATAAATCACATTCTACATCTCACTCGAGATCTTCCACTGGTGCAAGTTCCACAGCTGGCCGTGCAGGCACTGCTATTTGAACATGTAGTCGCTTGGCTGAGGCCGATCTACGTGGTGCTACGTGGTGCCACGTGGCGCGGCACAGCTGCAGCCTGATGTAATTGCGGAAGCCCCACCCTCGGCGGCTGGTCCGGGGCGCCTGTGAGGAACTGGTGTCCCATTGGCTGCTGAGCCGGGACTCTTCGGGCCGGATCGCAGCTCTGATCAAGACGTCAGCCTGCTGCAGCTCCCACCCCAAGTCCAAGTGTAACTGTAGGCCGAGCTTGTAGTATTGCACATTCTATCATCCATCCAGAATCCAATAGATAAATCCACTCAGCCTGTCGATGAAACGCAATGTCTTTTGTCAAATGAGCCATTCAAAAATACCCGATAACATTTCATGAAATACTAGTTATTTTTTTTCAAGTTTTCCCCACTATGGGTTATCATAATCCCCACTATATTAGGTAGTATAAGTCTCATTTCATAATCAACCAGGGTCTCACCTCTCAGCTTCCATATCTTCTATGGTTTCAATTCCGAGGCACCGCTTCCCATCGACCTTTCTTCTGACATGCACTGATTGCTGCGTTGTAGGAGACCACATTTCCCCGGGAGCGGCTCCTGAGGTGTGTGGGGTAATGATCACATCTGGCATGGTTCCATGGTGCCAGGCGTCACATCTTCCAGAACATCCCGATTTTGTACCGTATTCCCATAGGATCCATGGTGCTGGTATATATGCTAACATGACTGGGGTATATTGATGGGATCCATGTTACCATCATATATATAGCAGCACCATGGATCCGTCATGGGTATTGGTTGACATAAGTCATGGATTTGTTGCATCCTAAAGTATGTTTTCCAGAAGACCTGCACTCAATTGGACATCACCCATGTTCAGAGGATCATCGTACCCTGCAATTGATTAGCAACCCAGTTGCATAAGCCCCATGAGATATCATCAATAGCTTGTCCCATCCAAAGAGGGTTTAAAACTTATACACAAATCCCTTCCCCCCTAATCTTAACAACCCCAACCCTGGCCAAAACCATGGTTTTTCCTAGGGTTTTACACCTAATTGGGACAATTTTTCATGGGTTTTTCTGATGGGGACCGGGCCGACCTCTGCAGCTGGGAGAGGATAAACATAGCCTCTTTCCAACCTGAGATGCATGGAATTTAATATCGTCTATCCCAAAACATATCTATCTATCTATCAATCTAATCTAATCTAATCTAATCTAATCTATCTATCTATCTATAGAGACATTTATATGTTGGAATAGTTGGAATAGTGATCAATATACATGTTATAAACTTTTTTTTTGTACATTTGCCAACATTTACCTCGAACATAGTCTAATAGGTAAATTTATATGCCCGCACCATTGAGCAAAAAAAAACGAGAGTAACCACATGTCGATAAACTTATCTTGAATTTGTGAAGAATTATCTTGAATTACAGGAAAACATACCCTCATCGTGTTCACTAAAGAAGCATCATTTCACTTGATGCCGAACCCCCTGTAGAATAGGGAAATCCAAGGAAAAAAAAAATCAGGTGCCAGGCGTCGACTGACTGGATATAGCCCTTCCACAGGGAATTTTCCATCTTGACTGGCAAAGAAATATACAACTGGGGAGTTTCCACTGGCGGCTTAGATATGCTTAGATTTCTAGTATATTGTGGATTTAGGGTATCTGTAGGACTTTGATCTGCAATGTGATTCTTGAATACGTTTTATGCAATATTCTAGATATAGTGACATGCAAGTGCAATATGGGGTTTTCTTAAAATGCGGATGGCCAAAAACCATTGGTTTCAAGACTAAAATGGTCTAATTTTGGTTGATTTGGGGGTTACCACCCATTTAAAGAAACCTCTGCATGCAGAATGCTTTTCATGTTCATTAGTGGAACGAACATCGAACGAAGTGACTCTGAAAAAACTGGCAACCGACCAACGGGGCGGACCCCTGGAATTTGATGAACATCATTTGGTCGATTTTCCCGGCTTGGGAGGTAGGGCACACAACTTCAGACACACCCATGGACCCATATATATGATATTGTTGGTTAAGTATCCATAAGTATCCCAGTACTTCTCCACATTGTATCTTCCATACACCCAGCTATAGATAATTGATCAATCGCAAAGGAACGGTTTCCCTTTTCACATGCACTGATGGCTGCGCTGTAGCTAATCACCTCAAAACGTGGAGAATGAATTCGGAAACCGTGAACTTTCAGAAAAGGTTGCCAAAAAATGTAACAATATATATATATATATATTATGCAATGCATCATAAACATGATACACTGTTGCTTTTTCCCAAACCGCAACATGATGTTCTTCATTTCTGTCATTGTTGCTGGTTAAAGCAAGTATCTCCTAAGGTCTACCTGGTTGCATTGTTCCCCAGACTATTCAAAACCACTAACCGCAAGCCAGGGAAACTTTCATTCCCCCATTTCTAGCTAGCAGCAATCAACCCATGAAAAGCTACAACGCAAGGGCCCCAACACAGGTAAGTTAGTTTTCAACTGCAAGTATTGTTAGATTTGTGGCAAAAAAATGCAAAAAACAATCTATAGGTGAATGAGTGGAAATGAACCAGCATCCACACGTGGGGCCCCCACTTTGTACCCACTTCTCATTATTTTCCGTAGTGTTCTTGATTTGTTTACCGCAAGTTCCCCTTTAGCAGTCACAATACTCTTTACTGCGGTAATGATTAATTTTCTTCCCATCATATCCCCATTACCATCTGGTTATTTAACATAGCCATGGAAAATCACCATGTTTAATAGGTAAACCATCTGTAAATGGGCCATTTTCCATGGCTATGTTAAATAACCAGAGGGTATATCCTCACTCATATCACATACTTGGAGATTTACAAGATTTACCTTCTGGTAAACGTGGCAATGGCATTGGGAAACTCATCATGATTTCCCCGTTCGAATGCCTATTTAAATGCCCATTGAATGTGGGTATTTTCCAGCTAGCCATGGCTTGATTGCTTTAGGGTACCCTCCCCAAATCATCCAGGGCATACCCTGCAAGGCGAGGCCCACCAGTCAAACAAATTGTCTATAAGGTGATTAGCTACTTCGTTACTTGGTGGCTCATCCCACGTAGTATGTAGGTTTTAACCCTGGTTAAATGGGCTAAGTAGGGTTAGTTCACTTAAAACTGGGGTTATAACCCACTTATTAACTGGGATGAACCTCCAAGTATATACCCCATTCATCAACACCCAGCAGTCAACGAAGGCAGTTCTGTGCGTCAACCTCTCGCGATTTCGTAAGGCCGGGGGCCTAATTTTGTGGATATCGCTAAAATCCCTCTATACATATATATCTATCACTATAGTTGGTATCATATATTATATATCACAGTTAAATATATAGTTGTCTGTATAACTATGTATAACTAATTAATGTATATATATATATATAACTACAATATACTATAATATATCATATAACTATAGATAGTTACCATCCACTTTTGAAACTGCCGCTGCGTCGCATCTAACTGCAGCGACTCTTCCCTTGAGACCTCGAACAGCCACCTCATGGCCGACCGCCATTGCCCCGCTTTCTCGAGGGCGCTCAGGGCGCCTAGGTGCGCTGTCCCATGCGCTGTTGGCAGTGATGAAGCAAAAAGAGAGCTATGTCGACGTCATTGGATGGGTTTCAGGGAACATATGGTAAAATACCTATGGTAAAACCATGTAAAGAGAGCTATCTCATGAAGCAAAAGCCTATGGTAAAGCCTGCCGGTTTTATCTAAAGGATGTCATACTTTCCTCAACGTTTAGGATTTTCCAATCCTTCATCGAAGTCTGGAAGAGTTGTGCCTCAAAACATGGGATTCTCCATCCATCCCGCTCCGACTCCTGTTTTTGTTGCCTATGAAAAACCATGGCGCCTATGAAAGTTTGCTTCCCCCAGTAATGTTTGCTTTTTTTCGGGAATGAACTCCATGAATGCTATTGTTATATCCTGCACCCAACAGCTTAACCGGTTGGGTCAACTTCGCTATCGCTTGGGGGCCTCACCTTGTATGAATTGGGAGCCAAGGCTCAACCGTTTGACATACCATTGACCCCAATCGCACGACATGTAGACGGCCAGTAATATGATAAACCTAACAAACAAAAACCTCCAATTTTGAACTCCTACAAATCATTTCTGGTGAATTTGATGATTGTATGTGATTGTGAGGGTGATCCACCTAGCAGTTTTTTCGTGTCCCAGTCTTGACATCTCAGCTACAAGGTGGTGCCCAATCCATAGCCAGGTTTGTTTATAAGCCAAGACTTGCACAACTTGAAAAACATCACCTTTTGTGACATTTCCCATAGACAATGCGATCGCCGAAAGATTGTTCTTGCCCCGCTCTTTGGTTTGCATTTTGTTGAGCCAGCTCTTGCATTCGACGTTGGACTATGTGGGAGTTATGGCGCAGCTCCTGTGTGTAGGTCTCTGCTTTGATGCTGCGCAAATTCTGTTGTAAAACCACGAGATTCTGGAGCATGACATGCTTCACAAGGACAGGTGCAACGTTGGTTGCATAGTCTTTAAGCCCGACTGAGCTGTGTGGATCATACGATCGATCCAAAACTGGAGCAAAGATGTGGAGTAGGCTGGCACACCGCCTTGTTTTGGCTGAGCCAAATAACAGGCCTGGTTGCCATCGGGCCATCTCCAGCAATGATATCCACCTGGTAAAAACCACGTATTCTCATGCCATGACTGCCAAGACTTCGCTGCAATCGGCGACCAAGTTTTTCCAATAGGATCTTGACCGATATGATAAATGCATACCCGACACATTTGAAGTCTTGATCTGGTGAGTTTCTCCTCTTCACCTGATGTCCTTTCCAAAGCTACACCACAAAATAGTCCAAATATTGCCCAAGATACAATAATGCTAAGTTCATATATTAATCATACGAGCATTAATAATCACCCCCGGGCCCCCGAATTCATCAACACCCACATTCCAAAAAATGTCTGGCAATACAACTTTGGGTTGGTCCCTCCCTATTAATAAACATGTGCGACCACCCTATTAAACAGCACCCTGCTTCGAAATCTGACTTTTTGGTAGTCAGGATATCTCACCCCATTGGGAGGTTGCTAGTGAAAAGAGAAATCTCGACCAATTGGCAGGCAGGTTGGCTGCAGTTTTTTTTGTATGACAAGCCCTAGTTTTTTGTTTGGGGCGGACTCTTACCTTCTAGGGGAGTTATCAATACGAACTTGGCATTAAGTATAGGATTTATGGATAGTTATGGTAGATATATGTAGATATATCCATAGATAGGGTTTTCTAAACAAACTTAAAACATTTGGGTGCACCACCTTGCAGGTTGAGGTCCAGGTTTCCGCCCAGGTGCTGTTGTAGGTAATGATGTTGCCTGCAGTGCTGCGCACTGGGGTCACTCGAGTTGAAGGACGAGTTGGAGATTGGGAGGAACAGATACCATCCGGTAATGACTCACACTTTGCTATTGAAACTTGCCATAGAAATAGTTGATTTATGTTGATTTACCCATTAATATTGGTGATTTTCTATAGCTACGTTAGTTTACCAGGCCGAGTACTTCGTTTTTTGTCACCAGAGATAGCATTGGAGTCGTCGTCGTGATGCACGATCGGATCTCAGTTGACAGCCGCTTCTTTGGGGGTGGCCAAAACAAAAAGGCCCCCAGGAGCCCAGGAGAACGGTCCAAGATAATATCCAGGAGGTGATGAAAAACCCAGGAACTTGGGATGAACTGGGACTGCCATAGCTTCTACGATGCTTACTTCGTATTAGGGGGTGCAGTTTCGCTTCACATCCCAACCGCCGCTGGCCTTGAATTCCATCGTGCTGCATCTCGGACAGCAGTGCCAGCGCATGCTGCCACTGCCCACTGTTGCCGCAAGCACTGACCACCGCACCCCTTGGCACTTGGAATGAGTTGGACTTGGGCCTCCATCATTTTGTACATCTTTATCCCATCAGAACTGACTCAATTGATGATCTCCTGTGTAAGGCGGTGCCCCCTAGTCAGTTTTACGTTGGTGTATTGAAGCGTCGCTGAAGGATCGAATGCATGGTAGACATATCCGTAGTTATATTATATTAACAATATATATATATATATATACATACATATCAACTAACAAAACTGGAGGGGCATCACCTTGTAGTGAGGTGTGGATGGAGACTGCAGAACTTCCCATCTATGTATTCATTGTTTTCCGCGGAGATTGGCCTGAAAGGATCCGAAATGAAGGCCTCTCACCTACCTATTCACTCATATTACCTGCATGACATGAACATCGGATCGGTGTCAAAATTGTCCTGTGACGAACTCATCACACGCGGTGGTGCTCCTAGTTATAAGTTGGTTTATAAATTCATAATCCTATAGAATGGTATAGATATCATGATATATCTACACCATAAAATTCCATAAATCCAAATCTGGCAATTTAACATAACTATGGAAAATCACCCTAGAAATAGTAAGCTTCCCATGACAAATAAGGTGATTTTCCATAGTTATGTAAATGTTTACCAGAGGGTACAGCAAATAAAACCTTAAACCAACTCAATGATATACTGATTTTTATTATTCAATGGGAAAATAAAATACAAGGTGTCAACAACATCTTACGTTTACTCATGAAACAAGCTGGGGGCGAAGTGGATCACCACCTTTCGGCCAGTGGCAACAAGATCACATCCAGCTCACCCCGAACCTCGCAGATCCCCAAAGTCAGGATGGGTTGTAAAGGCTATACCGATATATCTTGAATGGTACAATGTGGGCCCCCCCAGTGATGTTTGTTGGTTTATAAACCATGAAATAATCTCCATTAACTATAGTTATATCTACCATAAACCATTGTTAAGCCACTTATAAACCAACTTAGCTATCTTGGGGGCCCCATCCTGTAGTATACAGTATATGGGTATACTATTTTATATACTGGTTAATAGCTATATATATATATACTATTAACAAATATCCCAGTGACTATTGATATCTGGTTGGTGGTTGGTATACCTACCCCTCTGAAAAATGATGGAGTGAAAGTCAGTTGGGATGATTATTCCCATATATCATGGGAAAATAAAAAACATGTTCCAACCCACCAACCAGAATATATTTTGAATGGTAATTGGAAGGTTCATAATTACATTATACTATATTACCAAAAAACAAAACATTGAATGGTCTAATATAGTGTCATAGGCGTTGATATTCATATGGCACCTACCAAGGTGGTGTTTCATCCAAGAAAAACGATTCGAATCTCCCATACACTACTTCGCTGACGCTTCGAATCCAACTGAGCAAATAACATCCATCCAAATGCCATGAAAAATCCCATGAAAAAAACCCTTTAATCATTACATGTTTTGTTGGTAAAATGCGAAACAGTAGCTGCATATAAAAGTAGCTCTATGGAGGTGTCCAATCCATGGGGGTACCCCCAAAAACATCCATTTTTGATTGGGTTTTTCCATGAAATAAACCATCCAGCGAGCTTGGCTATTGGGGTACCCTCTGGTGAACTAACATAGCAATGGAAAATCACCATGCTATTAATGGGAAAATCCACTATTTCTATAGCCATTTTCCATTGCTTTCTGTATGTTCACCAGAGGGTATCCCCATGACTTAAGAAACCCCCTTGTTTTATCACAGGGAACCACCATGAAAATCCATTTCCCCCGTGGCTCCACCGCTCCACCGTGCCTCCTTTAGGTCTTCCAAGAGTTGCATGGCTTGAAGCCATTGGCTGCCTGGAACTTGATGGAACTCATCATTTTTGACTTCAGGGAGTCGTTAAATTTGATACATGGCTACATAAACACCTGCATGTATATAGATCATGCCCAATCTTAGATACGCAAAATATGAGATTCTTAGCTGGTGAACATAGATAGAGATGTAGCTGGAATTATGAATGTGCATACATGCTGATATATATATATATATATATACATGTATAATACATATATATGATATATGTATGATTATATGTATGATTATATGTATGATTATATATGTAACCATATGTACACACTACAGAAGATATCTGCAGTTCAGCAGCAATACCGCATACCTGTCAACATGGTTTCCAGGTGACACCAAATGTGCAGTGACGTGACCGCAAAATTTTCTCAAAGACCTGTCAACAGCGACACTTTAAAGATACCATTGATCAATGGGAGATCTCCAAAATCCGATTTATTGGAGCTACGTACTAGTACCAATATGTTTGGCCATATGAATTTTGGGGATATTTCCTGAAACCAAGGCCTAAAACATAGGCCAAACTTTTATGGAATCAGTACCTCCAATGGCCATTGATTGATGGTTTACTCAGTTTACTCGAGCCCCGAAGAAGTTTTTTCAGAATCCACCCTGGGAGAGTTCATTCCATCCATTTTGATGTTGGAGAAATGTTGCTTAGTCGTTTCATGTTCAACCCATCCCAAAAAATCTGACTATGATTCGTAATTAATTATGTAATATTATATATGTATGTATTAATATGTAATTATGTATATATATATATATATATATACACATACAGACATACCCATCATTGTGATTCATTGTGTATTTATCTAATATGTATATATACCTGGAAAGCCGTTTGAACAAAAATTTTTGTTCATTATGGGAAAATCTGGTCGAATACACCTTTTAATGATCAATGAACAATTTTACCCGTAATGACCAGATAATTTGGTCAATTCACGATATTGCTATTGGAGGTGCGCCCGATCCTTGCATCCAAGGCTCACAGTATGGATGTGAATGATGTGAAATAAAAAAGGGGAAGATGCATGTGACCATGCACCCCAAATCGAGAATGGAAGAAATATATGATGGGTGCCATAGAATATATTATGTGGCATAGACTATATATTATAGATTCCCAACAGGGTCTCTTGAAATATGTGCATAGAAACCATGCGTCCTGATTGGGATGATTGCATCGCTGCTGAGCACGTTGAGGCCCGCTCTGATTACGTGGGGGGGGGCATCGAAAAACGAAATAAGTTTGATTTGATTTCTTGCCATGAATTCTATCTTGCAAGTACAGTTGGCTTTTGCTGGAAGCTTTTGGGCGTTCCCTTCAGAGCAAACCGGCTCAAAAAAAAAACGTTTTGCTGCCTTGCTATGGCGAACCTTTATGGTGTTGCTAAGCATTGGTGGATGGAGCCTTCCATCCAAGAGAGGGTGAAAGAGGGCGGCATTGGTGCCATTGTTGTAACCAACAATACCCAGCCCCTTGCATCCAAAGATGTACGTCATGCCTTGTGGAACAGAGAAGTCTTGATCCCAATCATGGAGAATATGCGATACCACCACCTGATCAAGACACCTGATACGGGGACGATTCAAGACCAAGTTTGGATTCTCCAGCTGCTGTCTACCAAGCAGGGATTTGATGCCCACAACCTTCCTCCAATCCCTGAAGAGTTGGAAGTGCCGGTTCATTTGTCGGTGATTAGCATTAAGAAGCTGGTGTCATATGTGCGAGCCAAGTACATTCGTCCTCACATGCCACGGGACAAGGGTTCCTTTCTTCATGCATGTTTCCATTTTTTTATGTGATTATCAATCATGCAGTTCAAATCAGATCATAATTTCCAGGTCTTTCCCGGAACCACAGTATGTATTTTCTTCCATTCCAATTTGCATATGATGGATGGAAGAAATCCTGCACCTGCACCGCTTCGTGCCCATGTATAGTGGTAACACTTATAACTATAACTGCAATGGGACTATATTGGATAAACCATCTATCATCCGGTGCAAGATTTCTTCCATCCACAATATGGTTCAGATCCCTTGGATCATATATGCCCCATAGCTACCCCTGGAGGACGCAGACTTCAGAGAGCTCTTGACCCACTTTGGCGAGTTGGAGCCTTTTTTGCACCCGGCACATTGTCCATGGTTCATCGGGCCAGCACACTTTCAAATGGTAAAGGTGAAACCGGTGAAACCAATGAATTTGACTGCAGGCTGAGGTTGATATATAGATTTTATGGGAATCATTTCAATATATTTGGAACCCTACATTACATGCATGTATACAGTTGTTGCAATATGTTGGAGTGTTTGCTATCAATTCCCACCGGCCTTGGCCGCGCAACTCCGCCTCTCAGGAACTCTATTTAGACCTCCCCGCGGACAAGTCAGCTCCTGACGACAGCGAGGATGAGAAGGGCGAATCTAAGGAGTGTGATCTACGTGATCGGGTTCGTCAGGTGCCAATTCCTTCACCTACTACAACCCCGGTTGTGCCAGCTCTGGCTGAATCTGTGGGTGGGAACTCGGGTTTGCTTGAGAATGATATGTGGGTTCCAGAAGCCCTTCCTGTTGATGAGCAGGAATGTGTGTTTGGATTGCACAAAAAAATCATGGAGGCCAAGGCCAGGATTGCTGAACTCAAAGGTCAGAATTCCAACAGTACTGGTACTCCCATGGTTTCTCCGAGTGATCCAGTTCCAGAGATAGCGTCACCAGTGGATTCGACTTCATCAAGGGTTGCTGAAATTAGATCCCGGATGGAAAAGTTGCAGTCAGATTTGAAGTTTCTTGTCAGTACCATCGACCAGTTTCCGTCTTTATGAAAACATTGTTCATATGGCCATCCAAGTTGATCAACAGCAATCTTAAGAGGTATAGATGTATTCCCCTGGAACCTTAGGATAGATGTATTCCCCTGGAACCTTTAAAAATTAATATCAAACCTGTGAACCCATCTCTTTCCCAGGTTGGAAGCCAGCACTTCTGTGCCAGCAATGGACTTTGATGAGACTCTCCCGATGGTGCCGGATGAAACTCAGTACTACGC